AATTTTACTATAAAGGTAATATATAATATATACAATTTATAATATAAATATAAGCTTAATACTTATATACCTTTATTATAATAACGCTCTATATAAATAAATTATATTAATATGTTTATTATAACATTTTATACTATATATTTATATAATTAAACTTTTTATTTTACATTTAATTAATAAATTAATTATATATTAGGTTAGGGATAACTTAATTAAGGAAAAAGGAGTAGTTATTATATTATAATATCTTAAGGCCCTTAAAATATATATATTTTATATATATTATATATCCTTCCTATATATGCTTTAAAGGAAATTCTTTCCTTCTTTAAGCTTTAATCTTATTAAATATTTACTATAAAATTAAAAAGACTTATAACATTATATTTAACCTTTAAAATTTAACCTACCCGTGATAATAATAAGGTTAATAATAAAGTTTAAATTTTTAATTTATTATAATATTATAATAAGTGCCTTTAATATATTATAGCATTTTAATATTATTAGTTTAATATATTATAATATTTTAAATTTATTAAATTATTAATAAATAACCTTTTAATATATTATAATATTTTAAACTTTTAAATTATTTTATTACTTTTAAATATTTCTATTTTTATTATTTCCCCCCTTTTATTAAAGTATAATATAATACTTATTTAGCCTTTAAATTAATACTATTTATAAAATTAACCTATTTTAATTAACTTTCTTTTTAATTTTTATTATATTTAAATAACTTTTACTATTTTTAATAATATATATAGCTACTTTTTAATAAAGTAAATTATAAAGCTTTATAACTATTTAAGGTTAATAAATAATATTACCTTTTTAAAGTAAAAATTCCTTATAAAAAGGTTATTAATAACTTTTATTTTATATATATATTAATTAAAGGTATATTATACTATTATTAAAATAAACTTTTATATAGTTTTAAGGGGTATTAAATATTAAGTTATAATTTTTTTATAGTTTTAAATTATATATAAAGGATAATGGATTAATAATTAATATTATAAAACTTTAAAGCTATTAATAAATATTAAAATTGTTTATTTTTAACTTTTAATATTTTATAATAATAATAAACTTATAACTTTATATACTTTAAAACTTTATATTAACTTATTTTTAAATTTAATATTAATAAGGTATATTATTTTACTATATAAAATAGTTTAAATAATTAATTATTTTAATATTCCGTTATTTTTAATAAGCTTTAATAATAAGATAATATTATATTTAAAACTTTTTAAAAGTTATTTAATTTATTTAAAAATATAGTAATAGATTTTAAAAAAAGCTTTAAGTGAATTTAATTTACTTTATTTATTATTATTAATAATTAGCTTTTTTATTATAAACCTACTCCTTTTTTAAAGTTAATTTATATATGATTTTAATAAGTTTAATTAAACTTATAAATTAATTTTTAAGTTTAATTTTAATCTTATTATAAGTTAATTTTAATTAAGATATAATAATTACTTTAAAGTTTTTATTTACTTTAATATATATATAATATTATTATTACTTATAAGGAATATATATTAATTTAAAGTATTTAATAATATTAAGTTAATTTATAAACTTCTTTTAAAGGTTTTATTAATATTTTTTAAGTTTTATTATATTAATAATATATATTATATAACGCATCTCCCACTTAACCTGGCCACCTAATTGACCTGGCCACTCTAATAACCTATATAAAATCCCATTGTTTCAATCTTTAATAACTTTACGAATATTAATCGTACGATTTAATAATTAGTACCGTTAAATCCGTTAGGTAAAGGGGAATCCAGAGGTATTTTTTACTATTTTTTATAAAATTTATTAAGCGAGATATTAAGCAATACGCTAAAGGGGCGCTAAGCAAGGATTAATTTAGCGCTTACTTTAGCGTATTGCTTAATAACTCCGCGAATATAAGTCGTAAAAGTTAGTAAGTGGTACCGTTAAATAGCTCTTTTTATTACGAATCTAATGGTACATTTTATTATTTTATACGATTAGTATTCATAGAGTTATTAAATTATCACGTGATTAGCGCACCGACGTTATTTGTATGGGCTAGGGGGGTGGTCAGGTCAATTGGGTGGCCAGGTCAAGTGGGAGATGCGTTATAAATTAAGGTTTAATTTTTTAATTAATTAAAAAGTAGTTATATCTTTATAAAAGTCCGTTATTAATATTATTATATACTTTATTTAATGTTTATAATTATTTAATTTAAAAAGGGGTAATTTAAAAATAATATTTTATATTAAAAGGCTTTTTACTTCTTTAAAAATAATAAGTTATTTTAATTATATTTATTAACTATATTAATTTTTTACCTTTTAAGGCCTTTTTATACCCTTTCCCTTTATTTCGACTTAACTTTTTCCGAATTCCTTACTTTATATAAGATTTTAAATATATATAAAAGTTGGAAAAGGCTTATAGGTGTATGGTATTTTTAAAGGATAGCCTTTCGGCCCATGGTCTAAAGATTTTAGCAATACAGCCGTACGAGGAGCATTATCAAGGGGGCATTACTATAGCTATAATTAAAAGTTCAATCTAATATACTATAATACATCTATTTAACCTTAATTAATTAATTAATTAATTATTTAATATATTATAATATATTTATTTAACCTTAATTAATTGATTAATTAATTATTTAATATATTATAATATACTTATTTAACCTTTATTAATTAATTAATTAATTATTTAATATATTATAATATACCTATTTAACCTTAATTAATTAATTAATTAATTATTTAATATATTATAATACACCTGTTTAACCTTTATTAATTAATTAATTAATTAATTAATTAATTATTTAATATATTATAATAACGCATCTCCCACTTGACCTGGCCACCCAATTGACCTGGCCACCCCACTAGCCCATACAAAAAGCATCGGTGCGTTAATCACGTGATAATTTAATAACTTTACGAATATTGGTTGTATAAAATAATAAAATATACCATTGGATTCGTAATAGAAAGAGCTATTCAACGGTACCCCTTACTAATTTTTACGATCTTTATTCGCGGAGTTATTAAGCAATACGCTAAAGTAAGCGCTAAATTAATCCTTGCTTAGCGCCCCTTTAGCGTATTGCTTAATATCTCGCTTAATAAATTTTATAAAAAATAGTAAAAAGTACCGTTGGATTCCCCTTTGAATAACGAATTTAACGGTACTAATTATTAAATCGTACGATTAATATTCGTAAAGTTATTAAAGATTGAAACAATGGGATTTTATATAGGTTATTAGAGTGGCCAGGTTAATTGGGTGGCCAGGTCAAGTGGGAGATGCGTTACACCTATTTAACTTTAATTAATTAATTAATTAATTATTTAATATATTATAATATACCTATTTAACCTTTATTAATTAATTAATTAATTATTTAATATATTATAATATATTTATTTAACCTTAATTAATTAATTAATTAATTATTTAATATATTATAATATACCTATTTAACCTTAATTAATTAATTAATTAATTAATTATTTAATATATTATAATATACCTATTTAACCTTAATTAATTAATTAATTAATTAATTATTTAATGTATTATAATATAATTATTTAACTTTAATTAATTAACCCTTATTAAATTTTAAAGATACTTTTTAACCTTTATATATATTTAAAATTAAATACTTATACTTTTAATATTAATCCTATTTCTTTTAATAGAAAGTTATACCTTAAACTATTAAGCTATTGGATTTTAAAGTATATTACTATTAATATAAATAGAAATAGGTAGGCTATTTTAGCCCTATTATTTTAAAACTATTACTTCATTATATAGCAATTATAATTTCTATTTATATATAATTGCTATATAATTTAAAATGCTTTAATTAAAGTGTTTAAATATTTATACTTAAACCTATTATATAAATATTAATATAGGTTAATCCTTTTATTTATTTAAATATATAAGTAATAATAATAAAATTTTATAGGATCTTTTAATTTAACTTTAATATTTAACATTTAATATTTAATAAAGCTATATAGCTCCTTTAATTTATAATATAAAAACATTAAGTAATGTTATAAGTTAAGCTTACTTAATTAAAGGGTTTAAAGTCCTTAAAGTAAAGATAATAGTAATAAATATATATAGTATTCCCCTTCCCTTTAACCGGTTAATAGATACACTTCGGTAGTTAACTATTTAGCTATAAGAGGTTATAACCGGGCTTAGCCCACTTTTTACTTTTTATATATTAAATAAAATTAATATACCTATAGGCCTTAAATATATTGCTAGGATTTAGCCTATAGTATAAATTATATACTATTTATATAATGTGGCTATTTTAATTCAAATGGAGTGGATGTGCGGCCAACGTAGGGTACATGTGCGGCCAACCTAGGTAGCCTGGCAAATCCAGTAGACTAAAAAGGGACTAGGTAAAGAGCAATTGTGTGTATAAGTACCAGGGTTGCGATACCTTCACATGTCAAAAACGAAGACTTCGCGACTCGGAAGTGGCAAGCTCATATTCTAGGTACTAAGCCCAGCCTACCACGAGCTTCTGCCCGAGCTATAAACTTCCTGCCAAGCCTAATTCACATTTGAGGCTCGCTCAGCCCACTGATGCGGCGAGATACTAGACCTTGCGACAAAAAAAAAAATTAAAAAAAAAATTTCTGCATCCAAATACGTGCAGCGCGTTATCACATGCCTCTCGAAACCCCCGTAGCATTTTCGCGACCGCCCCTCCAACGCCCTTGTTTCTGTTAAATGAGCCGGCGTGGCCTGACATTCCACCCTATAGTATCTTCCTCCTTGAATAGAAGCGGACGTCGATGCCACCTACATGCAGTACCTAAATATGCAGCGACGCGAGGTTACAATTAGGTGCCGTGGCAGACAATGCAACCGTAAGACGAGCCGTCTAACGGGCTTGCATGTGTTCACTCTCTCTGTTTTACCCCCTATGCCTTAAAGTGATACTTCCGCCTCGCCGCGCGTTCGATTAATGATGGCCAGATATAGTACAGGTGGTGCGCGAGGGCATACGGGATCCAAGGTAGAACTACGTTGCCGCCCGTCCCCCGGTCTACGGCATCGGCACATTTGCCGGCTACATATTCCACCGCGAGGCCCTTTTTATTCGCCGGGCCAGTCCTCATCGACGGGTCCACGTCGACGGCCGAAGATCGAAAGTTGCCCTGGATCGTGGCCGGCAGCATGCATGTGAATGAGATCTCGGGGTGCTCGATGGCGAGAGACTGGAAGAACTTCAGAGCAGCCGCTTTCGTCGCGGCGTAGAGAGCACGCGTCGGCGCTGGTATGACGGCGGCGACCGAGGACACTAGTAAGATGGCGGGCGAGGCCGAAGTGCGCTTCATCATTGGGATGAACGTCGTTGCGGCGACGAGCGGTCCGACGACGTTGCCCTGCGTTGCTTGGCCTGCGATTTCCACGGCTCGCTTGACGCCGGCAACATCGGGTCCGTCCTCGCCTGTCTGGTAACCGGCCAGCGCCATCGCAGGCTGCACCGCAGAAACGCCAGCGCAGATGTGTAATGTGTCGAGACCGTCCCATTCTTGCAGTATTTTCCTCCGTAATCTCTCCATGTCCGCCGGGGAGGTGAAATCGCCGGTGAATGGCGTACACTGACTGCCGCATTCCTTGACTAGCTCCTGAAGCAGCTCCTCTCGTCGCGCAACAGGACAGACCCTAGCACCGCGGGCGGCATAGTGTTTTGTGAGCGCCCGGCCGACGCCACTTGATGCCCCGAGAATGATGACACGCTCCTTGTCCGGATGAATCCGTGTTGTTCTCTTTCTTTTCGCCTTGGTGATATGACGTGATACGACGACGTGAAGTAGAAGGACGAGCAGAGCAACTGCACTCCACAGATGCCTAGATGTAGGCATCGTAGAGAAGGACAGCGTTTGTCGCAAGTAATCTGCAATTGATTGCGCAAATCACTGGGGTGACAGCCCTCTAGATGAAAGCTTGACTATTGAAATAGCAACTTAAAAACTAGTATAGGTATTTCCGTCAGGTTGGAATGAATGAGATCCTTCCACTTGAATCCCTCAAGCAGCTTGAAGCTCGCATCCGAGTCTTCGCTTAAAATTACCAGACTGGGCAGGCAATTGCTTTTCATGGTTAAATACATAACCCCGAGTAGTGCACACCCACACCAAACCACACCAACAAAGTCGATGGAATTCTGTGAGAAGACAGTCTCTCGTGTTAACATCCTACGGTCTTCAGCTTAACCACACATGAAAGTATACGGAAATACCTACATTAGACTTGTCCACCCCCATTAGCTGTCCTCATATTAGCAGGCTTATACAAATGAACAACGGTTGAAGAGTCATTTCTACCATCTATTGGTCTGATAGCTAGTATACATGTCATCGAAACCGATACCCAGAGGTAGCACCCGAGCTACAGCAACTCCTGCTCGGCAGAAGATTATTGTCGTCATCTTTTGTTTCCAGCGGAAAAGAAAACCGTCGTGCCAATGATATCCTCATCTTGAAAGGATCTCACGTAAGGCTCTGGGATACTGCCATAAGTACGGCTCTGTGATCCCTAATCACATGTCCATATGAGATCCTACATAAAGCAAAACCAAACATCGAAACATACCTTGGTATTATCTCTTGTATCCCACGGATACCAGTAAAACCTAGAGAGGTAACTATGCTATACCAGACACAGAGCGAAATCACATGATATACATAGTCATTGCACAGCCATGAGGGCTAGACAGACCACCTCTTGATCAAAGCTGCGCAGCACAGAGTACATCGCATGATTACCACCCTGCAGAAATCTAATTCTTCATTACAGTCCATTTTCCGCCCAAGTCATCTTATCTTCACAAGTCTCCACAGTCCAGATTACATTGGAATACTCCCGGATATAACATGCATATCAGAGCGCTTATTTCACCCACACGAAGCAAGGATGACACAACATGGCAGCAAATAGTCATAGATAGAACCGATTATATGGCGATGAACTCGGTTAGTACCTTGGAAATTTAAGAGAAACGAGTCTTCTTCTTGCTACTCCTACATAGAAAATCCTTACCAAGAGTTGCGAGAGGGGAACTGCAGCACTGTCTTTTGCTGTCTTAATCTAATACAACAGAGTAGTTGTCAGGTATCATATATAATGACTATATATTATGACTATGAATAGTGTTCTATATAACCGTAACTGGTATTAATTATATATCGTTTATCCTAAGTACTAAACCCTCCTTGACGACGAGCCGCTTAACAAAGTCCCGGAGACCCTGGCCCACGGCTCTGTTTAAATATGATATTTCAGAACAAGCACCAGTTAGACCAATTTCTCGATTAATCATGTACAGTAGTCTGGCAAACATGAACTGCAGAATCTAAGAAGGCTCAAGGCCTCATGATATATATTAATATTCTCAGTAAGAAAGCAGTGTGTCAGACCTCCGAAGTGGTCCTCAAGTTGATGACGCAGCGGCGCCTATTTTAATATTCTGCGCCCGCTGCTAGGGGTATCTTCCTGTATCCTTACTAACCGAGCCCGTCTATCCTCGGTTTCCTATCACTTTGTTTGTGACTATCAATGAAAACTATATTGCAATGCTCCTAGTCGATACGCTTTCATTACCGAAACCAGCAGGTGACCAAACGCCGTCGCATTGCAGTGTCTTAATTCACAACATAAACGAATAAACAAGAAGTAAGACAGAATCCAAGATTTAAAGCGTCCAAAGCCCACTGCGGCGTTTTCCAAGAGGGTAAATAATGAGAGCACTTAGGAAAAGGCCAAGCGTGATGCCGATGGCGATCTGGATCATCGATCCGGCCACGTTGAAGACAACATAGCTTACGTTACTAGCGGCATCATCAATGGGGACCTGACATACATGTTAATAGGAGATACATATCTGTGCCATGGGAATTTTACACTTACAGTTGATGTTCCGTTTATGGGCTGGTTGTGATTGTTAATTTGATTGGCAGCATTCAACCCGCTCAGTAGACTTCCGGTCGCTGCAAGACCACTAGGCACTTGTACAAATATTGCTGGTAGGAGCGCGGTGACCGCAACTCCATGTCTCAGTCTTGAGTATAGGTTGGCACATACACCGACCGTGAAAGCTCCAAGAGTGTTGGCAATTTGGGGAGCAGCCTGAAATTTCGGGGAACTGAAAAAGTTCACTAAATAGCCGGCAAAAGAGATGAGGACCATCACTGGAAGTTGCTTCCATTTGGCTTGGTTGACTACCGCCAAACAGATGGTAAACAGGGGTACGAATATAAATGCGAGGTGCGGGTTCATTGTGTTGGTGCAAGTGGTCGCAGATGTGGCGTTCGAATCAAAGAGCCCATATAGAACGGTGCCGACCGTGATACCGAAACCGAGGAACAATGAATAGATAATAGCATAGACTAGGCGGATTGAGCCTGGCACCAGGGCCCGCGATTGTAGCTCAAGGGCCGAGCTTACTAGATAGAAGTCAGTAAACATAAGATGTTATGGTAGTAGAAAAAGGCGACTTACAAACAAACCAACCTGGAAGAATCAGCGCTATCGAACTTTGTGCCATAGCAGAAAAGCAGAACAACTCTCCACCCCTGATACTTCCAAATGCCCTAGCAAGAAAACTCGTCAAGATGGCGGCGCTTATCTCGAATAGGTTGTTGTAGAGGGCAGACCTTGGAGCCACAATGATCTGCAAGGCTCCTACCATTGACCCGAGGAGAAAGCAAAGAGGCAAATCGATCCATCTTCCCCCAAATGCAAAAGGCGCCACAGCCGCACTAGCCAGGCCGAATACGAGCACACGAAGCCACGGGTGGAACTTATCCTTCGCGGCCATGATGGAGGAGATCCTCCCTGTCGCCTCATCAACACTGTAAACATCGTGAAGCACAGACTTGTAAATTTCGTGAATATCCTTGAGCTTGCCAAGGTCAATTCCTTGGGCTGACCTCACAATTTTCACCTCGGTTGTATGTGTTTGTTTGTCATCAAAGGATATAATCATGCAGCCTGGCAAGTAAAGGAACTGCCCATCGATTTCGAGAACTCTCGCCGTCATCGTCAGATATTCTTCGAGGCGGTGCGTCGGAGCCCCATAGATCATGAGAGCTTTACACATTTTGATGATGTACTTCTGACGGCTCAGTGTTTCGGCAATGTTGATCGTGATACGAATTTCATCCTCAACGCGCGGACGGCCCAGCTTCAAGAGGCGGGAACTAGGGCTTCGTTTGTACTTCGGTCGTTTCGGGCGTTTCGGGGGCGCTCCTGAGGCGGGCGATTCAGTGCCTGCAGTGGCACTAACTAGGCGAGCAGATGCTTCCACAAGATTCGCCAGAGTATCAGTGGATTTATTTTTGTCGTTGTTCTTGTCGTACCATTTCCGCGTGGGTGTAGCTGTTCCCGAGGAGCCTGGCGTAGTAGTTCCACTGACATCTGAATGTGGGTAGCTAGGCGGCTGGTCGTCGTTCTGTCTGTAAAGTTTCAACAGATGCGAGAGTGCGCTGCCACGAAACTGTTTAGGCGGAGGTACCCAAAGTTCCGCATCTCTTTCTTCCGTAGGCGTGACTTGAGGAGAGGACCTTGCGGTAGTATTGTGGTCCGCCTTTTCAAGGTCATAAGTATCCCTATGCCGATGGCTATAAGATTGAACAATGTCGTAGGCCTCTTTGCTGTGGGAGCGTCGCAGTTCTCCAGACGTTTTCTCGTGGTTCTCCTGGTGATTGTCTCCATGTCCAGCAAACGGCAAGTTTCCCAACTTATGAGCAAGGTCGTGAAGAAGACTGCTACGACGCCTAGGGTGATCTTCAGGATTGCCATGAACCGCATTGTGTGTGTTATCTTCCTTGCCTTCCCGATTATCCTGATCGCCGTTCAATGTTTCGTTGTCAGAATTGATCGAAGCTGTTTCAGAGTCTGCCGTGGAGTGAGACCCGAGAACCATAGCAGCGATATACTGAGCACGTTCCTGAGCAGCACGGGCCGACATTGCTTCATCAGAGTTTGGATCGTGTTCCTCACCTGCATTTGGAAAATCAAGTACCGAGTTATATGAGTTTCCACGCAAGACTGATGGCCTGGGCTTAAGTGGAGTCGCGTCTTGAGATTCTTTTGATGCTCTCAACTGTTGTAGCATCACTGGCGGCTCGATATCGGCGGTGCTGTTGAAACGTACTCGCCCCTTCTCTTTCTTGGCCGTCGTTCCATTGCTAGGGGGCGTAGTGTTCTGTACTGCGTCTGAAGAACCGCTGGAAGATGGGCGGTCATTTTCCGATGAAGATTGCTGTCCGGCTTCCATAACCACCGAAGCCCTCTAATTATGTATGAGGGGTTCGGACCAAGGTAGGGAACAAAGGACAGAGATTTGTAATCAGCGGGTAAGAGATATATAACCAATGGCCAGATGGCCAGTTAGAGCAGATCTGGGGGACGAATGTATTGTTCTATACGTTCCAGGGGTAGATCTACTCAAAATATGGTATGGTTAGGAAGTAAGAGAGGCTTTGAAGTATAACACGAAATGCAAAAGCTGAGTTAGAGGAAAGAGAGGCGCTGACGAGTAAAAGGGGTGAGGTATGGCAATGACGCAGAGACAAAGGATAGAGTTTGAATTATGACTCTGAATACGTCAAGACTTAACTGTTGACAAAAGAACGCCCACTCTCTAGACAGTGCATGGATAACAACTGGCTCTTAAACTGGAGCTCAAGCTAGAGTTAGGTGACTGGAAAACTTCGCCCAATCCTTACCTACCTAACCAACCGACCTCGCCCAGTGCTCGACTTCTCGACCATCTTGGCAATATCGTGAAAGTGGTTTGTGGGCTGACGGACGGGAAAGCTCCAAAATAGTGTGGATACAGCGACTGTGGTAGCGCCGTGATGGTCGGACCAGGATATTTGGAAGGACGATTGGCAGGCGGATGCTTCCAGGTTCCCAGATCCCATCCCGGGTCGTGGATTCTGGCCATGTTGGTGTGCTGTCTTATCTCGACTTCTCCACCAAATTGGTAGCCTACTACCTAGGTAGTTAGTAAAGGGCCGATCCAGTACAGCCAACCATCTTAAGATTACCAACCAGCTCCTGGTGGAAACGAGGGCGATACCCCCCGTGAGACATACATGTAGTGTAGAGAGTTCAGATACAGTTTGTTGTGATGATATAAGTATGCATGGGATCTGGTGTGATGTGAAGTGATTATCTAGGCTTCCCAACTCGTACTCTGCTCGTATTACCTGGGTTGATAATTCCGTGGCCATAACTACCTAGGCTATGTAGATTTACGCGTAATGTCAGGTCGCAAGAGAAGCTCTAAGAAGATGTCGAAAGATGCCGAAGGATGATGTCGACGAAGGTTGGCACGGAGTTGGCATAACGCGTAATACCTACTCTATGCCGATGCCGTCCATGTCCATGTCCATGTGCTGGATTGGTCACAGAGCCGCAGAGCGGATGCAGGGACAGGGAATCTCTTGGAACGCCACCTACCTTGGTACTACGAAGTAAGTATGTACCTATAGTACATATAGTACCTAAATGTACTACAGGTATGTACTATAAGGCATAGTAGGTACCTCTTATAGTGCACCTTCCACTGCTAGAAGTGCTACCAAATCCCGCCATTTGCCTCCCGAGGTCGTCATAGTACCCACTATTAGTATCATAGGTAGGTACTATAAGCAGGTACTATCCATGGATGCATGTACATCATGCAGCCTAATCGGCGGATCTACACTGCAAGCTCTTTGCTCGGCAGCGCTCGCCGCTCGCCTGTTCGGGTAGCACAGCAAGACACCTTTAGTGCAGGGAGCTACCTATACCTATATCTAATAGGCTTGTTATTCTAGGCTTGCTCGGCTTGCTAGGCTTCTGCTCGGGCTACCGGCATGGGTATACTATCTACAGTAGGTATGTATTATAGGTAGGTACGTAGATGGCTCGGATGGTACCTACCTACATACTTTTCTGGTTGTGGGTGACGCATGGAAGCGTCCTGGCGCCTTGACTGGCTGTTTTCCTGGTATCGAACACGGCAGTGGCGTTTCTAGCTCGCACAGACTCGCATGAAGCCATCCATCCATCCTTGGGGAGTTTCGGGCTGCAATTGGCTATCTGCATCAGCTTATATAGCTTGCACTAATGTTTCCGTTAGAGCACTTGTGGGAACAGCTATCTCGAGGTCGGCGGCACGGCAGAGTGGGTTAGCAAAAATTTATCTCTGCTGGTGTTCGATAAGACGCTCAGTTCTCTCAGGGTTTTTTCTCCTGACCTTTTTTGCTATGTCTTTCGCTGTTCAATATATACATGTACCTAGTAGTAGGCATTCGCAGCTGGCTTGGCCACATGCAAGCTGCCTGGATATGTATATACGTTGGTCAAAATCAACATACATACAGTACCTGTAGATATGTGTATATGTTTATATTTGTGCTTAGTAAATTCCAGGAGGTGCGTAAGTGGCTAAATAAGTAAGCAAGTACGCTACCTACATGCGGGATTGTGTTAATGGGTATCATTATTGTGTCAACTTCATATGCGAATTTGCAACAACCCATACCGTCTGAAGCCTTTTGAGAACAAATCGAATCAATGAGTAGGCGGCTCAAACCCAGGGAACAGGCGTGAGACATATCGTGAAATCTTTCCATCTCCTTATTAAATCTTACGGTAAACCACATCCCCAGTTCTGCAAGACTGGTTCCGTCAAAGCCTTCAAGCCGATCAAAATAGTCGGACCTAGATCTGCACTATCTTTTACGGAATACGTCTAGGCGAAATCTTCACGTCGAGTTGTGGCCCCCGGGAAACCCCAGTTTGTTCTAGTCAATCTAAATGATCTAGTTAGATAGGTACTCTACAGTACGCTATCAAGTCTCGTGTAGGCATATCAACCCACTTTGTGGGATAGCGACGATGGCTGTGCTTGGAGATTCGTAAGCTCACATCGCATCTGAGAGTGGCAATATGTCTCATCGTCGTAAAGGAAGAGAAAGGGAGGGTGAAAACCCCCCTCAGCATTCTGATACTGCGAGCTGACAGCTGTGAACCCCCACGGCTGCTCGCGGCTCGCAGGATTTGGCTCTCATCCGTGTTATTTCGGCATTTTAGCGTTTTTGCTACCTATATTTGGAAGTGCGTGTAGGGAACCGATACTCACGCCAGCTACACTAAACCGTGACCCGGTCGACTCCCTAGTGTAGGCTAGATCTGTGTGTACTACACTAGGCATCGTAGCATATAGTAAACAGACCATGGGTAGATAATAAGAGTCTCGAACAGCCTTAGTTCTTCTGGTGCCCCTCTAGGCATCAATGGCGCTCAGTCAGCTACCGGGCCTCCGGGTTGGGCTTCAACAATAAGATTGCTCAAGCAAAACTTTTCTTGCCCTCGTGCTCTGCTCGTGACCCATACTACTCCCTTTCGGAGTTGGTGATAATGAGTCCCTACCTATATAAACTACTCACTTACTACAGTAAGTAGACAAATAGGTAGCCTCTATCCACTGAGGCCATTGACCTATAGGCGTTTCGCCATAAGAACGTGAGCCAAGGAGGCTGGCGGAAAGGTCGACTAGGCTGAAAGAGGTATTCCGAGCGAAACCTGCCCCTCCTCTGCCAATAATTCTTCAGCAGACCCGTGCGCAACACTTGCTCAAGGTTGTGAATGCTTACAGCGATGGTCACAACTGGCGATGTCAATTGTCCATCGGTATTATGGCGTGGAACTCGATGGTTTCTTAGTTCACCACCATCGTCACCACCTGTGTCAAGCAGCTTCTGAACCACCTATCATGGGACCGCCTTCTTCGTTGTCGTGGGAACAGAGAGATAGGGGAAGCAGCCGAATGCGACTCCGCCGATCCAAAGCCATGCAACAAACAGAAGCAGATCACGATACTGTGTGATTCGGCTTTTCCTTCTTCTGAAACGTCACCGAGTGGCAAATAATGTAGTTGTGGGACCTGACGCTATTCCGAAAGACCTTATCTCTCCTGTATTGCAACTATCGGGCCCCATCTACACGGCGGGCTCCATGAACATGATATAATATTATGTGTGCACACGAACTCGGTCTCGGGATTTGCGCGGTGCACAGTCGTCCATGCTTCCTCTGTATCAGCATGTTTCGTTTTCTGGAACCTGATGCTCGTCGATATACAGAACAGAGACACTGTGATATCAAAGGCCACTGGAAGCAAAGCTTACCTTGCAGCTGGAGCGGACCTATAATAGGGGAAACCCACCCCTTTGCTCTGGCAAATTGTTAATCACCATAATATAAAGTTTTCTTAAGGCCCAAGAAATGATCATTGTTCTTCTACTTATCGTTTCGGACCTCAATGCTGTACAGCAGCCAGATCCCTAAGGGTGTCCCACTGTGAAAAGAGCGGTGAGCGTCCAAATTCGATCATCGTGTATGGTACAGACAAAGACACCGACTAGTTAGAAGAAATATGTGTATACTTGCAATCAAAGAATGGAATATGTAATGATGACAGATTTCTCAGCAGCAACTCATGTGCTACAGTGATAACCCCGATGGCTGCTCCGGATTTAACGGGCACGGAATTAGTAGTTTCCTGATAAGGACTGGGTTGAACCGAAAACATGAGGCCAAACAAATGTTAACTTGATATCCCAATGAAGACTACCGTCTCATGTTGAGGGAACGCTAGTAACTCGAGTTCATTTTTTTATATCTACTCTAATGTATCTAGTTGTAGATACCGCTTGGTACGCTGCACCCCAACTCACGACCGTGCCTACATCACATCACTACGTAGTGTGCTTTGGGCCGCGTATCTACATTCCATTAATTACGCCTCATCGGGTCCAACCTGTAAAACTAGTTCGTTCACCCTGTCGCATCATACTGTTCGCGTTGACCTGTTACCGGAAGATTCAGATAGACCAACGGTGAATTTTATGTAGAGTTAAGCTCTGAGCTAGATATATATCTCGGCCTGGCTTTAGACCAAAGAGGCATTTGATGTCAGATATCTGATCTTCCCGGTATGCAACCACGCGGCGCACCCACGGCCTGGACATAACTAGAAATGAACCCTCTACGCCTCTGATTGACAGCAGTCTGTGCTGGTATAGGAGCGGCTGTGAAGAGAAATAGTCTTCGGATGATTCAGGCTTGTGAACAGCTCTCTTTGCATGCTACCTTCCCCTCTCGTGCAGGGCACGGGGTAACGATATGGGGAGTATAGATTGATGCGGAGATGGTGGAGTAGCTCGCCTGGTTTTGCTCGTGGTGTTAATAAACTGACCAGCTTCCCCTCTTGACCATAGGTAACTGCCGGCAGAGCTCATGGCTCGAGAGGGGAAATAGGGCTGACGATCTTCCCCTCGGTCTAGCTACGGCGACGCAATGGGCCGACATGTAGCTTCGTGCTCGACAATATCCCGTCCACCCAGCTAGTACCATATGAACTCTCCGTGACTCTCTGCCGTTACTTATAAATAAAAGTTCCATAGATTTGTGCCCAGCGTGAGAAAAGGTCTTGGGACCGTAGTAAAATACATCATGGTCGCCAAAAAATTAGCCTTGGGCCTGCTCCCGACATGGGCATTAGGCCAAAGCAATGTGAAATGTAAGCACTCTTCCTCGAATCTTACAGTAGATTGGCAGCATGTTCAGTTACATCGCGCACCCAGTTGATATCATATTGCGCCCAATTGATAACCCAATTCTCACCAATTGACTTCAGGGATAACTGTGGAGGATGGCCCAGCACCGTCCTTCTCATTGGCTTCATCCGGTATCTCATATCAGTTCCACGTCGACCCTTACACGTTAGATCTGATTCATGATCACTGGGGCGGCTATGCCGCAGAGACCGTCCCCCAAGACACTGGTAACAGGAATGGATGGGGTGGTCCATACACCTACCGGCTTCGTGAATTTCCCGATTCCGGCCGAGGCGACTTCCGTACGCCGGCGATCCACATTCAACATGCAACCGGGGACACCGTTTCCGCCTTCGCGTACACCGGCTACGAGGTGAAAGCCGGTAAACCCGGGCTGCCCGGGCTCCCGGCCACTTATGGAAATGAAGACGACGTTTCTACACTTATAGTGCATCTATATGACGAATATTCAGCCATCTCAGCGGACCTTTACTACTCAATCTTCCCAAAGCACAATTCTATCGCACGTAGCTTCCGTCTTACAAACAAGGGGAACAACACGGCGACTGTGCAAAGGGCAAGTAGCTGGAGCATCGACATGCCTAACGAAGAACTTGATCTAATTGATCTTCGGGGAGACTGGGCTGGTGAGGCTCATATAAACAGACGCTCAGTGGGATTTGGAGAGCAAGGGTAGGCCATGTCTCATCTCATTGTTGCTAGCATATATTGATTAATTTTTTGCTTTCATAGCTTCCGGTCAACGGCTGGTTACTCGTCCCATTTCCACAATCCATTTTTTGCACTTGCTCCTCCTAGCACCACGGAATTACAAGGGCCTGCAACGGGGTACGCCCTTCTGTACACAGGTTCGTTCGCCGCAAACGTAGAACGATGGTCAACAGGCTGGGTGCGGGTACTACTTGGTCTTAACCCATTGCATTTATCATGGCCTCTCGAGCCGGGCGATACCTTCATCTCTCCGGAGGTAGTCTCTGCATACTCCTATAGAGGCTTTAGTGGAATGTCACAGTCATTGCACTCTTTGTTCAAAAACCAACTATCGCGCGCTAACCAGACGTTGGAAACCCGGCCAGCTCTCCTAAACTCCTGGGAAGGTCTCAAGTTCGATTATAACAGCACTTCCATGGTGGAACTAGCCAAAGGAGCTGCAGATCTAGGCTGTAGACTATTTGTGAACGACGATGGCTGGTTTGGTACAGACTACCCGCGTGATAATGACAGCCTCGGTTTAGGCGACTGGGTTCCTCAGGAGAAGAAGTTCCCCGAAGGCCTGGGTCCCTACGTCGACGATGTGAATGCGATCACTGTAGCTAATTCGTCTGATAAGATGATATTTGGCTTATGGTTTGAGCCAGAAATGGTGAACCCGAATTCGGATCTTTACGCTGAACACCCTGATTGGGTTCTTCATGCAGGATCCCACAATCGCACTCTACTGCGTTCCCAGCTAGTACTCAACCTCGGACTACCAGAGGTGCAGGAATACATCATCACTACGGTCGGAGGAATCCTTGATTCGGCTAATATCAAGTACGTCAAATGGGATAATAACCGCGGACAGCACGAGCTCCCGTCGCCCGCTGCTAACCACGCCTACATGTTAGGTTTGTACCGCGTGATAGACAATCTCACAAGCGCACACCCTGACGTCCTATGGGAAGGCTGCGCTTCAGGCGGAGGCCGCTTTGACGCAGGACTGCTGCACTACTGGCCACAGACCTGGACATCGGATAACACGGACGGCCTCAGCCGGCTACAGATCCAATTCGGAACATCATACGCGTACCCGCCCTCGTCAATGGGCTGTCACGTCAGCGCCGTTCCCAACGACCAGATCGGCCGCATAACACCCCTCGCTTTCCGATCAGCTGTGGCGAGTATGTGCGGCTCGTATGGTCTAGAGCTAGACCCCAAGGATCTAACGCAGGAAGAGCGGGACATGATCCCGGGCATGATCTCCCTCCAGCAAGAGATCAACCCGCTCGTGATCAACGGGGACTTTTACCGCCTTGCGCTTCCGGAGCAGTCGAACTGGCCGGCCGCTATGTTCGCGCTGCCCGACGCGAGCGCGGGCGTGCTATTTGCGTTCCGGATTCGATCCGAGACGAAACCCCTGCCACCACCGGTGAAACTGCGAGGTCTGGATGCCGATGCTAAGTATAAGCTCACCGGGGGTTCGTTCAACGCTACGTTCTCTGGATCTACGCTTATGAACACGGGGCTTAGCTTGAAGTGGCCGAATGGGGATTATCAGAGCTATATTATCAAATTAGAGAGGGTAGAGGGTGGATGATATAGGAAGAATGGAGGAATGAGATCGAAAAGGAGTTAATGACAAGATGTCGTATTAGCTGATAATAGGTAATACTAATAACGAGCTAATAAATCCAACATGTTTTCACATAATCTGGGCAGGTGAAAAGTAGTTGATGACATCGTCAATATTGCACGACTGTTATGCTACCAAGCGCCGCAAACAGTAGATGTTACTATACAATGGATTACTATTACTATACTTTACATCTTAATACATGTATGCACCAGAGGCCTATAACCGTATGTTACAGCTCCCATGATCAAATCTTTATACAAATGTTGCTTCGTCGATCGCTTAATCAAGTCTCCAGGACAGATCCCAGCACACTCCCCAACACGCCGCGGACCCTGTTCCGGTTCTCACGGACGCAGGTAAACACAACAGCCGTGCTGAACGCGAAGACAAACGTCTCCCTCCACTGCTTTTCGAGCGGATAGCGTCGAGGCAAGAGCGTAGCCAGGGCCCTCGGTGCTACGAAAAGCGCCATATCTTTCCGCCGTGACGCTGCCTCGAAGAATATGCTCCACCCGCACATGAAGCAGCCACAGCCCACACAAACGCCGGCATCGATGGTCTGACGGGTCCCGACGTCGTGTTTATCACCCAGATGAGGCCCGACTCGCGTCCGCGCGAGACAGACGCCGTAGTAGAACAGCGCGATAAAGGTCGCGAGGAACGAAGAGGAGCGCGCGGCGGAGGTGAGAGCCCGCCGGAAGCCCGTGGGGTTCTTGCTTCGGGCGAGAATGTTTAGGGGTAGATATGTTGCCATGGACCACTTGAAGGAGCGGACAAAGCGGGATAGGGCGTGGTATTCGCAGGATGGGCCGCATCCCATGTGCACCATCTCGCAGGGGAACGGCACCGTCCTCGCAGGGTCGCCCCATTCTAAGGGCCACTTGAAATCTTTGCACATGGCTTGTAAGAGCGGCGCTTGACCGGTCTCCTCGCCGTAGCGCAGCTCGCCTTTACGACACCGCCGTAGAGCCTCGATGAGTCGCGCGTCGACGGCGGCGGCGGAGCTGATCCATTTGTTGTAGGATTGGGGCAGCCCCGAGGGTGCGTAGAACCAGGCCCACATTATCAGTGCGCAGGACACTGCGAATATGGACGGGTCGGCCATGTTTGATATGAACGAGTCAAGCTGTGCGGCTTAGTGAGATGCTCGGGGTAGGGCTCGTTTAGGGGCACTCACCCACGACCATCGACCAGCGGCGACGCGGCGCTGCCGTCTTTGCGACCATAATTCGCCAACTACGACGTCGACAGCTCTGGTAGCGGCGAAGAGGGTGAGGTCAAGCGTTCGTCCTGCATACTGGATGATTCTCTGCTTGCCACTTTCTGTGGCGTTAGTTTTGGCTGCGTATGCCTCGGTTTTCTTAGATTGTAGAAGCCGCAGGCTCAGCCAGCCGGCAATGAATGATGAGACCCATATCGAAAGTCTGTAGACGGGTTAGATACGGCTGAGAATAAGCAATGATAAGAATAGTATGGTGGCATAGAATATTGAATATCCATGAAGACATCGAGATTGGAAAGTGGTGGTGCTGTTGTTGTCTTACCTTCGTCTAGCTACAGCTGACAGCTTTGTTTTCAAGCGATTTATTAGTCTTCTAACAAGAATCTATGCACACTCCATGTCAGTTATGCCTCGTTGACTTGACGTGAGGAGCAATGTCTCACATCTAAGAGTGTAGTACCGCCAACCAGGGCAGCACAAAAAGTCGGAAAGCGTTGAGGGTCGAGTCCGCTACAAAGCACATGTCTTAGGGATGCAGCAAATGAGTCTCGCTGTGGCTGGGCGTTGTCCTTCTTCAGACCCCTGCCTTTCCTCCACCTCGCTCCATGTTGTAGAATCAACGTCAGAACCCGCGGTGCGACGGCCGATGCATACCCCAGGACATAGGCTCTAAGCGCCGGCCGTAAAATCGGCGGGACAGCCTTATTCAGCCTCTCTTGGACTTGACGGGGCCTTTGGAGGAGCGGAGTGGACGATGTCATTGTTGAAAGTGATGATGGGGATAGCACGTGCCACGCGCATCCGTCTCGACGCGTGCTTTTTGGCCGAGACTTCCAGACCGTCCGGGAGAGAGAATATAGCACATAAGTAGATAATTGATGCAGGTACCAATTGTGGCTAGCCCATTGCAGGGGGAATATGCGAGTCCATGCAGGTCAACGGTCAAGTTCGAGATTCCTTGACGACGATTGAGCATCAATCGCAACCTCGGCTTCGCAAGCAGTTATTATGTACCTATTACTAGGTGCCTACATATGTAGCTTTTGGTATGTATTACAGGGCCGATATGTAGGCGCTAAACTACCCAACCTTACAGCTAGATTAGTGCACTGTAGCTCTTTAGCGTCCAGTGGTTTGGTACTGGAGATACAAGATACATATTAAAGGGGGCGGGTCTTGACAACGGGGAAGGAAAACGAGTGAGCTGTATCTCTTGATCTCTCTGTTAAACAGAGCTGCTATGTGATGATGATGATGATATAATCATAGGATAATTATTGAAATGGCGGAGAGTTTTTAAGTGCTTGAATTCGTGTTTGTCGACAGTTTAAATCGGTTGATTCGAGTACATGTAGAACATCTTAAACCATAGTAGGCACTTAATCAGCTTCAACGCTTAATACTTGGTATTGTAAACCAAGATGGAGCTATCAGAGGCGAACTAAACGAACGTTATAGTCTCATATTGCTACTGTAGATAGCAAACATGGCTGAGAATCACGACCGCCTCGCCTAGGGGATTTCAATATAGCCGGAGCAATGGACGGCTTCTTTACGAGTTCAGTTTGAAGCAGAACAGAGCAAGTTTAAAACAGCACGTTCCAATAATGTATGTTAGTATTACCCCGCATCCCACGACGGCACGTCTTGGTACAAAAGGTGGATTATGACAAAGTTATTCCCTTCTACCAATCTACTCATAGGTATTTGGTATATAGTTAGTCCTCATACGTACGTGGGGTTCTGGAAGCGTCCTGTTGGAGAAGACAGACAAGATCTCCGCCCTCCATGTGAATAGATAGTAGGTACTATAGAGATATATAAATCTAACTTGGCAGTAAATCGCGATCTGGCATACAATTTAGTACATAGCTCCAAGTGTATGTATAGTAGTAGGTAGTCTTGTGCCTGACAGTAGGAGACCCTTGCTTGTACCACGATCACGTTACGTTACGTACATACTGCGTACATATGTTGGGTGCCAACCTCCCGCATCAAGGATAGGTAGTATCTGGGGACACTGCACACTATACATGCTTGTTCATCTATCTTGACCAACTATGTAAGACAGTTTTGGTGCCCGAACATGTACATATATATAACTTACGTTGAAGGTACGGTAGCATGCTATGTAGATCTCGCACTTGATAACCCCGAAGATTGAAAATAAAGGAAGCTGAAAAAATCGGATCAACGGCTGTGGGCCCAGAGTGCTGACATGTGATTGCGCCTAGAATAAATCCCATGAGCATTCACTACCTATTTAACTGAGACCAGTATTCGCAATACACAGGTTCATATCCACTTGAGCATTTTAGATAGTTGGTTACATACTTCATCCCCACCCTTCCAAGGTATGACAATCTCGACAATGTCCCATCTAAGAGCTGATGGGGACAATTGAGAATGCCAGATGCCAAATGTACGTGCATCCTGTGGTAGCGCTGGCCTGTCTATGGAGACACTACGCCAACTTCCCTGTTTCGTGCTTCTCACTTCTTCCCCTCAATGCTGTCATAATGGAACTTTGACAACATCGACTGGTTCTACCAGTACTCCGGACCCCAATGCACAAGAAACGTGTCTAATCAGGGAGCGAAGGGGCGAGAGGTCAAGTGACAAACAAGTGCAACCCGACTCTGCCCGACACTGAAATGGATGCCTCCTTCAAGTTATCATCCATCCAGGGTCCAGCAGCCTGAGCACCTCGGCAGGTTGGTTGAGTAGGTGGCATCTTACATACTGTAGATATCGATCAACTTGCAGCGCCATTGTCTCGCGCTAAGGTATACTGCAGATGATGCTAAATGAAGATATGAGCTGAATTTGATTCGTTCTTCGCCGCCATCATGGAATGCGCCAATTTCCGGAATTAGACAGGCTTTACTTCGTAGATGATGCACGCGCCTAGATACATCAACTACCTAGCTGTAATTGCTTAAGTCGTCTCCAGCCCCGAGTTTCGAGGTTGGAACCTACAAAAGCATCGGTGGCCAGTTTCTATCCATTGCGGGGTGCATGATTACTCACATACTGTACACTACATGCCGCTATACGACTCTTTTTCTTCATTCTATTAATCCCAGGTATTAGTTATTAAGTAGTTGGCGGCAATCTTAGGAGGCTATATGACCTTTGGAATTATTGCTCTAACTAGGTACTTAAGTAGGTAGGTTGCCGAGTGCTTTTCACCTAAAGCGAAGATGTCCGCATATTACACACATGATTCTGAAAGCACAACGAAGACTGCAGCTTAACTCTATACCTTGAAGCTTAATCCAAGCACTCGGTAGGACCCGAGCTGCAAAGGCCTTCAGCTATCTATAGGTAGTAACCCGGGTAGCAATCATCTGGTTATGCGGGCTTATAATATGTCGCCTTGATGCTATCCGTCAGATCGACCTTGGGGGCATGGCAAGATCACTAACCTACTATTATACCTTGTTATACCAGGTACCAGGTAACCCACCGGTAGTATTTTATTATTCTACCGACTCAAGGCCGTAGCGCCCTTCCAAGGCAAGGTTGCGAGGTCGTTTGCCCTACAGTATGTCCTATGCTTAATGTACCGTAGATGTACGTAGGTGTCAGGTATCTGTAAACGACGTTGCAGATGGCTGCTTGCAGGTATGTACTTACTTACCTGCCTACCTACATAGGTAGGGCCGGCCTAGAGCTGGCTTGCTGGGGTTCCCTGGAGTTCGCTGGAGCTTGCTGTAGGTAGCTTGCTGGAGCTCCGTGGCATAGGTACCTGCTCAGTTAGGCTGGCACCTGCTCGGCGGTACTTTTTGGGTACAGCCTGGTGTGGCCTCGGGTCCAGCTCTGTATCCCGCACCCCACACTTACCCGGGGTCGACTGCCATGAGAATCTGTCGTCGACGATCCTTCGTCCCATCCAAACTCTACCACTCGCGCACATTCGCACTTTTGCATATTTCTACGATATACGACCCCGTCTATGTTGGCTCAAGCTGACTTCTAGCTCGCAAACGGCTGCCCATAACCGCTTCTGGCCTCCACAACCACCTTCTTCGACCTCGCTTTCAACCTCGGCATTCGCCTCGCGTTGTCCACGACCGCCAGAGATTAGCCTCAACAATATGCGCTATTCGTAGGAACAACAGCCGCTCGATTGTTTCCGTCCAGCTTGCTGCGTCACCCGTCTCTCCTCCTCGACCAACTGTCTGGATATCCATCTACGTGACCTCTTAGTACCGAAGTTTCCCGCATTGTCCGGTCAACAGAACGATCCGAGCTATATCAACAATACAGACTGTCCATGTACTTATTCGCCTGTACTATGTAGCAAGCTTGGAACGGACAAACACGCTTTTTCTCGCATTTTATACTGTACATTTGTCCTGCTACGAAGCCACAATCGCCAAAATTGCGCCATATCTAATCATTCCCGTGCTTGTATCCGTACCTGTATCTGTATCCATCACTCGAACCGCTTCGACACTCCTCGATAAACGCCTATCCACATTCCCCCGATTGCCTCGATCGCAATAACATTGTATAGAAACGCGCAGACCTGCCTCTCGTAGCTTGTGTGGGTTGTGTGGTTCTGTTGCTCCTCGACAAGGGCTCGCAGGAAACCCCGCGGCCGAGGTCCGCCTGTGTTGCGCAAATAGGTACTCACAGATGAAGCACTCATGACCGCCGTGGCGTGTATACACCGTCCCAAGATGGGTTCGCCAGAGTTTGAGGGCGACTTGCCATTCGGCTGTAAGTGCTCCAGCGCCGCTATATTAGACCTCCGCAAGCTTGTGTTTCGACTCTTCCGCGTTCATGATTATCTAATTGTGATCTGCAGACCATCTGAATTTAGATGATACTGTTCAACCTCCACCCTCGCCTCATGGTATTCCCATATTAGACCCAACTGACAGTAATGTGTTGGGGACTTTCTTCAATCGCTTGAATAACTTACAGCCTAATGACTGGCCTATGCAGTCTTACGGCAATGGGCTGCCTTTCAATGAGAGTTGGATCAATCCTGTTGCGCCTAATCTACTCGGGCATTCGACATCTTTCGGGTCACAACCTCCACCTGATTTGGCCTCGGCAGCCATAACAGGGCAGTCTCCGGTGAACTTCCAGGATGGCTTCACATTTGTACCAACCATGCCACATATGATACCGCCGCCGCCGCCTCCCGAACTCCCGTTACAACAACAACAGGCCATGGCAACTCGCATCCATCCCCATCAGCAATCCCACCTTGACCAAAGATTATTGCACGCAATGGTTGAGCAAAATGCCCATACAGACGCAGCCGCCTCCTTAACGACTTTGCAGTCTGGTCATGCATATTCCTACTCACCTAATATGGCCAGTATCAATAGATTGCAGCAGTCACCCATCACACAACCTCCAAGAGACTATAGAAACTCTCTTTCACAATCTCATCCCATGCAAGGTCAAAATGCATTTGTGCGATCAACAAGAACCAATGAGCCCGAGACATTATTTAGAGACATGATGTTCGGAACTCAAGGATCGACAGCTCAACGTACAGAGGAACGCTCGGAGTTGCAATGGGGCTCTGATACCACATTTGGTATGTCTCAAGGATTTGTGCCACCACAGCATGAATCAAGTGAAGCTCTTGTGGAAAAGCGGATGGCTACGATGAGGGAAGCGTTGCACTTAACTAGTAGTGATCCAAACACTCGAGCTTCAAGCCCGGCCATGAACGATGAAGTAGCTACTCAGGCGCTCCTCGAGAACAGCAACGGGAATAATAAAGTGCAAGGAAATCCAGCAACACATAATAAGAAGCGGAAGACCAAGCCCAAGATTGAAGAAGAGGACGAAGTGGAGGATAAAGTACCAATTCCGCAAAAGCCTATAACGAAGAAGCGTAAATCTGGAATTGATTTGAATGAGTTGCCTGGCTCATCCTTAACACAGGAAGTGGCCGGAAAACGTCGGAAGTCAGGACCGAACCAACCCAAGCCACCGCGTGAAAACTTAACCGAGGCACAGAAGAGAGAAAATCACATCAAAAGCGAGCAAAAAAGACGACTTGCTATCAAAGAGGGATTTGAAGACCTTGCCTTCATTATTCCGAACCTACAGAACGGTGGCTATAGCAAAAGCACCACGCTGAATATGGCAGGAGAATGGATTGAGTCTCTCATAGAGGGCAATCAGAAGCTGAAGCGAATATTGTCGCCTTTTGATGGCGAGGAGGAAGCGGAAGCAGGTGAGGATATTGCGCCTTGATGTATACTTAGATAACATTTCTCGCGAGACTTCTTTTATCCGCGATTACATAGGTGTTTAAGGTGTTAGATGTTGGAGGTATATTTGGCACTAGTCGTGCTGGGGATCACTGGCGAGGTGTGGTGATGATCCCAGAGCCGGTACTTTGGGTGGCCTTGTTTCAATGATACCCGTGATTTTCAGCAAGGGGAGGGAGGGCGTCATCGGCGCAAAAGGGCTACCTACAGCTTTCAAAGCGTCAAAACGTATGATTACGACGTGAACGCGTTGCGGTCTAATGAGGTAACTGATCTGTAGCATATCTCGATAATAAAGCTCAACGGATCATCCGTTACTATGAAAGACCAGTGCTACCCTGCTTACCGCGTCTGGCAGCATTTGATTTTATATGGCACAATGAGCAAAGGGGTATCTATGATTTTATAAGAAGGCAAATAAACACCGGCTTGGTACAGTTGAGTAGATCATGGTCATCTATCTATGTGGGAACTATTTCATTCATTCATAGCGTGAAATCGCTCGTGCGCCGACATTGCGAACGCAGGAACCGCGTGTCCGCAGACCTGGCATCTGTGCGACTCCGACACTGCTTGGTCTTCTTCCCAGGTATCATCACCATCTTCATCCTCATCATCACCTTGATTTTTGTCAAGCAATGGGATGTTAGTGCTACTATTGTCCATAGCGACCTGTCGTCCTTGAAATTGCGCATCACATTCTTCGTCGTCTTCTTCTTCCTCCTCTGCCATTACGAGGTCTTCTACTGCTATGTCCTCTCCGGTTGGCGTGGTGTCTTTAATTACATTAGGCGCGGGATTAATATCAATATCAATTGAAGGAGCAAGAGGAAGAGGAGATGCAGCGGTGGCGGGAATAGAAGAAGTGTCATAGACCGTCCACTCGCGCAGCTTGTCTTCCTGCGCCCGAAACATCCGACCGATATCCCGGCCTGGCGCCATGCTAGACCCAGACACGGAGCCGGAGCTGGATTCGTCTCTAGCTACGAGAACCATGTTCGTCACGCAGATGTTCAGAAGCGCTAGATTCCAACCGCCGCTGCGCGAGGGATGCAGGCGGCGGAAAAGGGGCAGGAGAGATTCTGTTACGAGACGAGAAGCGATCTCCTCGCAGGAAAGGGTTGCCGGGGATGGATATGTCGATGTGGAAGGCAGTGAAGATGTAGATGGCGACGGTGGTGAGAAATGGAATACAAAACTTGGGAGTGGCGCGCTACGCGACGAACGGCTGAAATTGGGAACATCGGCGCCGTTCGTGCTTGCGCCGTCCGTGGGGATAGGTTGTTTAGTTTTGGTCCGCGTCGATAGACGCAGGGTCTTTGGGTAAGCCAACCAGCGCGGCGTTCCAGATGAGCTTGTGGCGTTTTGAACGGTTGGATGAATATCCGCCTCAGTAAGATCCACGCGCATGCGTCGGATCAGAGAAGTTGCAAGGGCATGCAGCTCCCGATTCACTTCGGCAGGTGTCTGTAGCGGCCTGGACATGTACGTGTCTTCGATGGAGATCTGCGTCGGGACGTCGCTGGCCTCCTTCACCTCCGATGGGTCTATCCCGTGCAGAAAGTTCCAGACTTTCTCACCACTGCCGCGCTCAGCGCCGGGGCGGTCGAGGATCTGCTCGAGGAGATCGGAGGACATGCCAGGATACCGCCGGGCCTCACCTACCGTTACGTTGTTTCCTTCGCGGTCACGCAGCTCAGCGGGTCTGGAAAGGAGGTATTCTTCCATCAGCTGCGCGATGCGCGACCCGATGCCCGGAACCTTGCGAATACTATGGGCATCCATGAATGCCTCGACCGCATCAGCGCCATTGCCATCTATCGCGAGGAGCGTCGTTTGATTATCCGGCTTGTTAACGCTGCCGGCAAGCTTCGCGAGAAGCTTGTTGGTGGATATCCCGCCGCTCGAGGTGTATCCGAAGTCCCCGTCGAGTCTATGCCGTAGATACCCCGCAAGATGCGAGGCGAGCATCAAGCGGACACAAAGAGGATTCTCAACATCCACGAACCCTCCTTTGGCCTTCGACTTATCATCAGGCTGTACACAGCCGTAGAACCTCGATCCGTCGAACGCAAACCCTTTCACCGGGTCGTTACTGTCAAGCTGGAAGAAGGAGGCTCCGAGCGCGTGCACGTTCAGCAGCTCTCGGTTGTACGCGATGACATCTGTGACGTCAAGAAAGACCTCATCGAGACCTAGACGCTCAACGCGACGGTTCCATGAATGCGCACGGAGGAACGCCCACAGCTTCTTCGAGACGTCGCGGAAACGCGTTAGATCCTCACCGTTCATCAATATCAGATCAGGACAAATCTTCTGCGCCTCTGAGATGAGCATCAATTTCTTGACGCCGCGCGCCCGTGCCACGTAGTTGCATGTTGCGAGGATGCTCTTCTGCTTTATGCCTAGGGGCTGTGACTTGAGAGACGGGTTCTCGTTCTCAAAGACGCTTGCGTAGAAGCAGTCGTAGTCCTAATTGTTTTGGGTCAGAAATGAGGGATTATTAATAGGCATATTGTTGGTTGTTTCGTTGTATTCGAAATTGGGAGTAAGAGTTATAAGTAGAAGATGAACATGTCTGGGCATCTATGCGCTACCCTTAAGAGACTTTGATACTGAAGGATTACAATGCAAGGCAGGGGCGGGACGATATAAGTTTATCCACTGTCCGTGCAGGTGTAGACGGTGTAGGAGACCAAAATAACGTGATACATGTCTGCTCGCGGCATGGACAAACGAAGGCGGAACATACGAAGTGCAAGATGATACGATCATCATTTCTCTTTGGGATCTTGATTGGTTTTGCAATATTGGGCGTCAAGCTTGTCGTCCTCATGTTGTTCCATGATCAGCTACCTGGATATATCGGCAGCTGGCGGTGGCGGGCAGAGCTGTAAATCAGCTTCAACCATGCTCCTTTAGGCAGCTCAGTCGGTTTACTATTGAGTGGCACGATTACACAGCTGGATAGGGCGTTGCCAGAACACGTCGCAAAGGATGCGAAATCGTCGTAGTCGCTAAAGACATGGTCCGTGATGATCTCGGAAGTTCCGATGCTGTGACAGTGCGTAGAGACCGGACACTGTGGCAACGTCGACTGTGCAGGTTTATTTTTGTCGCTCGACCGTTTTGCAGTGTAATTAGCGAATCCTAGCCCATGCCATGAGTAAACTCCTTCAAGCTTTTCGTACATATATTTAGGTATTTTTCTTCGCCCGCCCCATAATTCCTGTCATGTTAGTCAGGCGATAGCGGGAAGCAGGAAGTTAGTCAAGGATATAACCAACATTCGTTCATGGAAACCAACAGTTACTATTTCCTTGGCTGCCTACTCTACACCTAAATACATCGTTTACTTAAGATGTTCATTGTTAGTGTAGGAGCGCCGTTCCACCTTACTCGCCCACCGTTGACCCAACAATCGATCAGCCGTTTTTCGCTTCGCCGGTACGGGCACAGAAGCATAAGTAAGCCGGCAGGCAAGGGAGCTGAGCCAAGCCACCAACAGCTTGAAGATCAAATTTAGAACCCAGCAAGCTGAGTGTAAACGCAGAGTAGACGGACAGAGAGGCAAATATTGTATTGTCTATTGCTGGAAGGTCGATCCAGCTGCCGTGGGAACCTCTCCCCTAGGATTGAGCTGGAATGACGATGCTTCACACTAGACATTCAGGTGTGTTCTAGTGCCATAAACAGCTGTTTATCGACTCTCGGACCATCCGGCTTCTTACGTGGTAGGCTTGTTAGACTGCTAGTTCCTTCGCTTGTCTTTTGCCCAGGCGCAGAGTCACAATACTCGGTTCCGAATCGGCTTCTAGTCTCGGAAGGGTGGATCGCAGCAGAAAGTGATACTACAGAGAAGACTAGGTAGACTAAACCTAGCCGGTCGTGATGTGGCTATTGCGAACATGACCGGGCCGCAGTCTTACTTGAGTCTAGAGATAAGATGTCTAAGACATGCCGAGCTTCGATGTGACTTGAAGGTGAGGTTCGGCCCATCACGATGCACAATTCGATACACCATCGTCATCTTGATCTGCACCAGGTCATTTCGTGCCACTGAACGCGGGGGATGCAGGGTAGGCCGTTGGTTGAGGCGAGGGAATAGGCGCCGTACGAGCTAGTCCTACGCCCATACACGCGGTGAGAATTGATAGCCGACAGCGTCTTGGCCATAATTGGCCGTGGCTGACTGGGGGTTGCGCATCGCGGCCAGGATTAGTCGGCGCTTGCACACTTTCAACATCGCTTCCCTTGCTCCTGTCACCTTTTTATAGCCAACCAACAGTTGGCCCACTCCCTCTCCTTCGGACTCAACGTTCGTGAAGAAGTCCTTAGCATCCGTGTTCTCTGATCATGTCCGCATCTCATAACCTCATAACTCTTGATACCTCCTCTGACCTACCGTTAGAGACCCTGATGCCCCCCGGGTTCCCGGCTTCTTTGCATTAGCGTCATCCTTCCAACTGCTGTAATTGCCTGACTATTCATCATATTACACCTCCCACTCCCAGGGCAATATTATATAATTACCCTTTCTTCCCATCCTCTCGCCTGTATTCTGTTTCGCCAAGTTTTATTTATTATCTGGTACATTTTGGTTGGCTGGTAAGCCTCCTGGGTCTTAGTCTGTTCACTACATAGACTGGGGTATCCAAGTATCTATACCATAGCAACGATTCTTACTTCCCAAGGTCAAGGTCTCATCAAGGCGTGGTCGCCTCAAGTGGAATCATGTCACAACCAACACAATCAAGGAGACCGAGGTTGACTCTCCAGACTAGGCCTGTACATGGATCGGGTGTCAAATCTAGGCACACCTATGCCAATGTTGATATCAAGTCGCCGACGGCCCTCAACACACTATCAAACGTATATGCTACTGCAATCGAGAGGTCAACTCCTACTCAGACAACTCCCTTGACAGCGGTAAAACTTCATCCGCCACTCAAATTGAGGACTGATGTAGACACACTCCGGAGTCATCAGCAAAGAGTTCGCATATCATCCGCACCTCGACCAGATACCCCTTTATCGGACAATGCCACTTCTCCCCTTCAAAAGATGGAAGTCGTGTGCCCAAGCACTATGACTCCAACTCCACCATTATCAGCTGAGCCTGTCGACTCGGAACGCAGAGCGTTTACTTTTCCTTCCATGGAGATAGATCGTCATATCGTGCCACTATCACCAGGCTTGCCTCGTCGTTCTAATACTACTCTTGGTTTTGGCTCCCTCGCGACGGCACCATATAGTCACAATAGATCCCTCCACAGCATTCTACGCAATTCTCCTTTACAGCCATTCACTGCCAAGTCTCCTAGTGCGACAAGGAGGAAGTCAGTCCGGCTTCAAGAGAGAGTCTCGAGACGAGTGGGGTACGAGTCACCTTTGACCAAGATCATAACAACTGAAAAATACACGAAGTCGCACATTGACTTATTAGCTGAGGAAGCTTCTCCATATACGCCATCGCCAAGGCCAGAAGACTCTGATAGGGTGATTGATCTTGCCATGGCTTACCCGGGGGATGAAACAAAGGATGGTGGCCAGACCCCGGGGCCATTCGAAGAGATGAGGAGGAGGATGACAAGTCTTGCCACGGAGACACCTGTCCGTTCTCCGAGATCCGGCTCAGACGGGGTCCATAAGCGGAAACGAAAGGAGAAGAGGCGGAAGTGGGTTTGGACAATTGGGAAAGAGGATGAGGAGAGTGGAAGTGGAGAAATAGCGGCTGTCCGTGCCACGGGAGAGGCTTTCACATTCGGAGCCACTCGCGCGACGCTCCCCGTGCCTGTTCGGATCGATAGGTCTGAGACACCAGAGCCCGTGACAGCTATTAAAACCAGCGCCGAATGGTCTGAGTCAATATCAGACACATCGACTGAAACGGAATGGGACTGTATGGATGTCGATATTGCAGAAACGAGCAGTTTACACCCGAGCGAAATAACATCTCATGGTGTGGATCTTGACATTCAGACCCTGGTGGCGACTCACGACCTAGACTCACCCGAGTTGTTTTCGGCGAAAAGGCAACGACTCGATCATGACGTGACAATTCCCCCAACTCCCGTAGAGAGTTCAGAGGTTCCCATCGGATTTGAAGCCGAGAATAGGGTTGTAGCCGATCACAGTGAGGATGTGGATACCTTGATAAGAGAGGCATGATTCAATATTGGGTTAAACATAGGATGGGGGTTTTACACGCATATCGACCACACGGCGAAAAAGGTTCAAACGCATTGGGATCGGTTATTTTACTAGTTGAACTTTATATAGGTCTTTGGCGTTAGGTGACTACTATTGTAGGTCAAATGCGTATCATTTGCACGGACACCGTTATCGGTTTGTCCTTTGGTTATTTCGGCATGTATTATTAGTTTTAGCCATCATTGCGGCTATTTTCGCAGCACTGACTTGAATGAGAGCACGACAGTCACGATCACAATATTTGAAACAACATTTGATATACTTCGAACGACACGGTCGAATATAACGTCCATTCTTGGCATCCACTACTATCATATACCCCGGTGCCTAGACTCTTCCATATTACCGTGCTTATACGAAGACTGTCATAAAGCACTTCATATGCACTAAACTTGTGACACTTTCCTAGACATATGGGGTAGGCAAGAAAAAGTGATAAAAGAAAGCACATTGTTAGTTCCCGTCACCGGCGGAGCTCCGAGCGGAAAAGCTAACCGCCCAAAAAACGTCTTTCCCCGACGAACTACTATGTGCTATAATTACACTAAAGTGATTATAGATTTGCATAACTATGATATTCCAGTATTTCATGATTATCTGGACTTCCTCGATCAATCCCCGAGCTGATCCGACGATCCGTGCAGTGGAGGGGTTTGATGTGATCCAAATAACATCCATCAATCGGAAAAATCAGTGGAAACCCCGATAAGCGAAAAGATGCCAAGGCTACCACCAGGGTTATGACATCGACCAGAGATCGACCAGCTGCAGGGAGCAGTGGGTGGTAGGTGAGTCTCGGTCTGTCTCGGCAAGAAAACAAAGCACAAACGACAAACCACACAGCCGGATGATCTGTAACACGTTATGACGCAAGAGAGCTTTCAAGCTTCAGGACAGGTCGCCTACCTATTAGTACTGTACCTACTATGTAACTGACTTTGTTCTCTTGGGGCTAATTTTCTTGGCAATAAACTCAATTCATAGGACATCGATATCCTTTGTTAACTTCGAAAATAAAGTTAATTTTGAATTTAATTTTGAATACTGGATATTATATCCAAGGAGCATTGATGGAACATTTCGCGTGTTGGTCGTGATGAAGTGCAAGTCCCTATCAAGCAATCGGGCATGCTGTAGTGTACCAATGGACCCCCCTCTCTGCCCCCTATCACAGGCTTGTTGGTGGTATGCGTTCAAGGACCTTAGCGATCAAGGTCCCACTCCAGCCCTGCCCAAGCCCGTTGCACGCTGCCCCACTGACGTCATCGACATTGCGAAGAACACCTCCCGCTCTTTCAGCTATCAAAATTCCATGACACGACTCCTGCTTTGGATCGCTAATTCACCACACACAAAGACGAGATGCGTCTCGGCAGGTAGACACCTATGATGCAAGGCTGTCTTAGGCCGTCTTAGATCAAACAATCCTCGTCTAGGCTAGCCCACTAGTCGTCTGCCTACCAAGAGATACCGATAATCTTGCTCATCCATCCCTACCTCGAGTAATAAGCTAAGGTAGGACTGCATCATAGGCAAACCAGATCGCCAGAGGCCTGTCTGTATGCCAGTCTAGGCCCAAACATCGTCTATGTCTAGATAGAAGTTTAATAAACCTGATATATTGTCCCACTCTTCCCCCTTCTTCTTCTTATAGCCCATTGTTTCATTCCTATCCCGCCCGGTCTACATACGGGGAATACTCCTACGTCTCAACCTCCCCAAAGGACGGGGCTATTACAGGGCTGATACTTACTGCTATCCGTCCCTCGCCGTAGTCAACCATATCATCTCAAACACCCGGTTCACCGAGCAGGCCGTGTGCACGAGCGTGCGCTTCAAATCATGTCCGCCGAGCAAGAACACCATCACCCTGGTGGCCACTACTCAGGGCTTAACCGAATTCCCAACATTAAAGAATTCGCCGCTTCGCTTGATAGGGACAAGAAAGAACGTGATGCCAAGATCGACGCTGATCTCAGGGGAAACAAACACAATAATGAAATTACACAGCATGAAGTCGAAAAAGGCCATCTTGCCGGCCATGGGAGGGTCGTGACTGATCCCGTCACTGGTAAAGAAGTCCAGATAGATGATGTCAACAGCGACTTCAAGAAGGCCGTCGAGAACCCAACGGTATGTTCACTGAGCCCCAATTTCGTATCGCGTCTACTAATCGTGGGCTTCTCGTAGTTGTCCATACCAAATGCTAATCTAGGCAAAGACACACCAGTAAAGACCGAGGCAACTCAGTCTGGGGAGGAGTATCGGAAAAATCAAGACATCACGGCCCCGCCTGATCCCATAGTCGAAGGTGCTACATCAGATGTGCCAATTCACGGCGAGAAAACCAACGTTTTATTTCATCCAACCCCTTCTGTCAGCTATGAGCCCATGTACAATGTCATCGAGCAGCGCGCCAGTATACTATGCATTGCAATTTTCTTTTCAATCATCTTTTTTGGAAAAACGTTTGGAGGCAGACTACTCGGTCTTATTCCACTGTCCATATGCGTTACGTCCGGTGTCTTCCTCTGGATGAAGGATTTGGTTCGCCGCGGTCGTGACATAGAATGGTCAAGCGAGCAGAAGCGAGGTGAAACTGCCGTTGTGAATCTTATCCCCGAATCGGTTGAGTGGATGAACTCGCTACTTAGCATTATATGGGGCCTGATAAACCCTGAGATGTTTGCTTCAGTAGCTGATACCCTAGAGGTATGTTACGCCTAAACTGATTCATTGGCTGCAAGTCTAATTAGATTAGGATGTCATGCAAGCTTCGGTCCCTGGCATTATCGAGAACGTAAAAGTCGCCGACATTTCACAAGGGAACAACCCACTACGCATACTAAGCCTACGGGCCCTTCCCGATGGGCATATGAAAGAAATCAAAGATGAGATGCGCAAGAAGAACGAGAAAGATCAGGATCCACAAGAAATCGCCGCAAACGAAGAAGGTGGTGACTATTACAACCTTGAAGCTTCATTTGCGTATCATGCCAAACCGTCTTCACAAGCCGTGTCTTCCAAGGCTTCCAATATGGGCATGCAGTTGATCTTCTTCCTGGGTATCAAGGGACTCTTTGGTGTTCCATTGCCCATTTGTAAGTTTTAACGCGAGAATCAGTTACGATTGTACTTCAGACTAAACAATCCTAGGGGTGGAACTCAATGGTCTTGTTGGTACGGTGAGACTTAGGTTGCAGATGTCCCCTGAACCGCCCTTCCTCAAAGCCGTCACATTTACTTTGATGGGGGTTCCCAAAGTCGAAGCTAGCTGCACACCCATGATTGAGCGAGGTGTCAATATTCTTAACTTGCCTCTGATTTCGAACTTTGTCAACTGGGCTATCAAGACCGCTGCTAGTATGTATGTGGCCCCGAAGAGTATGACTCTTGATCTTGGTAAGATGCTTCAGGGCGACGATATTCTGAAAGAGACTGAGGCCTTGGGAATCCTCTTCATTCGTATCCACAAGGCTACTGGTCTATCAAAGCAGGATCGACGTGGATCCGAAGGTGGTGGTTCCGACCCCTACATCACCGTTAGCTTCTCTAAATTCGGCAAGCCTATGTATTGCACTCGCGTCATTCAAGATGACTTGAATCCGGTCTTTGAGGAGACCTGTGCTCTCATGGTTAATGCAGACCTCATCAAAGCTGATGAACAACTATCTATGGAACTTTGGGACAGTGATCGCTCAAGCGCAGACGATGTTGTCGGCAAGGTCGAGCTGTCGCTACAGAAGCTGATCCAGCATCCTGGAAAGATGTACCCACAGGTTTCTAAGCTCCGCGGTGTCAAGGCAGGAAGTGAAATGCCTGGTGAGCTGCACTGGGAAGTTGGATTTTTCGGTAAAACCCAATTCCGAAGTGCGTTGCGAACTGATGGTAAAAACGTCAACTTGCCCAAGGAACTCCGGGACAAGAAGGAGCTACAGGATGATAAGGGTGCTATTGAAAACGAGCAAGAAGATGCTGTCACCCATACGCCTCCCGACCCACTCTTCCCTTCGGGTATCCTGAGCATTGTGGTCCATCAGATAGTCGGCCTAGAACTGGCCAATGTGAAAGGTTCTCAGGGTGGAAAACGTAAAGGAGGCAAAGAATATGAACCCGCTAGAGATGCTGGCGAGATCAAGGAAGAATCTGCCAAAACTTTACCAAGTGCTTATTGCACCATCTGCTTGAATGACGAATTGGTTCGTGCACTCGACTCTATCCTACATGGTACAGATTTTGACTAATGAGACATACAGGCCTACAAGACAAGAACTAAGGTAGTTTCTTCCAAGCCAATTTTCAACGCTGGAACGGAACGATTTGTTCGTGACTGGCGATCTTCTATTGTTACAGTCACCGTTCGTGACTCCAGGAACAGGCAGCACGACCCAATTATCGGAGTAGTCCCTCTCAAGCTCTCGGATATCTTACAAACTAGCAGTCAGGTAAGTAAAATCCATTCCCTATATCTTACGGTCAAACAATTAACAGGTTGTAGTCGACTCGCTGGTACCCATTAGATGGAGGCATTGGTTATGGCCGTATTCGGATTTCACTCCTGTTCCGCTCTGTTGATCTGAAGTTACCCCCTCCACAGCTGGGCTGGGATGTCGGCACGTTCGAATTCAAGTCAGATAATCTCACGGCTACTGCTTTCACTGGGACAGGAAAGGGCAAAGTCAAACTTTCAATGAGAACCGGGGGTAGCTCCGCAACAATCAAGCGCGACCAGTGCGCTGTAGAAGGGGATATTGTGCGTTGGGATATCAGCGGCGTCACCAATAACCCCAGACCTCGGTTGCCTGTCAGATATCGCTACCGCTCGCCAATCTTCATCGAGTTCCATCTTCCCGGAAAGCGCCACGTCGAGTATTTCGCCGCTTTATGGCTGCTAGAGCTGATCGATAACGAGGAGCAAGACTTTGACATCCCCATCTGGAAGTGCAACCATGCCACACGGCTGTCGCAGAATTACATCACGGAAGAGAATTTCAAAGAAATCCCCGACATTCAGATGGAAGAAGTTGGTCGTCTGCGCTTCCGTGGCAGGTTCAAAGCTGGCACAGATCTTGACCATCTCCGTTTTGTGAGCGACAACAACTCGCGCGAGACAATAGAGACTTGGGAGGCTTGTTTCGCCGAGGGCGTCCGACAAGAAGAAGTTTCCAATGCCCTGCCCCCAACGATCCAGAAACTACACGATGAGTCAATGAACCAAGGTCGGGACGTACTGGCCGCCGCGCCAGCTGAGGAGAAGGAGAAGTGGCTCGCGAGGGACGGCACAGATTGGTCTGGCGCCTTCGGCAAAGACCCCGCTGAAAACATGGGCGGTGAGCGAGGAGCAGACGAGTCCACCGACCACTACGACGACTCCGACAGTGATGCAGACTCTCCTGTCGAGGGCATCGGGCACCAGTCCTCAGACTTAGGCGTCAAGGACGCTACTACATCTGGCGACGCCCACGGAGACGACCTCCATAAGGCCAGGACATCCTCCACGGGAGAGTCCGACTCGGGCGTCTCGGTCGATTCCAAGAGCAGCAAGAACCCCATTGCGCAGTACAAGGACTACAAGTCGCGCAGCCGCGACCTGCACCGCCAGCACCGTGGGCTCATGCAGTGGCGTCCCATGCGCAATGTGCAGTTCGCCAAGGACGAGGCCAAGTTCGCAGTCCGTCGGCTGACGAAGGTTGGCTCGTTGAGCGGACGGCAGCCGGATGTCGAGACTGAGATCTAGGGGATACAACCACATTGTGGTTGCTGATCAACTAATACTTGGAGACGAGGAATAATCAAAATAAGGATTCATGAATAGGATGGTATTGAATCATATATTTTTTTTGTGTAGTAGATAATTGGGTATTTGTAATTTTGTATTGATATGTGTATCACAGAATGAGATATGAAATATAGTCAATGTTTAATGAACAACCTTCTCTTACCGGATAGTACATTTGGACATGAAGATCATTCAGGCTACGCTTCATGTTACTACTTGCCATTCTCCCTGGCTAAGTGTTATGCTAGGCACACTTAAGAAGTAAGTAAAGAAATGATGAACCCTGGGAAACATGAAAGTAGATATGTCGACCTTAGAGAGAGTTGGAATAACCGGGTATATATCCCGCAGTCATCTGCAACTCCCCTGCTGGTCGTAAACATAGATGAAGACGTATGTTTACCGTCTTTCGGACGTTTTTCTTTTCCTTGACTTAAAATAGAAATAGGCCGTGGAGGAAATAGCCGGCTTATCTCAGAGTGTTGCAAGGGTGGGAAGATGTTTATGAGTTTTGAAGATTGGGTAATATGGATGGAAATGGAGGAGGACCTGGGGTGATTGGGGGCTCGGGGATTCTGAACATGAACTCTTGAAGAAAAAGAAAGGAACAAGTGTTAAAAAAAATACAAGTTATGCAAAGGAAAAAGAGCATGTCTTTGTATCTTATTAGCTGACCATATCCTGAATAGTTGGGGAAGAAAAACATACCAGAATTTATATGGAGCTCCCAGCGCAGAGTTTACTGCCTCAAAGCTCACACCATATTGCCAACGACTTCCTGTTGGAGTATTCGCTTATTTTCATTCATATCAGGCAGTGGTATATGTTTTATGTACAGAGCCACTTAGATCGTGCACCCTCGTCTTCCACGTCTATACAATACATGTATTTGTACAGACAAGCTCTTTGTTTCGGAAACCCTTCTTTAGGGCAGCTTGTTCGTCCTGGTAGGTCCTTCTGCCGGCTATTATGCTCGTACAGTTCGTGGCTTCGTAACGACCATTTCTTCTTTTCCTTACCCGGTAACTATTGCATGTTATAATTCTTTTTTTTACTGGTTCGCAGCCTTGATGGCTTCAGCTTCTTGCTTAGCGAGCGATAACATGCGCTCCTCGGACCGCTTGTCATCAATGTATTTCTTGACAATGGCGCGATCGATGGCTCCCCGCTCCTTGCGCTCTTCGACTTGTTTCATTTCGACTAACTCGTCAGGAGTAGGGTGGATGACTGTCGCATTGGTCTTTTCTAGGAATTCGCTGAGGATCACGTCTGAGTGCACGTTCTTCATGTCGATCGTCACGACTCGCTCGCCTTCCTCGGGCGGTGGGGCTGGATGTTCGTTTTCTATGCTCGAATGTGGTTGTTGAGCTAGAGGCAGCATGTTACGGACGAGTTCGGTCGTAGATATAGGATCTGAGGATGAGGAGTTTTGACGGAAGTAGATGGACATTGTCGCGGGGCCAGCTTGATTTTCGGACCGGTTCACTAGCATTGGAATCGCTGGGTTCCAGAATTTGAGACGCGGTAGACATGATCTCCAAAACTTCCTATGATGTGTTAGGGTATTCTTCTTTGCGCCTCGGGTATGGCTCGTTCGAATTGCTGGCATGGGCCATCGCTTGGGCCCCGCAGGTTGACAAGATGCATACCTTGGTCCTAAGTGTCCGTCATTCCATTTTGTCGCAAAATCCATATGTATCCTCGTTATCTCGGGTGGGAGTATCGCAGCGCCGGGGCCATGCCTTAATGCCAAAAGCTATCGGGGTTCGTCACGTCAGACCTTGTTTCGTCATCACTTGAAACAATTTGCGAATCGGAGGGTAGATAAAATGTACCTTCTGCTTCGATATTAGTCATTGGACCGGCCACTCAGCATGGTAGAAGACCTACGGCTTGTAATATGTTCATACGCTTTCCTGGGTTCACCATCTTGACGTAGCGCGAGCGTTGATGCTCGCTGTGGCGTCAAAAGGGATTCCTGCTGGTAGACTTCTGAGCTTAATTGAAGCCATCCTCATCCAGGTCCATGCTTCGATAAATTTCAAGTGGACCCTGGAGCGGCGGCCCGACGATGGCTCCGACGTACAGGACCCACTTGCTCTCAGCTGGCTGAGAGCTCCTCGCTCTTATTGGATTTTGGACACTCACCTAATGATCATTGATCACCAAATTGAAGGTCGGACTTCGTGAATACGTACAATATTTCCAATAATCAAGACTCACGAGGTACATTGGTCGTTGTGGCAGCTCGGCAGCGTCCTGTATACAAAAAAAAAAAAACACTTCCTCACAGCCTATGATCGGTATATTTTATATCGTACTATTTTCTACCAGTGTAAAGAGACCAATGATCTCAAAACTGCACCGAAGGCACTAGACTAGATATATGTAGGCATAAATTATAATTATAATTGAGGAGCAAAAGCGCTCAGCATCTACCTTTGATTGTCCGGCAACCACTGCGAACTGTTTCTTGGATACCTCTGACAATATACTAGACACCTATAGCCTCTCCGAACTCTGGCAAAGTCATGAAACGCGGCCTAGGTACCACCCGTTCCCCGCTACGGTCACACCAGCTGCGCCAGTCCTGCCAGTTCATCAACCGGCCTACAGCATATTTGAAGGGAAATAGATTCATAAGTTGAAGATACCCCTCCCAGCCCTTTTCAGCGATGACCGTGATATCTATTGTTGAATTGCATATGCGCGCAAAACTGCCGAACCTACCAAGGTACTCCGCTGGTATATATACTTCAAACAAATGTTGAGCATTAGGAAAAACTTTCCGGTGCTGTAGAAACACACTGAGATCATCCCGTGAAGGATTACCAAATCGTAGATTTTGAGGGCTGTATCCTTGGCCCTGATAGCTCCAAGAGGTCCTGTCTTCGCTTTCGGGTCTGTAATATGATATAATGCAGGCCTTTCGAACGCTTGGGGCTAGTTCGTATAGAATCTCAGGAGCGGTACCGCAAAACGAAACGCCTCGCCATCTAGCCTTCATTTCTGCAAATTCGCGCTGAGGATACTTAGCCTGATCTACGAAGTCAGGCCACTTGAATCCCCCACAGAAGGTATCGTATTCCGCGCTCAGGTAAACGTTCCCTACCGGAGAGCCGAATAGGAGACTATTTGTTATGAAACTGTCTCTCTTGGTAACCTCGTTTACATCAACTCGGTAAGAATAGAAGCGCTTCGCTCGCTCACGGCTTTCATGACTGACTAGCAAAAATGGCGAAACCAGAAGTTTCGTAGGGTATATCGCGCTGAAATTTGAATCAACGAGGACAACCCGGTTTTTTCCCTCATCAAGTAACGCGGCATCCCAAACAAATTGACGCAGCTCTGCCGGCAATTTGTTGAATGGTAACGCTGGCATCTTCGACAGTGGGTGAGCCAGCGTGCAACAAACCCTATGGGAAATAGATGCTACCGTTCAAGAGTGTGGTGGGAATAGTCGAAGTGAGTGGGTGAGCGTACCACAGTGGGGTTGCTTCTCATGGAATTCAGTTGCCCACGAAATCAACGGCGGAGGAAGGGTCTTGAGTAAGAAGGAAAAAGAAAGAAGAATAAAAGAGAAAAAGAGTACGAAATTGAGAAGATATACTGCCTGCCTAGTCACATCGTACTACCTAAAAGTACTATGCCCTTTCCACAGAGTTTGCTTCGTAAAACATCCATCCCTAGACAAACGATTAAATGGCCCATCGTAGTGCTACCGAGAACATGCAACAGAGCTCTCATTGGGAAACTGATTGGTCGGCGGATAGGGCAGTGGCCTTCATCAATAAGCGCCCCTAAATGATCAAAGCGCTCTGTGCACTCATTCATCACTTGTAATTCCATGCTCACACATTAAAAAGATAATGGTAGGTTATTAAACCGGCTGCAAGACGGTGCATTATAGTTGACCTGTATGGTTATCTTAAGGTTAAATCATCATCAAAAAGGGCATATGTCAATAGCAAGCGCACATGATTGGCAACATGTCTAATTGCTGGCTGGACCCAAGACCTAATTCTACATCGTGAGGTTGTCCCAGCCTCTCCTGTTTATTGGTAGCGCCACCCCTCAGTCTTCGTGTATAACTTAGGCATCGAGCTTCACCGGGAAGTTTCCAGCTTCTGCGATATAATCGGTCAGTCCTGTCATAGCCCATATAACTAGCGCGGGTCTGCACGAACCTCGCTGGTCATCCCACCGCTGATACCATCCACTAGGGCATAGGGATCGGTAGGCAAGGAAGAACTGGCGGCAAGGGGCAAAGTCCTCGCCCTTAGCGTTGATGCACTTGTGGTAGTCGACGTAGTTCTGCCAGCAGTGCTTGGTCTGGTTTTGGTTGGGGAATCGGGCATCGACACCTGGAAGATCTGTGGTCAGAGTCGTTGCATAGCAGCTATACGAACATGTAATTCGGGGACATTGTTCATTCGCTTCATGCGGTCGGTCGTGTTGGCGCAGAGGAGTTGCTTACCAGCTAGATAGAAAACAGTCAGCGTTCAATGGTCCTCGGCTAATGATGACGGATGAGGCAAATTCCGGGATGAACTTACCAGTGACGAACTTGAAAGGCTTGGTTTCGCGCTCCTCGTCAGACATCTTGGGCGGTTATCGGGCAACGATAGCTTCGGAGAGGTAGAGGAGACGGTGGGTTGCTCCGGGTCGAATTGCAGGAAGGACGATGATGATGTCGAGGAGCAAGAGGGCGTGAGTGAGCTCTCGAACAATTGTCGAATCATGGCAGGGCCGTTATGGACTGGTGGCATGCCAAATTTGGGATAGCTTACAGCATCCCCCACTCTTTCGTAAATACAGTGCGTTCAGTGGCCGAGGCGGCCGTTCCCACGCCCACGGACCACTGGAACTTGCTGCTGGCTGTTGCTGCTGCTGCTACTGCGGGCGCTGTCCAGCTCACAGCCTACCTAGGTAGCTAGCGCCGGGTCGGTTGAGTTCTCTCCTCAAACATCCAATTGCCAAAGAAAGACAGTCTGCTCTCGAGCTCACCTCCCAGCTTCACATCGCACCGAACGTAGACCGACCGTACCTCCCGGACCAATCTCCCCTCAATTCCTTCAAGATGTACGCCACTCGAGCTCTTCGCATGGCACCCACGAAGCGCCTGATGCGCGTTCCCGTCAGTAATCCCCACGGCGCTGTGGATGATGCAATGACGTTACTAACAGTCTGAACAGCACGAGGACCAGGGCGGTATGTCCATGCCTTCATTTCAGGCGCCTAGCACCCCGAATGTGTTTTACTCTCAATTCCACCATGAGATCAATGGACCGCCGAATACAGACAACATACGAACCTTAGCTAACACAGTTGGGACTATATAGCGCACACTATTTCCCAGCGTCTACGAAAGCTCCGACAGATCCCCGCTGAATTGATTCCCCTCGGTTAGTTAGTACTCGGTCGGAAGCTATCATCAGAGACTAATGGCAATGAAATAGGCGCCGTCGTTGTATTCGCCGTTGGTGCCGCCATCTACTCGAGCGGCCGCAAGTTCGTCGTGGACAAGAACCTTCGCCTTAGCCGTCAAGGCCGCAGACCCGAGCCTATCGAGCATGACGAGCACCACTAAGCCAGGGGGTTGTATCTGTTGCATGAAGGAACGTGGACGAGGTTAGACGAAGCTGGGTGATGCAGAATATTATTCCCTTTGTCAAGACAACGGCACATTGTATATGATAAGAACCCTCGAAGCTTAGCGGAAGAAAATGTTAAGATTGTGATATCAATTATGGTATAGACCACAGGGGAGGCAAATCCTGGACGTATTTTGGTCTCCCTTGAGCCTAATTGACCCCAACGACTACCCAGAAAACGCCAACGCTATGCGAGAAATATTACACGTTGCCCTAAGTCAGTCCCCAGCACTCTGTAGAGCTTCCCTTCATTCAGGTTTAGGACCCGCCACATCCAATCCCTCGAGACCTTGCATGGGATCATCTGGTCTCTCATCTTGAGCTCCCCTGTCGGCTCCGGAAGCTGCCAAGCGGTCTTCCTCACTGACAGCATGTTTGGCAAGCCACCCCTCCTAATCGAATCGTAAGCATACATGGACTTTTATGTACGGGTATTGTCATTAAGAACGAAAATTCTCTCACCTGTTCCCAGACTGCGGTTTTGCTTCCCAAACCTTCTTCTGCACTCTTGGGCGCCTTGGCGGCCGAAACTTTCAATATCCGGCCGAAGAATTCTGACTGATCCATGTTGTCGATGGCTTCCTTGGCGTCTTCGGCATCCTCAAATTCAACGTACGCAAACCCCCGGTGAGGTTCCGTAGCGTTGGGGGCATCGTTCTTGGGCATGGATATATCGGCAATCTCCCCAAACGGTATAAATGCGTCATGAAGATTTGCAGTCGTGGCCACCGGTGCAAGTCCACCGACGTAGACGGTGGCTTTCCAACGGGCGGCGTCGGTCATGGTTCCGACTCTGATCTCTCCCACAGCCCCTTAGCGATAGAGAGAGGTGATGAAAGAAAATATATCTATATGGCGCCTCACACAGCACAGCACAGCCCAGCCCAGGTTCGACACTTAAAATGTATTGACAGGTACCGTTTACTTGCGCGATAGTCTAGAGATGTCACGTGGTGGGGTGATTTACTCTTCGATTTGCATACGTATCGTATAACTTGTGTACCTGTGTGTACCTGTGCCTATCGAAGAAAGGTTGATGTGACATGACTCGGAGTTGGCTATGTCATGTTCGTCAGAGGTGAGCCGCAGGTGTCAGGTGGCTCGTGCCCCAATCAGTTTTCCGCCAGGCGAGGTATCTAAGAGGTACAGTTAACATGCAGAGCGAGTCTAATGATACCTAGATAGTACTACTGGTCCGGACCCCCCACAAATCAGAGCTTGAAAGAATGCCAATTGGATTTGCCTTGGCCGCACCAGGTCGATCGGGTCAAGTCAAGGTCTGTCTGTCAGTCTGTTTGAGGGAGCTCATACTAGTAGTTATAACGGGGCAATTCATCGCCTTGGTACTGCGTTATCTGGCATCAACTACCTACTTGGAAGCCTACGCCTAAGCTTACAGCGACGTAGCCTCCGACCAATGTTGTCATGGTCCTGTGTCCTGTGTCCTGATTTATGCTTCTGTGACTCTACCGCTTGTCTCGCAACATACCGCCTCTCGTCTGGGTTCTGAACCACTCAAGTTTCATCCCTAGCTGGCCTAGAGCGCTCAATGCCAGTTGGCATTCTGGCTCGCCCTCTTTAAACCCCCCTCTACCTCCATTTCCCTAGGTCACATTCTTCCTCGTCCAGTGTCTATCCACATTATACAATTATGGTCAGGCTACGCGAGATTCCTCGGACGGCGGCCTTCGCATGGTCGCCTGTTCCTGCGAGGCCTTTCCTCGTCACGGGAACAAGAGCTGGCGCTGTCGACGCCGACTTCTCCGATGAGACCAAACTGGAGCTCTGGGATCTGGACCTTGACGACCAAGAGCAGGGGCTCGAGCTCCAGCCCATTGCTAGCATCGCCGCTGATTCGAGGTAACTCATACTGCTGCCACCGTATCTTGTTCAGTATCGCTGACGACATCACCCCAGATTTTACGACATTGCTTGGGGCAAACCCTCCGAAGATTACCCCAAAGGCATCATTGCCGGCGCTCTCGAAAATGGATCCCTTGACCTTTGGGATGTCGACAAGCTTCTCAGGAACGACCCCGATGCCCTTATTTCGAGAACCACAAAACACACTGGTCCCATCAAGTCTTTGCAATTTAATCCCCTGCGCCCCCAGATTCTAGCCACGGCTGGCGCTAAAGGCGAGCTTTACATCTACGATGTCAATGATCCCTCAAACGCTTTCCGATTAGGTACAGCTGCTGCGAGGTCTGATGATTTAGAATGCGTGGCCTGGAACACCAAGGTCTCACACATTCTGGCGACTGGTGGAAGTGGGGGCTTTGTTACTGTATGGGATTTGAAGACCAAGAAGGCGTCACTAACACTCAATAACAATCGAAAGCCCGTCAGCTCCATTGCGTGGGACCCAAATAACTCCACTAAACTACTGACTGCCACGCCCGACGATATAACTCCCGTAATTCTCTTATGGGACTTGCGCAACTCCAATGCGCCTGAGAGAACTCTTCAGGGCCATGAGCAGGGTGTACTATCCGTTTCATGGTGTGAACAAGACAGCGATATTCTTCTCTCTTCTGGCAAGGATAATAAAACCCTGATTTGGAACCCGCAGACTGGGGAACGCTATGGAGAATTTCCCGAGGTTACGAACTGGACCTTCCTGACGCGGTTCCATCCTCATAACCCCAACCTTTCGGCTACAGCTGCATTTGACGGCAAGATCACTATTCAGACATTCCAAAACACCAATCCTGAAGCAGTGCAGAATACCACGCAGAGTAATCTTGATGGCGAGGACTTCTTTCGACAGGCTCAAACCCAACCACAAGGCGCTGCCTTCACGTTGAAGAAAGCGCCTAAGTGGTTTGAGACGCCTGTGGGCGTTTCCTTTGGTTTTGGCGGGAAACTAGTGATTTTCAAACAAAACCCCTCCCAGCCTGGTCAAAATCGTTCATCTCAAGTTCAAATATCTCAGTTCTCCGTAGATTCTGATATCACCTCAGCCACTGAGAAATTCGAGGAGTCCCTTAAGTCTGGAGACTTGGCCACTATTTGCGAGTCGCATAAAGAACAAGCCGACTCAGAGGAAGAGAAAGCTGACTGGCGTGTCATTGAGACACTTCTGGCTGATAACCCACGAAAGGGAATTGTCGATTATCTAGGCTTCAGCGACAAGGACATTGCTAACGGTACTATACCCGAAGAAAAGAAGGAAGAAAATGAGCCCAAAAAGCCCGCTTCTAATGTGAAAACTCACAAAAAGCGCATCTCGACTTTCTTTGCAGACGGCCCAGATGCCGATGAGGAGGATTTCCTAGCCAACCTATCGGCCACAAAGGGTGCAAAAACAGATAATCCTTTCCACCTGCTTGGTGAAAGCGATTCGCCCATAGAAAAACAGATTACCATGGCTCTGATGCTAGGCAATTTCGAGAAAGCTACCGAGATTTGCCTTGACGAGGGCCGCATGGCGGATGCTTTTATAATTGCCAACTGCGGAGGGAAAGACTTAGTAGACAGGGTACAATCGGCTTATTTGTCTCAAAAAACCGGCATGCCGAGCTATCTCCGTCTTCTAGGCTCGGTGATCGTAAAGAATCTCTGGGATGTTGTTTATAACGCGGACCTGGCTGACTGGAAAGAGACCATGGCGACTCTCTGCACATTTGCCGATCCAGCTGAATTCTCCGACCTCTGTGAAGCGCTAGGCGACCGGATTTATGAGGCGGGCGACCGAAAAGATGCTTCATTTTGTTATTTGGTCGGCTCCAAATTGGAGAAGGTCGTGGATATCTGGGTTACGGAGCTTGCAGAAGTGGAAAAGGCTGGTCTAGCTGAAAGCAGTGACTCTACGTTCTCTGTTCATGCCAGGGCGCTCCAACATTTCATCGAGAAGGTTACGGTGTTTCGCCACGTCGCGAAGTTCCGGGACACTGAGACTGATCTCACATCCGGGTGGAAGTTAGCGCTCCTATACGACAAGTATGTTGAATACGCCGACATCGTTGCCGCTCATGGTCAGCTAGATGTTGCCCAGAAGTATCTTAACCTCCTACCTACAAGCTACCCTGCTGCTGATATGGCTCGGGCCCGGGTCCAACGGGCTACTAAGAAAATTCCTGCCCAGCCCGCGCCGCGGCAGCCTGCCCAACACTCAGCACCATCTGGACGTGCTGCCTCTCGAACGCAGCAACCACCTATTGGAGGATATCAGCCATTCCAACCAGCGCCGATAAATTCAAACAACCCATATGGGCCCCCATCTACTCAGGCTCCTCCTGCTAACCCATATGGGCCGCCAGCCGGTACTACCCCTGTTCAGCCTGTGCCCAGTCCATATGCCCCTTCGACCGGAGCGAATATCTATACTCCCCAGGGATATCAGCCACCTCTATCCCAAATTTCACAGGTGCCTCCTCCCACCCAGTCATTTGGCCCCCCCCGATCTTCGACTCCATCGACAAGGCCTCCCCCGCCTAGGAATGCGGATGTAGGTAATTGGAACGATGTGCCGATGGTGACAAGACCTCCTCCTAGAAAGAATACACCAAGCGTGCAGCCTGTTGCGTCTCCTTTCCAGAATCAGGCCAGTCAACCACCTCCACCTCCTAAGGGCCCTCCAACGGCTCGCATGATGTCTCCCTTGGGTGGCCAAGCTCAACCTGGTCTGCCACCACCCCCACGTCCTGGATCATCAGCCTCTAGTTCATATGCACCGCCGGCTGCTATACCAACTCCAAGTGGTGGACCCGGTCTGCCACCTCCGCCCGCAGCGGGAAACTTCGTTCCAAGAACAGCTTCACCATATAACCCACCCCCGGCGGCAGGCCCCCCTTCGAACCGGTATGCTCCAGCTCCCGCACCACAACAAAGCAGCCAGCCACCTCATCCTGGGATGGCACCGCCGCCAGGTGTTAATCGGGTCGCACCTCCGCCCAATCCTTACGCCCCTCCGCCACAAGCGGCCCCGGTCCAGAATCAGTTCACACCCTCTCCATATGGAGCACCTCCAGTTCAACAGGGACCGCCACCCCCAGCCAGCGGAGCACCTCCAGCAGCAACAGGGTCTTCTGCGCCTCCACCAACACAGGCCACGCCGCCGCCACCAAAGCCCAAACACCCATCAGGAGATCGCTCTCACATCCCTGCCAGTGCTCAACAAATGGTCGACGTTTTCAGCCGTGACATGCAGAGAGTCGCGGCAAAAGCCCCAGCTTCATTTGCACCACAAGTAAAAGATACACAAAAGCGGTTGGGATTACTCTTCGACCATCTCAACAACGAAGAGCTTGTAAAACCAGATACGATTGAGCAGCTGACCAAGTTAGCCCTGGCACTAGAAGCCAAGGATTACCCAGAAGCTCAAAGACTCCAAGTGGAGATTCAGCGAGATAAGACAGACGAGTGTGGCAACTGGATGGTGAGTCAGGTACAGTTTCCTCCGTGTGGATCTTTCTGCTAACAGACCTTAGGTTGGTGTGAAGCGCTTAGTACAAATGAGCAAGGTTACGAACTAATTGACGTACTGGTCCCGCGCCACAACTAACCTGAAAGGCATTCGAAAAGTGGTCGCCTGTGTAGTCGTAGAACATGGAGTGAAGGCATAGCCTATATCAGAAGTATCCATCACATTACCATCAAAAATTATGATCTAAATAAATGAAAGTAATGGAATTTCACAACCGCGCAACCACCTTTGTGACTTAACGATATAAAGCTACCCGGGTACTTCTCGAGGATAAAGGCTCATATACATTAAAGCTATGCATGCTATTGAGCACTATGCGTTGATTTGCATGAGTAGACATAAGTGGCGTCAGCATCTCTTATTCTCGTGTGCCATAAAGCTGTGGAAAGTTATGATTGCGGATATTGCGGGGTTTAGAGGGAATTAGGTCGCAGATAAGCCACTAACGAACATGAACCTGTTCATCCTACAGCCTCATCTGCATCAGCCCTCTCCATAACTTTTTCTAGTTGATCCTTTGTATGATTTAGTCCATATGAGAGAATAGTAACTGCATCTCCCTTAGGAATTAATAGCCTGCCATGGAAACAGGGACTTCGCATTTACGCAATTTCCGTCCGGTGAACATGTCGTGGAACTAACCGGCAGAATGGGAAGGCTCACGGGGAAGGACACAGTTGTTTGAGAGTTTGAGACAGATATAAAGAAGTCTTCTGCTTCACTCAGTGTTAGTATCGTTAATGGTAGAAACATATCACAAGAGAGATATCAGTTGGCTCACTATTACACTCTTGGAGATCAAACAGAAACGTCTGTGAAGTACAATTTTATCTCAATTAACGCAGCTGTTCAATAACGATGGAGGCCAAGGATCTTTATACGCTCCCACCTGATGCGGTCTGGTTGAGTGAGTCTATCGTCAAGTTATCCCTGCTATATTATCCCATCCCCGATCTTCTTGCTCCACTCGGCCCCGGATCGGAGCTTTTAACCCAACGTCAGCGGACTATAGGTACTTAATACTAGAACTAACGTTTACTTTCGAAGTCACCGGCTGCTCGTCCGGCATTGGAGCAGGTCTCGCCGCACGGCTGGCCAAGCAGACGATGAACCGCGTCGTCGCAACAGCACGACAGGTCTCTGCGCTCTCGTACCTCGAGGACGACTCGCAGAAGGTGCTCAAGCTTGCTCTTGACGTCACGTCGCCTGCGGCCATCGATGAGGCATTCAGGAAAGCCGTGGAGCACTTCGGGCGTGTCGACGTGGTTGTGAACAATGCTGGGTACACTATCATGGGTGATACCGAGACTTCAACGCCGCTAGAAGCACGGACGCTTTTCGACACCAATTGTAAGTTTTAAGATACCCTCTTCTGTCAGGGGCCAGGGCCGGTTAATAGCAGATTCATGTACAATTTGTCTGGTAATTAACACGTATCGATGTAGTCTGGGGCGCAGTCGAAGTGACCAAGCGCGCGCTCGGAGTCATGCGGGACGAGAATCCGAAGACAGGGCAACGCGGCGGCGTGGTTTTCTTCGTGAGCTCTATGGGTGGCTTCGTCTCGACGCCGGGAAGCGCGTTCTACCACGCTTCCAAGTTCGCCATGGAAGGCTTCGCGGAGAGCGTGGCGAAGGAGGTGCATCCGGACTGGAATACACACTTCTGCATCCTCGAGCCCGGCGGCACGAGGACGGAGTACCTCGGGCGCAGCTTCAAGATGATGGGGACACGACACCCGGCGTATGCGGCGCCGGATATGCCGACGAATCAGATGCTGGCGCTCTTCGATAATAAGGAGATCAGGAAGGATTTTAGCTCCGCTGATGATATTGCTAGGGGTATGTGGGAGCTCGTTACGCGCGGGGAGAAGATCCCGATTAGAGTCCCGCTTGGGAATGATGCGTGGGCGGCCGTTGTTGATGAGGCTGGAAAAGTGAAGGAGGAACTTGAGGCATTGGGTCCGTTTAGCACTTCTTTTGGGGGCGCTTTGGGAGCTGAGGCGAGGGCGACTTTGGGACAATGGACGCAGTAAGACCATATGTGATATAGTCGATAGAGACCTTATGTTGGCGATATAGGTTCCTCGTCTAATGAAAGTAGCTTATACTGTGGCCATCCTGAAAAGTCGTGCGTCCAGACATCTGTTGCTCTCAAAGGAAAGACCCCTTAATATAAGGGTAAAAGCGACCTCAGCGTTCAGAATAACTGAACCTGCTCAGGCCAAATCTGATTGTATCGGAATAAGCACTTAGCTTCCACAGCCTGAGGACGATTGAGGCTATTAGCATTGTTTGAAATATAATATCCAGAATCAGTCGAATGTTCTCGCTGGATACTCTCGAGTATGACCATATGACGCATGAGTAGCATAGAACATTGGGTAGTCGAGGTGGTAAATTACGAACCGGTGAATTGTGAGAGAGTTGCTTAGATGGCAATTCTCTGTCTAAAGCACATTGTACCGTGCTGGTTGTTTAACGTAGAAGACTGTAACTTAACATATATGCCTGTGTCATACGGCCAAAGAGCCCTTGTCACAGCCTGTGTAGATAAACTAACTAAACCCGCGACCTAAAGGCTTTTACATGCCCTGGTAGCAGGATAACAACTTCTCATGCAATAAATTACCGACCTCTAGGCCATTCACCCGCCCCTTTATTGGTAATATGGGGTGTGACGTCGTCCTTTTGACCGTACAATGCGAAATACCTACCTAAGGAGCGAGGAAGAAGTCTATAGGAGTACATTACAAGGCAAAAGCAGTCAACGAGGTACATCACCGGAGCTCCAGGGGTACGTAGCTACTAGATGAAGCCGAAGTGGCAGCAAACTTGTACCTATTGCCACGGGAGACCAGAACATTGCTGCCCCCCTTATATATGACATTAACTACCCAGACCGTCAACCGGACCCCGCAACATAGGACGTACCCTGGGTGACTTGACGGTATGAACAAACTGCAGAGGTGTTTTCCGAATTGGAGCGGCGTCGTGCTTGCACTTGACAATCTAGAATTCACTGACGGTGTGGTTTTTCGTAAGACTTGGGATTCAATTCCAGGTCTAGCTTTTTTTTGTTTTTGTTTTTGTTTTTCTTTTCGTTTTTATACACGTATTCAGCAACACCTAACCCCTATCCTGATCTATCATGATCGAATGTCTTTTATCTTTCCAACTTAACGGATCCTCTTATGTGTCTCTTTTATTTCCTCCATCTTTTTTTCTAGCTCTTGTATATCTTGTTGGATCAGAGTGAAGGAAGTGCGCGTTGGTCACTGGTCATGATATGTTGGTGTGCGTGCCTGTGGCAGTTGGTACTTAGGTACATGTCAACCATAGCATTCTCTACCACTACCTTGTATTACAGGCGATCGAGGTACTATGGATGAAGCCCATAGATACGAAGAGGTTGATGTTCTGAGCGTGCCCTGAAACTATCAGATTATCACACCCCCAGGGTCGTGACAAGAAGACTCACTGTATATAGAGCTCAGACACCAAGGGAATGAAGCGACCTTGTACAACAACAAAAAACTGGATAGCATCCCCTATGGTAATAGCTCTGGTACAGCGAATCTACCTAGGTTTACCATACCCTCGCGGGAGGTAGGGAGTAAGATTCTAGAACTGAACTAGAATATATGGCAAGCCATCTTATCTTGGTCACATTATCCCTTGAAGTCGTCTCTATTTACACAGCACCTCTGCTCTCATACCGGCCGGGTACATACAAGAACTTGAGGAATTATCGAGGATGTCCCGTACCAAATGTTAATGGGCAAGGGTCAGAGACATAAATTCAGAGTTACACATTCTTTTGTGTGCACCAGAGAATTCAAAGTGGATTCCATGTAATATTTGCCAGTTGTTGCTGGACATTTTAGGAGACTGCCAGGGACCTCAAATAAATATTCAGAATTACAACGCTGGAAAGTTGAATCACTGGGACACTGGGACGCTCGATCCTTGCTAACTGTACATTGTGTATCACCGGTAATAGCCCAAATATATGGACTTATGAGCTCATTCTCGAACCCTATAGGACTGGACGCTGTCTATGTAAATAGTCCGCTAGATATGATGATGTGCACTAGAAATCTACTTCACTTGGTGAGGTGGGATACTCAGCCTGAAACGAGCCTCTGCGTTGTAATACTACAATGAGTAAGCGAAACAGCACAGTTGAGATAGGAGTATGCAATAAATTGACGTCACGGTCGGACACTGAGAGCACGCTTGGGTAGATAATTTCAAGTGAGTATTATTGCTATATGAACCCAAATCAACCCTCGTACTCGGCGCTGTGATATGGAAGTAGTGAGCATCGTTTTGTAGGGTCACAACGGCGGAGCGCCTACTGCCATTTCCTAGTAGCGTATGCCACTTGCAGAGATACTAATCCTGCGCAACGCGGTTTCCCTTATGTTTCCATTGCGCTTTTGACTTTTATAGCCTCGTTGCTTTTTGGTCCGGGGCGTGGGCTTACTACAACCGTCGCCTAAAGGATATACGATCCGGCAATGAAGGTGCATTACGCCTTGCAATTCACCCATAGGGCTACAATGACGACAGAGCCCTGTCTATGTAGAGAGAGTAAAGTTGGCTTTACTGATCTGGCTCCATCCAGTCTTTGGAACGAGCCATAGCCGCATTGATATACAAGTGCTGTGCTCCCGTTCTCACTTAGCATCATCGGTCTCGTCCTCATCCGACGAACTCATGAATTCGTCATCTTCGTCGAAACCCACGAAAGCGCGCGATGGTGGTTTTTTTGTCGGCACCTTCGTTGTAGGCGACGGCGACTTTGATTTGTCCGAATCTTTGACCGTATCATCGTCCCCACTTGTAGAATCGTCCTCAACTCCCTCAGTTGAAGTCGAGCTGTGAGATGTGCCAAGGAGGTTGTCTTTGTAATTTCCCCTTTTTATCGCGGCAAGGACAGCTTCTCGCGTGCGCTCACCGGCCTCCTCTTTATCCTCAACCCATTTGCCACTAAGCCGACCCTTGGTGTTATTCCTGATCTCATGCTCCTTCTCTTCCGCGGCGTTAACGATCTGTTGCCAACGTTCGCGACGTTTCTCCTTCTCCTTCTGCTCCATATCGGGTTTAATGGCGAGGTACTCAGCGAGTGCCTTGGCCTCGTTAATGGTCCTTAGTCGTCGTCCATCAAGATTCCTGCTGGAGCCGTTCTCATCGCCCTGATTCCTTTTTTTCTTTGAAGACATGCGACCACCAGCTGCTCGGAGCTGTGATCCAAAACCACCCTTGCCACCGCACAAGGGCAAGGATAAGCGTAGAGAAACGAAGTCATCGTTGACGTTGCAAAGATCGGAAAGGTATTTAGGTGAGCCAGCGGCAAGTTGCTTGTTCGAGATAGTCGTTAAAACGAGCCTCGAATCAGTCTGCGGCAACCTTTTAAAGACATGATCGCGTAGATCTGAAGTAGTTGATGTTGATGGGAAAGGAAAGGACAGTGTTGGAGGCAGACCCAATCCAGGGAACGTCGACACAAAGACGTTGAGGTTTTTTGTCGTCATCGCGTCGCAGGCTGTATCTAGATACCCGATAGCCCTTTGGATATTGCGATGATCAGGCAGGGTGACGGATCTTGATGATAAAATGAAGTATGTCTCTGAAGAATGGCGATGGCGGGAATGTTGCTAGCGTACAAGAGCCTCTAACTCCGATGCGCCTGGACGATGACAAGACAATCCCTGTTGCGCGGCTGTGTGGGGATCCAGATACCCACTCGGTACTGTTGGGGGTGATTTTGGCAGATGATTAGATAGCCGATAAGATAAGCCTAGGGGGGGTAGTGATCTTGCCGTTGGCCTGGTTATCCACCTACCTGACTTACTTATCTACATCCTTATCAAAATCTGACCACTCTGGATTGAACTCATACTGTTTCAGTACCTCTGTACAGACTCTGTACCTCGATCGGCTCACGGTTCGTTATCTTATCGGTATCCATGTGCTTATCGCTTATCGAGAAATCTCCCATCAGCCACACTGGAGAGAGAATCACAGCCACAGAGAGCCCACCCCCACTTGCTTTGTCAATTCACCTTATCAAGCCACTCGCGTAGGGTTTTTGCACACACCAAAAAATTGACTGGATCTCTCATTCATTGCAATCCCGGATCTTGAAGAGTGCCAGCGCCAGCCAACTTCACAATACACCACGCCCATCATCCCACTCCTCCCAACGTCTTGTCGCCCAACAACAAACCGCCAAGATGTTGATTCCCAAGGCTGACCGCAAGAAGATCCACGAGGTTAGAACAATTCACATCCATGCCTTATTTCATATGGCCGCCCGGCGAACACTGGTCAAATGCCGGCCCCCCGCGAAGTTGCCATGAATTCACGAAATATCTATCTCGGTCGCGCATTAGCTAACATTGTTTGTCCTAATCGTAGTACCTCTTCCGTGAGGGCGTGATGGTCGCAAAGAAGGACTACAACCTTCCCAAGCACCCCGATATCGACACCAAGAACCTCTACGTCGTTAAGGCCGCCCAATCCCTCACCTCGCGCGGTTACGTCAAGACCCAGTTCTCCTGGCAATACTACTACTACACCCTGACCCCCGAGGGTCTCGACTACCTCCGCGAGTGGCTACACCTCCCTGCCGAGATTGTCCCGGCTACACACATCAAGCAGCAGCGATCGCATGCTCCTCCCCGTGGAATGATGGGCGGCGAGGGCGAGCGTGAGCGCAGACCGTTCGGCCGTGGCCGTGGTGGTGACCGTGGTGACCGTGAGGGTGGATACCGACGACGGGATGCTGGAGAGGGCAAGGAGGGTGGTGCTCCTGGTGAATTCAACCCTCAATTGTGAGTTATGCCCCCTATCGATATGCTCGTCTCGACGATCGAATTACAGTATGCTGATACTTGCTGCTAGCCGTGGTGGATTCGGTCGTGGCCGTGGCGCTCCTCCTTCGTAAAATATAAGGAGGCTAAGTATCTTTTCTCTGAACGATTCCTTCGATGCACATGGTAGCCGGCATGGACATGTACTCTAGGGAATGGAGCTCCTGCATAATCACGCGATTTTGCATGCGTGATAGGACATGCGTGGTAGAAAATCAATAGGGCACAACCTCGGATGCACGGGTGGGAGTTATAAGGAGACCAAATCTCGGTACCGTCTTCTACGAATTTAAGGGTCATGTTTTTGCGCCAAACAAACGAATGATTGCAAAAAAAGAGTAATACGCGTTCTACCAAGCTGTGAGGCCCTTGTCGTGTTGTAAATGCGACCACGAAGGAATGACTGAGCTGGCATGAGAAACCATGTCAACCAAAACCGGAGATCTCCAGTAGCTCTGAAAAGCCAATTTAGACTTCAAATTCATGCTGAAATCATCTAAAGGGAAGTAAACTTGTCATTGTTCTGAAAGGGGACTATGGAGTTTCGACTTAGCGAATACACGCGCCCTTAAGTCCTCTGGTGAATAAGCTTTCCAAACTCCGTACAATAGGAAGGGGGCAAAGGGTTTCAAGGAGAGAGGAGTAACTCCGATTGGCAACCTGGGTTCCTGAGACCCTCACATACCTAGGCAACTGAACGGCGCAGCTGTGAATAGCTTACCCTTGGCTGACCGCTTCGTCAAATTGGGCATCTTTCCAGTTGTTTCGAACGCGGAGCCGGAGTCGGCATTTGCTTCGAGTCAATTGATGTAAAATCGAGTTGGTTTTTGTAAGCCTAACCTCCCCCTGGTGCCTTTTCAGACCGAACAGGAATTATAGCACGTTTAGGTAAGAAGACTTGGCCTTTATACCTGTCATCTAGAAGCTGATCGGGGGTTTTATTCCCCTCAATATTTCCCCAGCCCTTCCGGGGCGTAGATGAGGCTTATTTTCTGCTGGGGCCTTATGCTACAATAAAAAAAAAATCGTGGTGTCGTGCGGGCGTTCTAGCCAGAAAGCCGCACGCATGACGTCGCTTAGAAGAAGTACGGGTCAAATCTCGACCGTTACATTACCACAACTCCGGGCACGTCACACTGCATCTATACACTTTCAACTGCGTGATTAAAATTTTGATTGTCTCGTTTATGGATGATCACCTTTAACTTGTATGTAAGCAGTTTGGAAAAACGGCGCAGCCGTAATCGCGGGACAACGAATGCCCCCCAAACAGCGAGGTAAGGCTACAGCCCAAAGACCGCCCATTGGTCAGCATCAAGGCGTCCGGTGTCAGGACAATGCGCCTGGCTGAAGCTGAGTATTGGTCACCTTTTCTGCTGAATTGATATCGCACAACTAGCTTGATCAATGCCTTATGGCTTTCGTGGGTGGGGGCTGCAAGGGTTAGAAAGCAGCCATCCCAGTTTCCCCGTTGCTCACCTTCGAGAAGCCCACACAAGCAGCCTCTTAGCGTGCTCTCGTCATCCACTCTGGCTCTCGAACGCTGCGAAATGCTCGTGCTAGTTCAACATCGCGCGTCTGCACGGTGACTAAACCGGCGGGGCAACAGGTGAATGCCCCTCCCTTCCATCGACTTGGGCGTCCGAGGGCGTCATAGTCGTGGGTGATTCTTGGAAAGGTCACCAGTCCTAGGGCCAGCTTCTTTGTCTTTCTATGGGATGAATGATGCATTCTCTGGGGTCCTGGTCTTGGTGTAACATGCTGAGCATATAAGTATCTCATAGCCCGCCTAGTGTGCCTTTTCTTTGTCTCTCTTGTCTCATTGATTCCCGTGCAGCCCTGTTTTCCTATCCTTAGACAACTTCTTCCTGTTTCACAAGCTAGTATTCCCAAACGACACCATGGCTTCTCTTCCTAAGACGATGAAGGCTCTCAGGTGAGTGCCCGGGTTTCTCCGTTCCCTGCCAATGCCAGCCGCTGCCAGCTATTGGACCCCGCGTGGCTTACGAAAATGGACGCTTATCTGACTGTCTTGCTATTGTAGATATGAGAAGCCGGAAGTGTGGGATATCGTTAATGTCCCTCTTCCTACTCTTCGACCTGGTGATGTTCTCATCAAAGTCAAAGTAAGTCAATTGGAATTGCGACAGCCACCCCACGGTTAATTAACCAACTGGCTCACAGGCCTGCGGAGTCTGCGGCACCGATCTGCATATCCACGAAGGAGAATTCATTGCTGAATTCCCTCTTATCCCCGGACACGAGACAATTGGCGAAGTCGTCGGTAGGTGCATTGAGATCTTCCAAGTGAACTGCATCACTGAACAAGTCTAGGATTCTCGGACGATGTAAAGGGCTTCAAGATTGGTGATCGTGTTGCTGCTGATAACTCAGAACTTTGCGGCCATTGGTGCGTAGTGTGATCCTAGCAATGTGAAGTTACGTCGCTGACTCTTGTTCCAACAGCTTCTACTGCCGGAGAGGTGAAGAGTTGCTTTGCGAAGACTTCAAGGCTCACGGTGTGCTCGGTCTCGATGGTGGATTCGCCGAATACGTTCGTCCTGTCAATGACTCCTCGCTGCTTCTACCTCACTAACCAGCACTGTAGTGCTCATATCCACAAGGTCGTTTGTTTAAGATCGAAAACTTGAGCGACGTCGATGCGACATTAATCGAGCCCGCTTCCTGCGCTATGCATGGTTTGGAGAAGATCGCACCGAAACCTGGTTCACACGCCCTCCTCATCGGTGCTGGCCCTACTGGTCTTATGATGGCTCAGTTTTTGTACGTGGGAATATATTGTTTTTGATGACAACGGCTTACCGTGCTTCACAGGAAACACAGTGGTGTCTCTCGCCTTACCATCGCCGCCCCCGGTGGTCCCAAGATGGACCTTGCCAAGTCATTAGACGCTGCCGATTACTATGTTGCTCTTGATCGGAAGGACGCCACCCCACAGTGGGAACAGATCAAGAAGGACAACCCCTATGGCTTCGATATTGGTATTTAGAGCGTTCTCCTTGAGTGTTAATTTGTAGTTGATGCTAACGACGGGGGAACAGTTGTCGAGGCTTCCGGAAGTGCTAAGGTCCTCGAGGACGCTATCAACTATGTCCGCCGTGGTGGTAAGCTTGTGTGCTATGGTGTATACCCAAGTGCAGCTCGTGTGTCATGGCCTCCATCCAAGATCTTCGGTGATGGTAAGTTGAAAGCACTCCTCGCATATATCCACCGAGTCCCGCTAATCGTTACTAGAAATCACCATCATCGGCTCGTTCTCGGAGACGTTTATGTTCCCAGCCACCGTTGACTACCTCGACAGCGGCAAAGTCAAGACGAAGGGCATCGTTAACAAGACGTTCAAGCTTGAGCAGTGGGGCGAAGCTCTCGAGAGCATCCGAAACAAGTCTGCCATTAAGGCTGCCATTGTCTTCGACTAAAGAGAGAGAAGGGTTGGTGAAACGTTACAGTACGACTATTGAGCAAGGATGAAAAAGAGATCCCAGCGCATACGCGGAGAGGAAGCCTCAAGACTCACATCAACAAGGCGGAGTTGATTGGATATCAAGTGGCATAGAAGGCGGAAGATGTATACCTATTTTTTCCCTGCATTAAGCGAAACAAAACCTATACGACATCAATAGATAATCGAGTAGTATTTCCAAACCTGATGTGGAGTGACGTTGGTTTAAGACGTGCTGTGCCCCTTCCGCGCTTCCCCATTCGGTCTGCGAAACCACGGATGCTGCATGCAGTATGTGCGCAATTGAGCATGACTAGTCAATAAGCGAAAACTCGACCCTGAACCTGGGGTAACCTTGATATTTATGCAAACGAGAGATTCGAGAACGCAATCGTGACGCATTGTAAGGGCTGGGCGGAGCGGGCGGGTATCTCCTTTACTGATTGGGATCTTGACCCACGACCTTGATGGCTATACCTCTAACTCATCACGTCATGAGCGTTATGGCGGGATGGAGTTCTGGTAGATTGGCAGCTTGTCAGAAGCTTACCTCAGGCATGCTTGATGGCTGCATAGTTTAAACACTATATTCAAGTCAAGATAATAATTGCAATAAGACTACCTACTAGTACACAGACGTATTACGCAAAAGAGCGCTAGTATTGTACATTTTGAATTGCGTTTGCCCACTTACTATCCTATTGTTATTCCAGTGCGAACTTATCAATGGTGTAAGGTTTTACTTAAGAGCACATCCACATTCATCGTGTGTTAGACTTTCAGGATTGCCGTCTGTCTATGATAGTTAGAGCCGTAACGCTGGTATCTGTCGACCTAAACACTTGAATCGCAAAGGGAACGCGTTGATGGTTTCAGATTTATTGCTGCATGCCTATTAAATAGGTACTCAAGTCGGAGAGCTTGGGAGTCGTGTCTAAAGAATGCCCATCTCTAGCCCTGCAAATACGCAGAGATATTTATGCTACACAGAATATGGCACGTCTAGCTCGTGCAGGAACTATTCGATGCATATTTACCAATCAATTCGAGACAAATCTGATTGAATCTAGTTTGATCGGCCGCGTTCCGGAGCCTTACCCGGCGAAGCATGCGAGGCCCAGCCAGAACCCAGGTATCTGGTTAAAATCCACCCATCCCGCTGTCCAAATCCTACCCAAGACGAAGTGAGTAAGCCTCTATTTTAAGCAACCGTTACTATTAAGCGAGCACTTGAGCAATGCTGGATCAACTTCTGCATTACTGAGATACTAAAGCTTGGTGTTGCTCCTAGCGCAGAACTAGTTGAAGATGATGAGCTGAATTCATCAATCAATGCCTCTCGTCTCTGTGTAGCGCACGGTCCAGAAACACGAAGTCAGAGACGCGCCATTGCAGGCGTTAGGGCCAATAGTTAGAGTTGGTGGTTTGAGAATGCCACCTAACCTACCTTGTCAGTTGAGCCGGATCAGCGCTTGTACGACATTGCACTCTGCTTACAGGAAGGTGTGCTGACACTGTGTTATAAATACGCATTGTTTGCTTATGAAACAGGATTAGCAGAGAAGGGAGAATGTAGACATTGAGGAGAAAGACGGGAATCTTTTGAATCGTGGCAAGTCAAGACGCGATTGTCCATCTAGAAAACACCGAAACATTGACGGTTTATTTGAACTAGTGATGACGACTCATTGCCTGTTTTACGCTACGTAATTGAACTAGGGAGGAGAAACAGCAAATCCAGCTGTAGCCTGTAGATCGTTCGATCGACTATAATACGAACGAACCACTTCCCTGTAAGCCTTGGCGTCGAATGAAGGGTCTAGCATTGATAGAAAGGGAAGGGCTAATACTACCGTAGGTAGCGAGATACCGTAACCTCCGCTTAAAGATTTCTCCAAATCTTCATCAAGTCGCGTGCATCTGTGCATCTACACTCTTCAGATATTGGGTTCAGTTTGTGCTCGAATTTCTACTATTAACCTCACTGCCTTAGGGCATCTTGACCTAGGTCAAGGCTAAAAAAGAAGAGAAAAGTTTGTACAAAAACTGGGTTCGGTTTGGGTATTAGGATCAGCATCATAGGTTTGCTGGCGACGCAGAATCCTCACCGGGATGGAATGGGTCCATTGAGGATTTGACGACACCCGAAGACAGCAGCACCCTTACCAGAGCCGACTCTCATCTTTACTCTCCCTTTTAGACCCCAACGTAGCCTATTCAAACATATTCACCATTTTCTTTCCTTTACAATTAAATTTATCCGGCAGCACATTCGGAGAATGGGGCTAAAACCAGGCTTGCCGAGGAACCGACGGCAGCTTCTGAACTATATTGGAGCGCTGTTTCTGGTCATTGGTGGATATCATCTGCTGTCCGGATCCCATCATACTTCATCATTAATCAGCAGCAATTCCTTAACGCAACCATATGTTGGTGGTGAAAAAACTCCTCATGAAGACCCCTGTGCATCACTCAAAGGGCTTGAAGATGTCTTCGTCATCGTGAGGACGGGTTCAAATGAAGTCGGCGAGAAGATACCGCCACTTCTAAATACCACGTTGCCGTGCTTCCGGCATTACGGCATCTGGTCCGATATGGAAGAAAAATTTGCTGGACTTCATATCGCGGACGCCCTCGACGAGATCGACCCTGATCTCCTGGAAAAGCATTCTGATTTTGCGTACTACCGCCACCTGCGAGAAAAGGGCAAAGGCGGGCTCTCGGAGGACGAGCTTTCCGCCTGGGCAGACGCCCCCAACACCGCTTTTGGTCGTGACACGCCTGCTTGGAAGTTGGATAAGTGGAAGTTCCTCGAGGTAGCGAGCAAAGCCTATCGCCAGCACTCCACGAGCAAGTGGTATATCTTCCTCGAGGGCGACACGTATATCTTCTGGACTAGTCTTCTACCATGGTTGTCAGGCATCGACGCTTCGCGCGATTTGTATGTCGGTCGCCAGATGAATATCGGATCCGACGTGTTCGCCTATGGCGGTGCAGGCATCATTATTTCCAATACGGCAATGGAAAGGCTCATACAACAGCGCGATTCTGACGTCAAGGGTTACAACGAATTGACGCTGAATCAATGGGCCGGCGACTTCATCATGTCGAAAGTCATGTCCGATGCCGGCATAGACCTCTCAGCCGTCTGGCCGACTCTCGAAGGCGAGATGCCTTCGATGATGGACATGAAGACTATATCCACCAACGGCCGCCATCTCTGGTGTTACAATGCTGCTACATACCATCACATGACTGCCGACGATATCTACACGTACTACGATTTCGAGCGGAAGTGGAATGCAGAGGTAAGCTACAGAATCACGCTCGCCAAAACAATGAAAATGGGATAAGACGGCTAATTTAGAGATTGATCCTCAGAACTCCAAGTTCCCGCGTCATGGGGATATCTTCCGGGAGCTCGTCTATCCTCGCATCAAGTCCCAGATATCCAACTGGGACAATCTCTCGCAAGACGTGGTTGACGAGGACTTCTCGTTCGGGCAGTGTCGAGACTGGTGCGAGAAGCACGACGACTGTATACAGTTCTCCCTCACCGGCAGCACCTGTAAAACGATGAAGTCGGTCAAGCTAGGAAAGGAGCATCCGCTGACACACCAGTCTGACCATGTGCGGATCGACTCAGGTTGGATTCTGAGCCGCGTTCAGTCTTGGATGGAGGAAATGGAGTCGTCTTGTAACGGCCAGGACTGGATTACACCGTAATCTTGGGGCACATGTACTGCCGCTTCTTTTAAGGATATCTATCTAGCATATGCATTGGGGCGTTCGGGGGTACATCGGTATAACTTGTATAATCAAAAATAGAGGGCAATAGAGGAGAACAAGGGAGCACTTAGTCGTAGGCAGAACAGGCGTTGAATCGAAAGTTTGGGACTGGTGGAGTCGTCTATCTCTATCTATCCCTTTGGAACCAGATGGGGTATCTATCTTCCTGTCCTAACTCCCCAAATGCAGATAACCACTACAGCTGGACGTTGGCACCATGATACAACTCGTCCGGTTTATGAACTACGCTCCTTCTCTCACGGCGATACTATGCCATCGTCTACACCCAGCGCACGAAAGAGGCCTTCCGCGTTCTGGAGTGGCACATCAAGCCCCTTTATGGTCTCGTCGCACCACCCCGCACCAGGACAACGTTTACCCACCAGTCTAACTTGAGGGCAATGGCCGGTATTCTTGCCGGCCCTGCCTCTACTCCTCGCTGCCTCTCTCATATCAGCAGCTAACATCGCCATAGCCGCTTTATTCACGGTCCCTCGAAACGTGACCTCGAACTGACCGCGACGAATATCGAGACGGCCCTTGAGTTCCGCGAGGAGCTTGCCTTGGTGGTCTTGGATGTCGAAGGAGCACGTACCGAAGCTAATCTCAAGAGGGCTCGGATTTACTACCTGGAAAGTCACCGAAACAGTGTTCCCGCTGCTAGTGCTTAGGACGCTGGCTGTAGTAGCGCTGTGCGTGACGCCAGCGAGGCTTGCTGTGGTCGGCGACTCTGCTACGCCAGGGGGCGCACTGGGGATAAAGCTTGCCGCGTGGAAACTAATGGCTGGCCCGTTCACGCCTGGAAGAAAGATGTCCTTTTCGTAGACGATATCTCGTGGGCCGATGCCGAAGGCGGCTATGGCGGTCTGTCCGTCACGCAGAGAGAGCATCACGCCATCGCGAATCAGGGGTTGGATGAAAGCTTTGAGCGCTTTCTGGTCAATGATCTCAACTAGTTGGTTTGTCACAACGACGTCGGTGCCATTCCTCTGCGTCGTTACCGCGGGTAGCGTCACGTTGCCGAAGTGGCCTGACGGACCGCACAGCTTTACCGTCATGGCTGTGATGCCGGCGCTGGCAAGTCCCGTCTTGGTTATGCGCGCCTCGAGGGAGACGTGAAAGGAGCTGTGTGGGGGGTTAGTTAGTGAGATGGTGTGAAAGAGGCTTGTTGGCGGAGTGCCTGGTGGCTTACTCTTCCGTGACATTGGTGATGCGGAGCATGGATATGCTCAACTGGCTATACCGTATTATGGTGTCGACGAGGCTGCGGAAGGCGAAATCCATCTCGGAGGCGTGCTGCGTGACTAAGCCGAGAAAGCTGAAATCCATCGTACTAGGTCGTGGGCGGACGCCAGCGTTGCATGGCTGGGTATTTCAATCATGGATTTCCCACTTGATGAGGGTGGGGGAGGAGGAAGATTCGGGGTGCTGCCTGAGTATGTACCTACCAAGCTCGGCTAGCGATGACGAGGCCTGTGGATGTCGAGACGAGGCTACCTAAGGTAATGTCAGAATCGGGGTTGGGTGAGTTGTGAGTTGGGAGTTGAAGACAGGCAGGCAGGTAGTTAGTTGGCAATCGTTTCATGTCACATTAAGTTTGAAACACCAACTCTACTGCACCTAAGGAAATTGTGATACAAAGTCGTAATCGTATCCGAGCCGCAGTCTTCATGATAGTTCAAATACGATTAATGTACATAAAAAGACGTGCAAGAACGGCCGTGACTCAATAGTTGAGAGCAAGTACGTGAGTAAAATAGTGTTTCTTAAACCGGCTTGTAGCTACTTTCATCTTCACGGGGACGCAAACACAGCCGTGTGTGTGCCGGTTGATTCGGCTGCAGAGAGCCTCCGGATTGTGCACGAACAAAACAATCGGATGACACTGAAACACCTTCGGTCACGGTTGCCCAATGTTGCACATGTTTCGTAGGTACGAAGCTGTCCTCCTCCCCGGCACGAATTGGGCCGTGTAGAAATATGTCTTGAGCCAATCTAGACATGACAATTGTTCAATATTCTTGTACGCTTTTTTTCAGCTTGTTTGGAGGTGTGACTGAAGAAACTGGTGAGTGCCAAGACACCATCACATGCTCAATACTTAAGAAGTAGTTACTAGGTATGTAAGTAGCTAAACTACCTAAACTACCTAAACTACCTAAACTACCTAAACGGTTAGGTAATACACCCACGGCATGGCATAGTGATGGTGATCCCAATACCTACTCTGACCTACCTACTTTTAAACTGCTGCCTGCCAACACGGATTGATGCATGGTTCACAACATAAGGAAACAGTGGTTCAATTGGTTAGGTATTGTCCATGCTAGCTAGACTCGTGGCTCATCATCTCTCAGCCATGCACCACAGCATTTCGCAGCTTAGAAGGGATGAGTATATTTGGTAAAGCGTACTCACGAATACGAATACTTGCCGCGAGGAAACCATCTCCGGTTTTTCCCATCCAGAGAAAATGAGATTGAATGTTCCACCCCCGCAATTGATGGGGCTGTTCGGCCACGTTCGACAGTACGGTAGACTAGAGTTAGACCGCCGGCTTGCCCACAAGACTTCATGGCAAACTTTCGTTGACTAATCCGCACCAGATATGTCGCCGGTAGATATGTAGGATACGTGGCGTGGCTGGTAGAGGTGAGCCCACGCAAAGACCACAAATAGATTCATGTTCGAACGGAGATGGCATAAACCTAGGACTAACATTCAAGTGACAAATGACTGGTTATACTACATAAAGTCCATGAGCTCTTGCTTGCCAGTGACTTCTTCACACTAGGGCTGATGGCTGAGAGCTGAGGATAGACGCATAGTTAGTGAAAGATACTAATGGCTGGGGACCGGTTTGAGGGATAGATCGCATGAAAAGGCGGAGTGAAGCTGAGGAGAGCTGAGGTTAGCTCAGTCATTGCTAGGTAGGTCACCTATATCTTTGACAATCGTAGTGCACTCAGCTTCTACTAATGTAGGAGTCCTAGGTATACTACCAAATACTAAGTAAGCGGCCATCTACACGCTGTACGGTACCTAGATACATCAGAGGCTGAGAGACTCCTTGGCATTTCGATGACGAGAATATGCGTAAGGTTATTTCTGGCTGCTCGAGGTGCGTCACCACAGGCTCACGACCTGGGCTATATCCGCAAGTGTAGGGACGTTTCAATTCTTGCCGATCTAGCTTCAGTACCTTCGGTAGGTAGGTAGGTAGGTAGATCTTCAGTAGCAAGTGATTTTTGGGTTGCTAAAAGATCGGACTTCGGTGGTAGAGCTATGTTTGATTTATGCCGAATTTCGCACAAGAGCCGGGCCGCGACACGGCGAGGGCGGGACAGTGTGCGGGAAGATGTCCTTGACTCCTTGATGCTATTTCTTTCTTTCCGCCCTTTCTAAACAGCGTTGTTTGTCTACCTACCCTCGACCCCTGGGATAAGACGGCATGATCAATAGGCTGTCGGGAGAGCGCCCCCATACCTATATCAACTTTACCTCGTTGTCCCCTGCATTGTCCGCTCGAGCATTCTGATGCCGGTGTCAGATCTTTCCATTTACACCCCCCTGGCCTTCGACTGAGAACGGGACCCATTGCAAACCGAATGCCACCTGATCTATGCTGTACAACATAGCTACCTAAGCTACCTAGGTAAGCATGCAGCTGCTGGCAGTCTCCAAAGCGTGAGGGAGATAGACTGCACACCGTGGCATGAAGTAGTATCGAGATACAACTGGCTCTACATATACCTACCCACGATTCCCAATGACCGATCAGCTGGACTGAAGATGCTGGGGCGCATTTGAAGACGTAGTCCAGGTACAAGTTCAAATCTTTGAAGAGGGGGTTCAGGTTCGAGTTCGGTCCCTGGATCCAATGTCAAGTCTTGGGAAAAGGGCAATACCGCGATTGGCCATCGCAGCCGACACTTGCGAATAGCGTGGCCTGGTGTACCTACATGGTACCTACCTAAACCTTACCTAGCGCAACTGCTATGCAGCCCACCCCTCCATTACCCCCAAAAGGTACCTACGTTCTAACAGGGGGGTAGGATACGCTATCCCGGTACCTACCTCGCCTACATATAGGTACCTAGATATGTACTTAAGTACCCACCAGGCAGGCACTTACTTACTGTAGGTAGGTAGGGCTCGGTAGGTACACCAACTGAATCCTTTCCAAACAGCACAGTTGCTGGCGCTGTTGGTTGAGCAGAAACCACCCACATGTACCTACATATGTACTACGAAGTATGGACTGTAAGTACTTTGGTACTTTAAGCAGACAAAAGCAATTCAGTCGCCGAATACTTTTTGGCTTGCAACTTTACTTTCATGATTAGAAAGGCTGCCCATTCTGTTTCATGATATTTGCCATACCTACTTAGCATTCGCTGATGCTGATGCGGCTGTATCCATCTCCCCATCTCCCCCCAGATCCCCCTAACCTACCCTGCTACTAACTTTGTCGTGTCTGTCTGACCCTGTATGTACGTTATCTGCACCTAGCAGCGAAGATCAATTCCCCCCCAACCTCAACTCCACCCGTTTTCGGATCCCACGAGATAGCTCGCTCGCTCGTTCTTTTTATTAGTCTTATAATTCTAAACTCGTCATCCCACAAACATTTCTTCTTCTACGTCATAGCAACTCTTTGTAGCCTCCCGTAATCGTCGTCTTGGGCCGGCTGCGGCTCTGTCCTCGGGGCCTCATCTCCTGTCTTGCCTGGCTCTGCCTGGCTCCGTCCTGTCCCATACTGTCGGCCCCTTACTGTCTTGTGCTTGTTGTCAATTCGAGAAGCCGCGATCGCCAGTAGTGATATAACGTCCTTGCAACTCGCCAGTCAGCGTTGCAGATGTCCAGTCAATCACGACCCGCCTTTTCTGGCTGTTCCGTCTTCCAGTTTCCATCCCCGTGCAAGCCTATGCCACCGCAATGTTCGGCCGTTCAAACAGACCTTCCCTGGGCCAATATGATTTCACCATGCTCGATCCCGTTCTAAATGAGCCACCTACCCGATCGAGAGCGAATTCGAGATATCGTGAAGCCCAGCCCGCCCTCCGCAATCTTCAGCTCCTCCAAGGAGATTCGAGTAGTTCCGAAGACGACATCATTTCGAAACCGAAACCATTGAGCAAACACTCACGGTCAATGAGCCATCCATTCCCCTCTTTATTCTCTAGCAAGAAGAAAAAGAATGCAGCGGCCGACAGCGAGCACGGCTATGTCGATGATGTTGGTGACCGTGATTTTCACTCCAAAGTATATTCGAACTCGTCTCAAACCACCAACACCAGCAGGATAGCCACTGGGCCCGCCGAACTCGCCACAGGGAACTGTATGACATGTGCTGGCCTTGTACGGTGGCCCAAGGATCTTCAAGTCTTCAGATGCACTAAATGCTTGACGATAAACGACCTCAAGGTCTTTGCTCCCACTCCGCGTCCTACTATTCGAGCAGTCTCTCGTCCCGCTTCCAGAGTGCAATCAACTGCAGCCTCTCCGCTGGCGGCACCCATGAACACACGTTTGTAATTCGAGTTAATGCATCATTTGTGCAAAATGCTAACTTCTCCCTCAGCGAGTCTTATTTCTATCGAGCATACCAAAAGCCTAATCAGGACTTGTTTGCATTCTGCTTTGCAGCAATGGGGGTCAACAAATTCTGGTCAACAACCGAATATTGCGGAGGACTATTTCACTCTTCAAGACTTTTCGAATAAGCCTGACAGCTCGCCCTCTTCAGTCAACACACCGCCGACATCTCGTTTTAATGCAACCTTGGATGATTTTTCAAATCTAGACTTGGAGCCAAATCCCTTGAAATCTGGTTCGCATCACCCAAGGTCTTATTCGACGTCGTACCCTGAAGCTACGACTTCTTCGCGTGTTCCAACATTACAACCCGGGGAGAACAGTTCCTACACGAGCCCAAAGAAGTCTATTCTTGATGCTAAAGGGATGTTCAAGAAAGTGGAAGACTATCTCGTTCTGTGTTTTGGGACAAACTCAACATGTGTAAACAATTCGTTTATTCCTCGGCGAGTTAGTGTCAGTGGCAAGCCACTCCCTGACATTGTGAGACGACCGCCTGTGGAGACTAGAAGAGAGGTAACCTGCGAAGATGCGCCAATATCCGAGCTCGACCCAAAACTACTGCTACTTGGCGATTTCGCCGAGAACGGTTCATGGTGGACTGGTGGACAAGAGGAGGTCAATGTTTCAAGAACATCATCTCGGCGTTACGAGGATAAAACCTCAATCGTCACCTCTAGAACACCCCGGATTGACTGGGGTGCAGTGATGGAATGGTATCATATTGTGAACAATTCTGCGGAGACATGGACGCAGGTCTACGAAGAGCTACTCCAAGCTGAGGCAATGCAGAAGCTAGACGAAGCAGAATCGCAGCAATTCGAGCAGCTAGCTCTCCAAGCCCAGGAACATATACAGAGGTCCCTTTTCAAATGTACTGAGATGCTCTTAAAGAGACCTGGGCGCTTGATGGCTGAGCCTCAGGATGTACGTTTCTTGTTGGTCCTACTCGCGAATCCTCTGCTTGCCCCTGGATCTCAGTCGTATGCAGGACACCTTCCGCAATCAAACAAAGGGAAACACCAGGCCAATGCGGCTGATGCAGAAGAGCGACCATCTATTGGACGACATTCAGGAATTCTCAAAAGGGCGTTCGGTCTTTTAGCCAATTCATCTGAAGCTTGCCATCACCATCTGATAACCTGGCTGTCGAGACTTCCTGAACATATACTACTCCAGATGAAAGACCTGGCCAGCACATTCGTGACGCACAGGCTGACTCGACAGAACGAGAAAACGGTAGAGCCACGGGTTGATTTTACGGATGGCTTGATCCCACGGATGCCAAATGCACGCGCTAGCAACACTCCAGCTACACTACATGCGGCTCTAGAAGCTTCCAAATCACCAAGAAAGCAGAAACAGCCTGCTGAACCAAATCGTACGACATACACCGATGATTGGCAGATTAAAGTGGCTGCTAGGTTTATGGCTCTCATCTTTGCGGCAAATCGTTACACCTACGTCCGGCGGCATCACCCAAGTGACGGACGAATGTATGGGCCTCTATTCTTGACAAGCGATTTCTACAATACATTGGTCGATACCATTGATTTCAAGTCTGATTTTGAGCTTTGGGAATCGAAAAGGGGCAAGTTTACGTTTTGCCAGTATCCATTCTTCCTCAGCATCTGGGCGAAGATTCAGATCCTGGAATTCGATGCCAAACGCCAGATGGCGGGGAAAGCAAGGGAAGCATTTTTCGATAGCATCTTGACGCATAAGAACTACACACAGCATCTCCAGTTCAATGTGCGCCGAGAGTGTCTAGTGGACGACAGCCTTCAGCAAGTAAGCGAGGTTGTTGGAAGTGGCAGCGAGGACATCAAGAAAGCTTTGCGTATCGAATTTCGGGGAGAAGAAGGCGTAGATGGCGGTGGGCTTCGAAAGGAATGGTTCCTTCTTCTCGTGCGGGAAGTCTTCAACCCAGATCACGGTACGTGTAATCTCATTTGCTTTACGATAGCACGCTAACCTTGGTCCCTATCCAGGTCTCTTCGTTTACGACGAGGATTCGCAGTTTTGCTATTTCAACCCTCACACATTTGAAACGTCCGATCAATACTTTCTAGTTGGCGTTGTTTTAGGGCTCGCCATTTATAATTCCACAATCCTAGATGTTGCGTTCCCTCCATTTGCTTTTCGTAAACTGCTCGCAGCTGCTCCCGCTCCAGCAGCTGGCGCACCTGGCCACTCAAGGCCAATCATGAATTATACCCTGGACGACCTAGCCGAGTTTCGACCCGCTCTCGCGAGGGGTCTACGCCAGTTGCTCAATTTTGACGGCGACGTACAATCAACGTTTTGCCTAGACTTTGTGGTAGACGTTGAACGATACGGGACACGTGTTCGTGTACCTCTATGTCCAGGCGGGGAGGCAAAGATGGTGACAAACACCAACCGTAAGGAATACGTCGACCTCTATGTCAGATACCTGCTTGATACCTCTGTCGCTCGCCAATTCGAGCCCTTCAAAAGAGGCTTCTTCACGGTGTGTGCCGGCAACGCTTTGACGTTGTTCAAACCCGAAGAGATTGAATTACTGGTGCGAGGTTCGGATGAGCCTCTTGATATAGCATCTCTAAAAGCTGTCGCGGCCTACACCAACTGGCCCAGAGGAAGTAGTCCAAAAACTGAGCCTACTATTCTCTGGTTTTGGGAGGCGTTCGAAAATGCACTGCCCAAAGACCAGCGTAGGCTTTTATCTTTCATCACTGGTAGTGATCGAATTCCTGCCATGGGCGCGACATCCTTGGTTATCAAAATCAATTGCCTGGGCAACGATGAAGGAAGGTTCCCCTCAGCCAGGACCTGTTTTAATATCCTATCACTATACCGCTACCGCTCGCAGGAGAGGCTAGAGAACTGTCTCTGGCGGGCGGTGAATGAGAGTGAAGGATTTGGGCTGAAATAATGATCATGATAATGACGTGTGGGAACACAAACCAATTTAAGCAGGCATCGCATGGCGTTTTGGAAGGCCTTGAAGGATTATTATACCAAAGACAGTCTCATGTTACATAATCAAAACAAATCTCCGAAATGGAGCTTCGGAGGTATCTAGAATATATTAATCTTACCGCGACAAGATGTAACGGGTGCTGGTCTCCATGGTGCCCCCGTCGAGATTCGCGGATTTATGACAGTAAATAACATGTGTCCAAGGGGCAATAATCGTTGCGGGCAATTGCTTCACATAGGAATCGAGGATGAATTACAACATACTATCACTGAACGTCAGCGATATCATGGTCATGGCTATGGGTTGGAACAGCAGGGTGGCAAGCCCTGACTATGCACAAAGACTCTTAGGGGCTGTGGTAATCATTTCCTACCAAGTCCGATATCATCTTTGAGTTGCGTATATACTGATTATTTCACATTTGAAGATGGATGAGACCAAAGTGTAGAACATATTCAATATACTATACCGGTTATCTAGCGCCAGCGCTTGATACCCCGGAGTAAAAGCTATCAATTCGAAATTTAAACCCATTTCTTCCTCTTAACGCCTTTGATACCGTACCCCAGAACACAAACCCAATCGCTATAAAGTCATTTAGTTCCAGCGAGGCTGATCGCTCTATTTGGCTGTCACGATTGATTGTATGATGTTCGCAGCCTTATGGAAACACTCCTCATAGCTTCCGACCTTGTGTGCCTCGCCGACGATGGAGAGCGCCACACTGACACAAGAAGTTAATAAAATTTTCTTAGATGTAGGCGATGAAAGTGGGCAGGTTAGGACTTACTAGTTCTCTCGCACACGATTGCTGATCCAGATGCAGTCATTGCCCATGACATACCCCGCGGCATCCACAAATTCTCCTTCGTTGCGCACCTGGTACAAGTTTCCAGGGTACACTCTGTTGAAGACCTTGTTGGTGAACACGGCCGGCAGCTTCGCGTCCGGTCCCATGATCCTTGCCAGGGAGTCGGACCATTTCCAGTTTGCTAGCTGTTTCTCCGTGTAATGAACCACCTCGGTGCTTTGCTCCGGGGCAGGGCTGAGCTTCGCCAGTATGCCTAGCAAGGCCTCGGTACGCCGCAGGAAGCCCGATCCGTCCTGGGTGCGCCTTGTCGCGGCATCCCATTCTGTTGCTGCTTCGGCCAGAAGACGTCTCTTCTCGGCGACGGGCACATTCTCGTCGAGCGCTGCTTCACAGAATGTCACGACACTGCTTGAGACAGGCTGCCTTGGATCAGGCCGCCCACGGTGGAAGTGCTGCACGGATATCGGCTCCCATGCGGCTGGGTTATATCCGAAGTGCAGTCGCGCTGCAAGTTGTAGAGTGAAGTCGAGGCAATTCTTCGACGAGAAGCCGGTGCCTGCCGCCAGGCTCTGGCTCAGCGCCGTGGTCTTGATGTAGCGGTAGCCTCGGGTTGAGGTGATTTGTCGATACCGCTTGCGCACTTGATGTGCGTACTCATCTACCGCGGCAAATGTTTGAAGCGGGAAGTACTCTGGTAAGGCGGCTGCAGGTTTACTGCCCGCTCCACCTGGCCGATGAGAGATAATCGCATCATGAATGAATTCGGTCAAGCGCAGAGGCGTGGTACCGTCAATCATGGTATGGTCGGAGATGTGTGCGGAGCGGCCATTGGCATAGACAACAAACTGCATGGTCTTGTCGAACCAACGGTTGAAGCCATCGCCGGCGATACCCTGCGCTATTCTTTCTTCGTTCGTCTCGGGTACGCCTTGGTCTAGACAGACGACGAATGTTGCCTCTTCCACGGTCTTAAAGTAGGCAGAGTTGGCATCACTGAGCGCTATAATCTTCTCTCGGTTCTGCACGACTGTTAGTTAAGAAAAAGTTTACTTATTAGCTAGTACTCACTGAAGCCCAGATGTCACGGAAATCGGTTGTCAAAATGCTTGTCCAGGAATCCTCTCCCACATCGGCATCCAATATCGCCTGGAACATCCCTGTCAACTGCTCAAGTGACACATCGCCATGTTCGTCTTGCAGCGGTATCTTGAAGACGTGTCCCTTACGAAGCACGGCAACGTGTCTGCTCTCAGCGTATATCTTCATCTCATCGCAATGTAGACGAGGTCGGCGAACAGCGTTGAACATCCATTTCCAGTAGTACGAGCATAGCGGCCGCGGGCCCAACCAGTCATTACCGATCTCATTTCTTTCCATGCCCAGCAGAAACTGGAATGCCACGCTAGACAGCAGAGCAGCTCGCTCCGCCTGAGAATGGGGACTTGGGCTATCGTGATGTGTATGCATGAAGGCGTTCCACGGCGCAATGGGATGTCGGAAGTGCAAGAAGACGCTATTGGTTTGCGTGTCTGCTAGCCAACATTCGATATTCTCGTCGTTCGCTCGCTCGATCAAAGAGGAATATATTTTTGTTCCGAGGCTTCCAGGGGTCCGGAACTCCTCTAACGCCGTAGCCAGGCTCTCCCTTTCAGCATCGTTATGTGCGAATACTGCCACTGTCTGCCAGTAGCAGTCTAGGTAGTCCTCCATCGAGAACATTGGGAGTTTCGGAGGCGGTGTAACAACACAGCACTTGAAGTTGTCGAGACCAGCAACGTGAGTTTCATGGCCATTGACGCCATTCGTGCCATTTGCACCATTTGCGCCATTTGTGGTGGCCTCGCCACTCTTTCTTTTAGGCTTGTCTTGTGCATTCACTATTCGTGAGCGGTCCGTGGTCATGGCGGCCAAGGCAATGATGCTGGGTGCACCGGAGATCTCCGCCGTCTGCACTGGTGCGTCGAAGGTGCGCAAAAGCCAGTTCTTCAGTTCAATAGAGACTAGGGAGTCGAATCCTATTTCAGACAGCGGCTGGTTTTGCGAGATCTCCTCTACACCACAGCCCAAGAACGAGGCGCACTTGGCGATAACAGCCTCGGTGATGAGGGCATGGGCCTCTTCCACGGTCGAGCATTCACCAATGCGAGAAGTGATATCAGTGCTTCCTCCGTTACCTGTGCCAGCCTCGTCTTGAGCAGCTGGAAGGTGGCTGAAGATCGTGTTTTTCAACGAGCTTACATCACCTGCGTCGGCAAGTCCTTGTCTGGAAATGCCCATGATTGCGTGCGACAGCATATCCTGGTGAGCCTGAGGGCCCATGGCGTACTCTGCGCCGAGCAACAACTCGTCCATGGTGATGGATATACTCTTAAGCCGATTGCTCTGGGCTTCGGAAGTCGCTGCAACAGCTCGTGAGCCTTCAACAGCTCCTAGGTTGAGAGCGACGTATGTTGTCCCGTTGGCATTACCAGTCTTGGCATTCGCAAACCCATCTTGGAAGGCATTTGCTGCCGCGTAGTTTGCTTGGCTTCCATTGCCGATAATTGTGGCTGACGATGACAGCATGATGAAGAATTCGAGGTCTGGCGATGCGAAGGCCTTGTCTAGGTTCATTGTACCGTATACCTTCGGACCAAGAGGAGTAGTAAATTCTTCAAGTGTCATCTGGGCGAAAGGTCGATCACTGAGAACCATTCCACTATGTATCACACCCTTTACCAGTAATTGGTTCTTTTGGCAATATTCGGCACAGGTGGCGACATCTGACTCTTTGGTTATGTCACATTTGACGACATGAATGGTGCAGCCGAATGAAGCAACACTGAGGTCTATCTCCTGTTTGAGTTCTGGTTCCGCCGCACGACGAGAAAGAAGCACAACATGTTTTGCGCCACGCGATGCTAGTAGGACCGCAAGTCTCCTCCCGATATCTCCTAGACCGCCAGCAATAACGTAGGCTGCGTGTGCCGGTAGAACAAGCTGTGACCTCTCAGGAAGAGTAGCCCTAACGACTGATTGTTCTGGAGACTCCAAGACGATTTTGCCCGTGTGCTTTCGAGCTGCAATCAATCGGAACGCATCTTCAATTTGACCAATTGGATATGTGTTTATAGGATTCATTGGACGAAGTCGACCCTGCCCGAACATCTCAACAATGCTCTCGAGATGCGAATATACAGTCTCCGGTCGGCCCTGAGCGACGGCGACGAGGTCAACTGCAGCAAATGTAACACTTCGGTCGAAAGGATTCAGCCGGAGATGGCTCCCCTTGTAGATGTCTCCTTTTCCAATTTCGCAGAATGTTCCCAGCTTCGCAACACAGTCGAAAGCATCGATAAGCATGTCACCAGTCAGTGAGTTGAGGACTACATCCACGCCTCGCCCTTTGGTCAGACGAAGGATGCCCTGTTTGAAATCTAGCTTTCGGGACGAGAAGACGTGGCTCGCGGGAATACCATACGTGTCCATGACCAACTGCTTCTTTGATTTGGAACCCAGGGTGACGAAAATGTCACTTGCTCCTGCGTGCTGTGCTAGCTGAATCGCAGCTTGGCCGACACCTCCTGAGGCAGCCGTGATAAGAACTGATTGCCCTTTCCTCAGGCGAGCGACTTCGAAAAGACAATGGTATGCTGTTGTATAGACGCACGGGATTGTGGCCGCAATACTGAACTCCATGTCATTTGGTATCTTATGAGCGAGATTGCCATTGATGCGAGCGTTGCTGGCGAATGGTTTGGCGAAAAAGCCCATGACATGGTCACCGATAGTGTATCTATCCGCCATCTCTCGCCCGACGGCGGTGACGACACCGCTCATCTCTCCCACCATGGTAACAGAAGGCGGCATTTGGCCAAGTGATATGAAGACGTCCTTGAAGTTGATACCATGCGCTCGCGTCGAGACCTGGATTTCACATGGCTCCAGTTCCGCGGCTAATGGGTCATCAGTAAAGCGGATGCTATTGAGAAGGCCGGGTGTTTCGACCTCCAGCTGCAATGATCGACCTTGGTCATGATAGCTGACTTCGACGAGATTATCTTGTCCCTTGAGAGGAGCGCCAACACCTCTTAAGAATTTTTGGTCAACCTGCAAACGGGGTATCATGACATGCCCGTTACGATAGATGTACTCATTCTCTTGCTCTATATCCCTCTGACCGGCGCTCTTGGCGACAATGAGCTTTGAGAGGTGCTGGCAAATATCACTTGCGCTAGTGAGGGTGACTTGATCACCCACTTCAAAGGTTATCAGCGATGTGGTACCTTCGTTTTCTCGGCGGATAACTCTCGAAGCTCCCTGTATCATAGATCTCATTGACGTTGCTATCGGAGTGAACGTATCCTGGAGGGCGACCCAAATGATGTTGACATTCGCGTTGAGCAGCTCCCTAAGCCGTATAAAGACTTGAGGATCTTGGTTCAACAGCAATGTGTTTTCTGCAGTATCCAACACGATGTACGTCTCATTTGGATTGATAATGGTATTCTCGAGGATGTTGCAGGACCAGGTCCAATGTTGGCCATTTGGAGGTGTGGCTCCCATCAACCCTGATGCGATTGCCCGAGACGCGAGAGAATCCGATCCTTTGACTATATGCAAAGCCGTAGATGCGGCACTGCTCGAGGCGCTACTGGTGGTCTTTGTGGTGACTAGTATGAATGGAGTTTGTGCTTCTACCTGAAGACCATCGACTCTAATATCAGTACCACTGAATGAGTGCCCGTAGAAAACACTTTCTAGTTGCTCTACTGAAGGACTCGAGCCTGATGTGTTGATGAAAATCAATTTGCCGCCATCGCGCAACAGGCTGTGGAAGTTAGTCAGTTCAGTGCCGGCTGCTGTTGGAGTCAAGACATCCGTGGATACGACAATAGCATCATATTTCTTCTCTAGTTCCTCGGAAGAGAGATCGTTCGTGACGTCGAGTGGTCTCATGTTGATGTGCTTAAGCCACGGCTCCAACGCTTTATCTGTCTGTGCCGAGCTTGCGATGTCATAACAGTCTGGCCAGCAGTCTCTACCTTCCTTCATCAACGAGGAAAGGAGGGGTAGTGTAACGGTCTCTATTGTGCATCCTAGATCTTGTTAGATTCGATCTGAGCGAGGAACCATTGCAAACAAAACCTACCTATTTCAAGCAACTTCATGTGGGGGTTCTTGAATGCCACCAAATCTAGATACTCCGTTAATATGTCCTGAATACTTTTCGCTTCGCCTCCTTGGACTTCAATAGGATAGTTGTCGGAACGAAGGAAATCAACATCTGGTTGGCGGATAAGTGAGTAGACCTTCTTGTTCGAGAAAGGGCCGTCGTCTTTGCCGTCCGAGAAGACACTGAAAGCTCGATATGTAAAGGACGCGGACAATGCCGGCACCATATGGCCCTGCGCATTTTTCTGGAAAACGACAGACTGCGACTTAACTGCACGTGTACCCTCAGGCTGTTGGGTTGTTGCAAGGCATAGCTCGTTCCCGGCGACTTTGGTGAAGTCTGAAGAGATTATCATCTCGTTGATCTCTCCGACAACGATTGAAGCACCACGACAAGGTCTCTTAGCGAGGAAGGCGCCTATGTGGCAGAATGAATCAAGCAAAGAGGGATGAACAATGTGTGGTTGCATTTGGTGTCCAGGTAGTAGCTCTGCATAGTCGGGCATGACAACCTGGGACCACCCATGATCTTGACCCGTGTGGACGTCACCTAGCAGCGAGAAAGACTTGCCGTAGTTATTCCCTGAGGATGCGAGCTGAGTATAGAAGGTATCGCGATCCAACTCTTCCTCGGACTCGGACATGACAACCTTGAGCATCTCGAGCTGCTCTTCAGCTCGTAGGCTATCTTCGCTATTATCTTCAACTTCGTCGTTATCGGCTCCGGTCTCGCCTGCAATACGGCCATTGCAGTTCTCATACCATCGCTTGCTTGCTTTGTCGAATGATAATATCTTAAACTCACGCCAGCGCAACCCTGCTTTGCTCGGGCTTATAATTAACTGAAGCTCAGCCTCTGCATCTTGCTCCTCAAGTGATAGTGATACCGCTTGTGTAATTGTCATATCACGAATCACAAATCTCTTCACATCTGTTTTCGACTGTTGAATCTCAAGTAACTGCTTCATGGCTTCCACAACCATGCCGACAAAGCCTGACGCAGGAAATACGGCATCTCCATCTATGGCGTGATCCTTAAGCCAAGGGATAGCATCAAGGTTGAGGACATGGCGCCACCGTGGCTCATAAACACTGCTAGCAGGGTCTAAAAGGCCGCAAAGATCGTTGTAAGGGAATTTTCGGAAACGATGCGCCGCGCTAATGCGTGACTCGAACCAATGTGAAGATTCATCGAATGCATAGCCAGGTAAGTCTGATAGAACCTGGGGGCTATCGTGACTCGAGTTCGGTACAAGCTCAGAAATTAAGCCTAGATCGAGAGTGTGTCCAAGTTCGAATAGTTGTCCTATCATTGACAGGAAAGACTTGGAGGCGTCCGTTTTTCTGTTCAAGACTGATAAACAAGTATGTTTAAAATCAATAGCCGACAAGGTCTGTTTTGTAGGGCCCGCGAGTGCTCCTGTTGGGCCGATCTCCAGAAAGGTGAACTGAGGGTCGCCACTTGGTAAGGATTTCTTCATCTCCTGGGAAATAAGATGTAAACCATCTACGAATTGAACCTTTGACACAAGATTTTGCACCCAGTAGTCTGCCGTAAAACCATCTAGTTTTGGAGACCCTGTGACTGTAGAGCAGAATACGATATTGCTCTCCGTACTGCCAGTTTGGATATTAACCAGCGACTCTCGGTAGTCATCGGCTACGACTTGCATGTGGTGAGAGTGATATGCAGTGTCGACCCTAAGCCTTCTGGCAAATATGGATTCGGCGTCCAGCATTTGTTTCAGCTCGTCTAGAGCTTGTACGTCTCCTGATATAGTTGTGCTTTGAGGACTATTGACACATGCCACGCAGAGTCTCCCGCTTCTAATCTGCTTGATATACGGTTTAACACCGTCTTCACCAAGACCGACAGCAAGCATGGATCCTGGGGTTGTGTTTCTACGTTTGGCTCCTCCGGAGTGAACTCCACGTCGGTATGCCCTATTGTGCTGTTAGATAAGGATACTAAAGAGAACTCGGAGCACCTACGCCTCTATGGCAGACTCATGTGATAGAGCTCCAGCGGCATAAGCAGCTGCTATCTCTCCTGAGCTATGGCCGACTACACATGTCGGGCGTATTTTTAGACTTGACAATAGATCAACCAAGGCAATTTGCAAAGCAGTCGTTGCCGGTTGTGCCACTTCAGCTTCGTTGAGTCTTGAAGTTTGCTCGTCCGTGAATATCTCGTTCTTCAGATGCCAGTCGCAGCCCATTTCCAGGAGGAGGTTCTCCGATTTTGAGATAGAACGGTTAAAAGCCGAAAATTGGACAAGCTCTCTGCCCATTCCAATCCATTGAGCTCCCTGGCCAGTGAATATGAACGCAAGCCGACTGGTTTGTGCCGTTCTGACTGCGCGAGCGGTACGCAGCTTATCGGCTAAGTCGTTGGTGTCGGATGCTACTATGGTGTGACGCCAGGGCAGAAGTGACCTTCGGGTTAGAAGGGTGTGAGATATGTTAGCGAGACTTCTCTCAGACGGGTTGTGCTTAGCAATCCACGCGGATAATTTCTGTGCGTATGTTTTCAACGACACCTCCGTGTTGGCGCTCAAGGCAAACATCCGCAAAGGAGAGTGTGTAGCATGGCTGCCGTTTACGCCGTTAACTCCATTGGCTCCGTTCGTTCGATTGACTCCATTTACGCCATTGACTCCATTTACGCTATTTACGCCGTTTGTGCCATTTGCGCCATTTGTGCCATTTGTGCCATTTGTGCCATTTGTGCCATTTGTGCCATTTGTGTGGTTTATATGCGCGAGGGCGTTTCCGTTTACCTCGCCGTTGAGTCCGTTGGGCCGCCTATGAGATGTGCGGAGTCCTGCCGTCGGCCAATTTGAATTCTCCAAGAAGGAAGACAGCGATTCAATAATCACATGTGAGTTGGTACCTATTCGCGCCGTTCTGTCAGAGCGTTCGGTGAGTGTGATTACATCTTTCAGAACTCACCTCCATATCCAAAGCTGTTCACAGAAGCTCGGCAAGGCCCAGGTGGCAATTTGAATAGTTCTGTAGCGACCTGAAGATTACAGTGAGTGCATGATAGATAGTTAATGAAGAAGATTTGCTACCTTTATGTGTCTCTCGTCGAGTTTTAATTGCGGCTTAGGTTCGACGAAATGCAATTGTGGTGGGATTAACTTTGAGTTCAGTACGTTTATAGACTTTATCAAGCCAGCAAGGCCGGCTACAGCCTCAAGATGTCCTATGTTAGCTTTGACAGACCCAACGATGAGGTCGCTTTGCCGCTGCTTTCCTTCACAGAATACCTGATAGATGGACGATATCTCGTTCGTGTCACCTACCAACGATTGTCAGCTGACGAAAGGACAGGTCATTGTACAGAGAAAGTTGATAGGCACTCACCAGCTACTGTTCCCTATTTTCAATAAGTCAGTATTTGATATTTGAAATGCTTGTGGATCACAACTCACAGTGCCATGTGCCTCAACATATGGAGTTTCGTTAGGTTGTAACCCTACTTGACTATATACAGATCGCATCAAGTCCCTTTGCGCTTCACCACTTGGGGACATGAGGCTACCTGCTGATCTGCCATCTTGGTTAAGACCGGAATTAACAATCACTGTGTGAACCGGGTCACCATCGGCCAATGCTTCATCGAGACGCTTCAATATCAAAGTCGCAACGCCTTCGCCACGCCCGTAACCATGGCCACGGGAGTCAAACGCGTAGCAGTGGCCGTCGGCATTTAGCATTCTATACATCATCAGCCATCGAGGTGAAACATGTCTTAGAGTTGGTGAGACTATATGTACCCAAGAGTAGACATGTTTGTTGATTGATCCGGATCAATCAGAAGTTGCGCGCCTCCAACAATCGCCATGTCTGATTCACCAAGTCTCAAACTCTGGCAAGCTTGGTGAAGGGCGACGAGACCACCAGACTATTGGAAATAATTAGGGTTAGTCTCATTCCGACGGCACTTGTAATAGAAGTCAACTTACACAACCAGTGTCAAGGGTAAACGATGGCCCCTTGAGATCAAAAAAATATGAAAGCCGATTGGCCAAAATTGCAGGGCCAACGCTGGTGGTGTGAAATCCAGATAATACTTGCATATCCCTAAAACCCATGCGCTCGTAGTCATAGGTAAAGGTGCTCACGTACACAGAGGTCTTGCTACCTCGGACTCGCTCCATGGGAATGCCAGCATTCTCAAGAGCTTCGTACGTTGTCTGAAGCAATATCCTTTGCTTCGGATCAATAGTAGCAGCTTCCTGGCGAGATATCTGGAAGAAACGGGCATCGAAATGGGAAATGTCTTGTTGTAAGAAGTATCCATGTTTCGATGGTATCCCGCCTTTTGCATTTTGTTGAGTCGAATAGAATCCATCACGATTCCACCTATCTTCAGGGACAGGTACGAACCCGGAGCCTCCATTGTTGAGCAGGTGCTCGAGGTCTTCGAGATTTTCGGCACCTCCAGGTAGGCGGAAAGCAACACCAATAACAGCAATGGGGGTTGGTTGATACATGCTTCTCCCGCCTAAGCTGATGTGAGGTTTAAAAAATAAAATAAATATTAAGATGACTTGCAAGCCCACATTGACTTTAGTTGCAGGGCCTTGTACGTGACTAGGAGCGGATGGGTTTCTTATTTTACATATATGCCCACGATAACTGCAGCCCTCGCATTTTTATTTCCAGACTACCGGCATTTTTCAGATCGACAAAGATACACCAAGCACCAACACGATACTACTTGATACAAGACATAGATAGCACTGGACCACCTTACGCAACTAGTATATCGTGGTAAGTAGCCGGGCTACCTAGTACTTTCCTGGTATTATGGATCCATATTGAGGGTCATGTTCTAGCATGGTTCCTGGTGACTCTCAAATCCCTCGAGCCAAGACTACCAGAACGAGACATGAAGGATTCTCCGATTTGATAACCCTACCTCGCCTACCTACCTACTCCATACAGGCTGTCTTCCCTATGTGGGTGGTACTAGAGAACTATCGAATCGAGCTGTGACAAATATTGGGGGGGAAAGAGGATACCAGCTTATGCAGCCACACCACTCGGCGTAAGAATGACACGATGTCTTATCACAGACGCATGAAAAGTGAGAAGAAAAACAAGATTCGCGAGTCAGAGAATTACTAAATCTAAAGAAAATCTTGTTATACATGTTCACTATACTTGGTTGCACAGGCGTTCTCACGAGATACTACACTATGGCTGGGAAATCTTGTTATACACATGGGGGAATACTTGGTTACACAGATGCCTGCGCGGAATACTACACTACCTGTATGCCATTTCTCTCTGCCAGGAACGTCGTAGTCGATATTAAGATCTTCGCCCGAAAGGGACATGATCGACAGGGAAGACTATTTTAGCCCAGGAACCGTCAATCTCGGTATGTACCTCGCCGTCATTTCGGTACCCATTGCCTTGCTCTTGACGTTCACGTACTTAACCGAGGGGCCTGAGCTACCAGGTCTGAGCTACAGTGCAAGCCATACAGTGATCCGAAGTCACTCCTCGACCCGATTTACTGGTAAGTACCGGGGTCCACTCACGATCCTACTCAAGGCCAGGATCCATCCCTCCCTGGTAGTCTGTAGATCCTGTTACCAGCTTCGTGGCACTAAGCGAGCTAGATAGTGACAGGGAAGTGCGAATACGCTAGTACAGGGCCAATGTTGACTACTAGTCCACGACAGACAATATGCAATGTATCACCGTTTGACTCAACCATGCTGTGCCCTAAGAATGTGTGCAGATGCAGATATGAACATAGCACTTCCAGTCTGCTTGCACACGACCATCTCCTAGAATACAATGAAGCCATTCCATGTTGAACCACTTACAGCACTGATTTCCAACGTCCAATAACTTTCGTTGCTCTCGAATAAGCTTCGCAATGGTTGTTGTTCCTACCGAAAGGGTCTCCCCGCCCACGGTTCCTCCAGAAGAATACTGGCGAGAATCCTTAGCAGGCTGCGAGCATACACCATACCCTTCGCTCCCCTCGTTCATCGAATGCCCACAAGCAACGCAGATAGTGCAATACAGACTTCCTAATCTTGAGCGGCGCTCAAAGGGAATCAACACATCCACACTCATTCATGCAGCATGGGCACTGATTATTGGTCGTATGACTGATTCGGAAGATGTTGTCTTCGGCTCTATAGCACCTGAAGCAGGTGAACCCATTCCTTTCCGTATCCGATTGCAAGGCGGTGAGACTGTTGAACAATACTTGATGGCGATACAACAGCAAACAGTTGAAGCGGTCTCCTTTGCATCAATAGGGCTAGCCAGGATAGCCAAATTATCATCTGACTGCAGGGAAGCCTGCTCATTCCAAAGCGTACTAGATGTCACTGCAAAATCGGACCATGGCGGCCAGCTACGGAAACTCGAAAAGTACGGTCTTGCTATTCAGTTGGAAGTGAACGGTAGCCAAATGGACGCATCGGCCTCACTAGATCCGAGAATGATTGAGCCGGAGCTTGTTTATAAGCTTCTATATCGACTCGGATATTTCATACAACAGCTCGACTCCGCGAAGTCTGAAGCGGAGTTAGCAGATGTTGAGATGATTCCACCCCTAGAGTTGAGCTTAATCCAGGAATGGAACAGCGTTCTCCCGCCTGTCACCGAGGGGCGCATTCACGACGTTATCAAGCGTAACATGTTAGCTAGACCAACTGCGCCAGCAGTATGTGCTTGGGATGGGGAAATGAGTTATCAGGAGTTGGAAGACCTGTCCACGAGTGTTGCGCATCGTCTAATTGACGCGGGACTCGGCCCTGAGAAGGTTGTACCACTATGTTTTGAGAAATCAAAATGGACAGTTGTGGCGATGCTGTCTGTTCTCAAAGCTGGCGGTGCATTCATTCTGCTTGACGCAAGCTTACCTGCGGCTCGCATGCAGACTATATGCCAAAAAGTCAACGCAGAAATGTGCATAACATCTATTTCGTGCGAGTCTCAGTTGTCTCCCTTCGTGCGTCGAACTATAGTACTTTGCGACAAGACAGCTGAATATTCGGCATCAGATAGCCAGGTAGATCTTCTGCACACTGCAACCGTCGGCCCACGCAACGCTGCCTATATCATCTTCACTTCCGGCAGTACAGGCGAACCGAAAGGGTGCGTAGTTGAGCATCAGTCATATTGCTCGGCCGCCTCTGGGCACGGCAAGATTCTTGGCATGACCTCGGATACACGCGCTTTGCAGTTCGGCTCTTATAACTTTGCTGGAGCAATTATGGAGACACTAATGACACTGATGTACGGAGGCTGTGTGTGTATCCCGTCTGACGAGGATCGGACCACTGCCTTGGCCCAGGCTATTTGCAAGTTGGGCGCCAATTGGGCCTTTTTGACATCGACGGTACTGGCTCTCATCCACCCTGAGGACGTCCCAACTCTGCGGACAATTTGTGTCGGGGGCGAGCCGATTCGCAACTCTCAGATCAAGCAATGGGCGCCTAAGGTTCAACTGCGCCAGACCTATGGCAGTGCGGAAACGGCTGCTGTTGTCGCTTCCGCGGGCTTGGCAACATCATCTACAGTCAGCAGTGTCGGGAAGCCGACTACTGCAAGGTGCTGGCTTACTCACCCGACAGATGTCAATCGCCTTGTACCTATAGGCGCACCAGGAGAAGTAGTTTTCGAAGGGCCAACGATTGGTCGTGAATATATCGGTAATCCGGAGAAATCGGCGCAAGCCTTCATCAGTGCCCCAGCATGGCGCGCAGCCCTAGGGACACCAGCTGCGTCCGCGCGATTCTATCGAACAGGTGACATAGCAGTGTATAGAAGTGACGGGTCCCTCGAGCTTCAAGGGCGAAAAGACACCCAAGTCAAGATCAGGGGGCAGCGTGTTGAGCTTGGCGAGATCGAACACCAAGCACGGCTGGCCTCTTCAGAGTTAAAGGAAGTCGCAGTGGACATTTCAGTCGTTGACGGTTCACGCCCAACACTGATCTGCTTCCTGGTGACAACGTCTGACGTGGGTTCAGAAATCAAAGACACTATACAGACTGTTCGCACTCGACTTGATAGCATTCTTCCGCATTATATGGTTCCCTCATTGTTCTTGCCGCTTCCTGCGTTTCCACATACAATTTCTGGAAAGTTGGATCGGAAACGGTTACGAGAGCTGGGCTCGACGATGGCCACACAGGAACTCCAAAGATCACGTGCCATGGCTGGAAAACAACTGACGCAGCCATCAACGGAGATTGAAAGACAGTTACAGGAGATATGGTCAAAGGCGTTAAAGATAGAAAAGAGTTCCATTGGCGTTGAAACTAGCTTTTTTCAACTCGGCGGCGACTCTCTTACCGCCATGAAAGTTGTAGCAGAGACTAGAAACTCCGGCATGCGCTTGACAATGGCAGATATATTCCGGAGCGACACGATTGCAGGCTTGGCTCGTGAGCAATCACTGCGTGCCGAGTCTATTCCAGCACAGCCTCAAGGTGAGGTTCTCGACGAGTCGTCTGCCATATCCGTTCTTGACCAGATTGATCTGAAAGATACTGATCTTCAACGAAATGACGTCGAGGCTATTTATCCTCTCACAGGTGTGCAGGATCTTCTTGTAACTACTACCAAAGCCACGGGGATTTTGGCCGACTATTTTGTGCTTGATCTTGACCCCGAATTGGATATCACCAAATTGGAGAATGGTTGCAAGAAAGCCTTCCAAAATTTCCCCGTGTTGCGCGCGTGCTGGTTACGCCTTGAGGAGAAGTATTGGCAGGTTGTCTTGCATCAGGTTGATCAGCCATTCCGCGTCGTTGAAGCCTCAGGAAACATTGCGGAGTTCTGCCAGAGCTTCTGTCTTGCGAATATGCAGAGTCTTTTGCCTACTCAACCCACTGCAGCATGGTTCCTCCTTAAACATGAGACTGAAGGCATGAAGCTGATTCTTCGCATGTCCCACGCTCAATATGATGCCTTTAGCATGCCACTAATCTTTGAATCGGTCTTCGATGCTTACAATGGACGGAAATCTCCAAGTCAGCCAAATTTCCCGACTTACCTGTCTCGTATCTCGCGTTTACGTTCTCAATCCATCGAATACTGGAGTCAGGCGCTGAAAGGCTCTCGACTAACTCGAATCGTGCCCCATATAGCTCCATCTCTTGGGACTGTCGAGTCTACACCCAGTTTCGTTGCCAGTCAGGCCGAGGCTCATGTACCATCACGTCCCAAGAAGATTACCCCAGCAACGCTTGTGCGGGCTGCCTGGGCTATTCTTTTATCGGCGGTGACTAGTCTTAAGGACATTACATTCGGCCAAGTTATTGCTGGCCGTAACGCTGATATTCCGCAGATTGAGAAGATTGTGGGATGCTGTCTCAATATCGTACCTGAACGGGTCAACTTGTCATCATTCACCACGGTCACTGACTTGCTAAGCGGCAATCAAGAAGAGTTGCTGAAGATGGGTGATGCAGATTCACTGGATTCTAGAGATATTCTCAAGTGCTGTACGGATTGGCCATCTGAAGCGGCCTTTGATTCTATCCTTCATCACCGAGACGTAGATGCTGAGCCTGAGGTCCAAACCCCGAAGGGTGCTTCACATATCAAGACCCTGGCCATCCCACTCGTACCGCCGTTTCTGTTCATCGTCTCTGTATCGAAAGGCACCACAATGGGCCTTGAGGTTATTGGCAATACTCATCTGTTGACACAAGAAACAGCGCAAACCCTTGTTGATAAGCTTGCGTACATCACCGAAAAACTAAGCGCTCACCCGGACATGACGATAGCGTCATTGATAGATGAAGTGGGGTCAGTTGTATGATTTATTATTACCTAATGTATATCACATGGAGTTTTAGTCAGATAGTTTTCCATAATGAAGGTTCATCAAAAACAAACCGATTTGCATCGCAAGATATTCTCATAGCCTGTGATGGCGCACACCGCCATGTAGACTAACCACCATGCTTGGATCAATTTCGTGCTCGTGATATTTTCTCTAAAATTAGGCTCTGACGTCATCTGACAGAGAACCATAGCGGTGTGGGTTGATTCTATTATTCACATGCCAGTCCAGTCGGAAAATAGTTGGGAATATACATGAAGAACGGGCGCTCGCTTCTGCTCGCTCCTGTGGAAAGGTCACATCTCAGAGCTACGAAGTAAGGCTAGCTCTTACAGGAACGGAACCCCTATGCGTAAACGCCTATCAACCAATCATAGAAAATAGGGCTAATTTACACAAGTATCAGGCCATATCTCATGCCCTTGTTATCCCGCTTACAGTCCTAGCTGCCCCATCGGTTGCGCAGTTGCGTCGGCTTCCGGACAGCCTATCGTGTTTTAGTAATCCCTTTGACAAGAGTAGTTAGCTGCCCTGGTTGTGAGTTACGGGACCTGCCTGAATGGATTCATGGAGTTTGACAATGAAAGCTTGCACTGAAACCCTGCCGCATATGACGGCGAAAGTCAACTTCGCCTAAGTATGCGAACGGGCCTCCTATGACTCTGCTAACCTTGGAACTGCGCTACTACTCAGCTGGCAGCCCCAATGCCTGCCCCGGTTTTCAGGCTACGTGACTACCTTACAGGAGTCGGGAAAAGTGGATAGGAGTGGAATTATCTTGAATTCTGTTCTTTTTGTCGACCTTCGCACTTAATCTGGTACTACCTTGGCAGAGCTTGAAGCTGCTAGGATTGCTACGGCGATCAAGACCATGTGAGCAATAATTGCCGATGTGTAGAGCTGATAACCCTAGACCTGGGCGGTGCTCATTGAATCAGGGTTTAAATCCTCTTACATAGAAGACATTCAAGTTAAGGCATGCGGTTGAATCCTGGTAAGTGAATTACATTACAAGATCAGCAGCCAACAGAATCCTTTATCGCGATCTACCGAGAGGGACCTCCCAAAACGGCAAATCATTGTATGCATGGGTCTCTTGCGATTCAGAATCAGTGGAGGGCCAGTTCTAAGTATGTACTTAACTTCTCGGGCACCGGTAGTGTTCCCGATTAGGCATGGAAACGTAACAGAACTAGAGGTACTTACTATCACAGTGCGCTCTTTTCTCGCGTGTCATCCCTAAAAAGGTCTCCGAAGACAGGGCACCCAACCCAGCCAAGGGGTACGCTTACCTCTTCCAGCAATAGGATCGATGATCACAGATGCCCATCGACGTACTTTTACTTGAATACCAATGAAGAGCATCTCTCTACAACAGCTAGTATAATCAAGCTTAGATGATGTTGGCTTTGGTAAAGTCGCTCCATTCGTATCACATTGCCATGTCAGTGCGCCATCGGTGATCGTGACTCCAGTTTGCTCCTAGTTGCAGCGTGGCGTATTAGTAGGGGGCGATAGCATGTCTTACCAATTTCAAAAGCTAAACAATCAATGACTCTACTACATTCACCAAATGCCTACAGAATAACCTAGCATGGGAAGAGTCATCCTCGAGAATCTGGCCAAAGTGCCTGGATGTCTACGCGAATCCATAGCACGGTCTAAAGCGGAATATCGCAGGCTTGGAGATTCAGGCCTGAGGGTTTCAAATCCCATTTTGGGAGGATTGAGTCTGGGGAGCTCACGCTGGCTTCCTTGGGTCTTAGATGAGGACAAGGTACGTACATAATAAGTGATCAGTGATAACAATGATAACCATACCGCCGGCAATGATTGTGGATTTTTACTTATCTTGGCTAGGCACTTGGTATCCTCAAAACGGCTTATGACAACGGGATAAACACGGTATGTGCCCTCAACACCCACATCACTTGTTGTACCTAAAGCCTGACATTGTATAGTGGGATACAGCAAATGTCTACTCCAACGGTGAATCCGAAAGGGTCATGGGGAAGGCATTGAAGAAGTATAATATTCCACGTCAGAAGGTGGTTATCATGACGAAATGTTTCCGTGTCTTATGCGATCCCGAAAATTTTCATCATGAGTCTACCGTGACAATGCACCACGAAGCGGCAGACCGGAGCAAGGATTATGTAAATCAATGGGGTACGTGTTTCCACGCGTAAGGATCGGCCATACCTAATCATATATCAGGTCTTTCCCGTAAAGCGATTTTCAGTGCTGTCGAGGGATCTCTGGAGCGTCTCAATACTAGTTACATTGACGTTCTCCAGATACATCGCTTCGACCCGACTGTTTCCCCAAAAGAAACAATGCGCGCTCTGGACGACTTAGTGAGGGCCGGTATGATCCACTATATCGGTGCCAGCTCTATGTGGGCGCATGAGTTTGCCATGCTGCAAACTGTTGCTAAAGAAAACGGCTGGACACAGTTTATTTCGATGCAAAACCACTATAACCTGATATATCGCGAGGAAGAGCGTGAGATGAATCCCTATTGTAGGTTGACCGGCGTCGGCCTCATCCCGGTATTTCTACCACCATCTCTTATCCGGAGCTTAAAACATTAGTACTAACAAAAGGCCAATGTACTGTAGTGGGCTCCGTTGGCGTCAGGTAGATTGGCCCGAGATCCAACAGAGTCGAGCACAACTTCGAAGCGCGCTGGAACTAGCAAACTTGGGTCAATATACGACACAGGCGAGGATGTTATTCCCGATAAGATCATCATGCGAGTTAAGGAAGTCGCAATGAAACGCGGGTGGCCGATGAGCCATGTAGGCCTCGCTTGGCTCAACAAGCGAGTAACTGCCCCTGTTCTCGGTTTCAGCTCCGAAGAACGCATACTTGAGGCACTATCAGCCCGGGGTAAGGTACTATCAGATGAGGAAGAACGGTATTTAGAGGAACTTTATCGCCCTAGAGCTATTCAGGGCCATTCGTAATTCCAACCTCATATGCGTTGGATCAGTACAAAGCCGATTATTCCTGCTAATAAAGGACACTTAGTTTATAGGTCATTCAACTATGTTTTATATTAATGTTATCTAGGCGAAGATAGAAAACAATTAAATCGATGCACCACATGCTCTCATACGTTGTACGTGGGGTAAATAGATGAGTCATTCAGTTAACAGGCGTAAGTGATACAGAAGGATAAAGACCTGTCAATCTGGCTGTTAAGATTACAGGAGGTAGTCTGTCAATATATCAACCTATCTAGCGTCCCAGACTTTCCGCTATAGCTAGGAATGAACCCTATAGGTCACTACCCTACATCACTATTATTCATTAGGTAGTAAGTGAATAGCATGTGAACAGCCTGACTGACAAAGGAAACTGTATTTGATGACACTTGGATAGTGTCACTCACAACTGATGACCTTTCTGTGGTGGTGACCTTAAACAGTTGAGGCTCAGAACCCCAATTCTACTTGAATACTAGGCACACTGCTTGGATATCGGCGAGCATGGCCTATCAGACTCTTTCAATGACGCTCGACGATGATTATCAGAGCTACCATTCTGGCTGTAGTTTCACCATCAAAACAACAGCAATCTACCGGGCTTTCGTATTGCTACAATGTCACAAAAACCTATGAGCATAATATTTCCTTATCGCAATGAAGTAATGAGTCTTGAAGATCGCGGGGTTGCATCAAACTCTGGCACATAAAGTGTGACGAAGTAATGTCACGCAAAAGTCGAGAAACCTTCATATCACTATCAAATGCGCTGGGTAAGAATCGAACTGATGCATTGAGGAACCGTAAGTGAATTTCAAAGATACGGGTTTCTCTGCAGTATTCCATCGGAGTTATGATATTCAAAATACTTGAATCCAAAACAAACCAGAGAGGGGAAGTGTTACCCAGGGCGTAGGATGAAGGCAACCAAGCAATATATGAGACTAGGTAAGGAACAAGGTGGCCTTGAGGATAGGTTTCTAACTATCGGCCACGGGCGGTTATGAAGGCTGCCAGCGTGTCTCATCATAATAGCGGGGACTAAAAAGCATTAGCTGAGATAGTCTCGTATATTGCCGAGACCTGTGGTGTGATCGTCTCCCTGATAGCGAGTATTGAATATTGTCTGAGACTAGTGGACATGTATATCGGTACCGTCAATTGCCATTCGCATAGTAACTTTCATGTAGTCCTCGTCATACGTACAATGGGAGATAGATGACAGCCTACGATTCTAGAAGCAATACATCAGGTAGCACGGTTGATGTTACATGTCACAATTGAGCGAAGCTAAAGTGCGGCTCAACTGAGGTTCGAAGTTCGTGTATTCAAAACATACAACACACATTTGCCCATTATAGGCGAACTTCGATGGCTGGAGCATATAAAACCGCTTGAGGTGATACTGTAAGCGCTCCTGGTGGAGATACTGGTTATCACATTAAACGGAACATGATATTGAGAAATGTGGAATAACCAATTAGTTATTTCACTTAAATTTCCCTGTCTTCCCTATGAAACTATGACTACCATGTTTGCAAACTTCGTTATCCTAGTCAATGCCTCGAGTCTAGTAGTCCGCATATGACTTGGAAGGTCCCAAACACGTCGCTAATCATAGCGCCAATTACGGCGATACAATTCCAGGAAACAAGTCATTGAATGCTGCCCGAGAACGAAGAATTATTGAACACATACAGTTTCCATCTCGATATAAGGATTCCTAAACTATATGATGAGCAAAATCCGAGTAAATGCTGAAAAGTATTTGAACTTTGAACCTTCTAAGGCGGTATCGAATAATCTCTCTAGTCTTCTTGAGCATGAGAATTTCCACGTTAGAGGTGAGACTACCAACTCAAGTCTCACTTACAAGCCGCTATAGTTGTTGGCTTGCACTTAGGCATTTGATCACAGATCTTTTTGTTTGCTCCAGAGTACCACCTTAGATCTCTGTTGTAGTAGCTTACAATTCGTACAAAGAGTACAAAAGAACAAAGCCATTATAGCAGCCCCTTTCATACGCGCAACCACCTCTTTCAATGTTAACATTTGAGAATTTTCCCCTGCTTACACATCTATCTGGGCTTGATGACATGCATACTGTTTCGAAAACAGGTAATTGATGAAAAACTGAAGTTACAAAATCACTCGCTGTATAAGTTGCTAACGACTTTTCGTGACAACCCTCCTTTCGTCATTGTGTACACACTACGTTATCAAACCCTTCATAACACACTAACCAAGTCTCAAAGAAAATACGCCTAAAGAAAACCAAGCTCGAAATGTTCACAGATCCCAAGATGCATAACACGTATAGAGTTCAGGTGCTGATTGATCAGCCAATGATCATTCCCGAACCATGTGACATGGGAAGAAAGTGGCGTTGCTGTGCCTGTTCCAAGGAGAACCGCTACGAAGATACCTGTTGTGCTTCTTGTACCCATGGCCGATGTTGCAATTGCGTCATTGATTCTATCGAGTCCATTGCTTCCATCAAACATGATTTTGAAAGCGTTCCCCAGCCAAACTCTGCGCCTAAATGGTTATGCTGCGTTTGTTATGCTGCGAACAACCTTTCACAGAGGAGGTGTCAAACCTGCTACCACCCATCTTGTACACAGTGCAGATTTCGCGCGTAAGAGTGCCAAAACTTTGAATATGTATATTGAAGTAACCCTAGTCCCACGAATCCAGCGTGAGAAAAGGGGAGCTGTAGCTTATGTAGCTAAAAGACATCTAAGTAGTAACCAGATAGTAATATAACCCTTCTATAGACAAACGCCCGCTTAAATGCTGTTACGCTCTGGTGGTTCAATCCAAGTGCAAGGGAAAGGGTATCATATAGAACCCGTAGGTGTGATGTTAAATCTAGTCGCGAATGGGTCAAAGGTCTGAGGGTTTGGCACATACTCCTCGCGTCCCGTTACTGCGAAATATGAATTAGTTTGCTTTCTCAACCTGGAAAGAGCAGAGACTGTATCTTTCAAGGGACTTACCCAAATCAACCGCTTCCTGGCCCCAAATATGCTTGATCCAAGCAAAGGTAAGATCCATTCCCGCAGTAACCTAGAGATATTGTTAGCTTCTTAGACAAATATGATGTTGGGCCTGGAGAGAATCAAGAGAACAAAAGGCGGGAAAGGAGGTTGATTTGAGCAGAAAGGTTGTCAACTTACGCCAGAAGAACTCCAAATGTTCCCATCAACGACCCAGCGCGCAGGGCTCACCCATGTCGTATTCGGGCCATAGGATGTAATGGTAGCCCAAGATCCCTTATTTGTAGTCGCCTTTCTACCATCGAGCACACCAGATTTCGCGGCTAAGCCGGCTCCGGTGCACACCGTCAGGAGGTACTTCAGCTTTGGGTATCTGTCCCGGATGAAATCGGTGATGTGGGTGACATTCGGGGCGCGCACTCCAGGGCCACCTGGGACAATCAACACTTCAATATCATCGGGCGCATTATCGAAGGTATGCGTCGGGTTGATTGTGGGAAAGAAGGACGAATTGAATTTGTTCATTGAAGCCATCGCCGGCTCGGGGGTAACGGGATCCATGGTCTCGGCGAGAATATACAAGTTCATTGGGTTCTCAAGCGCCAGCACTTGGAGAGGGTCTATCACGCCAACCATGTCCTGCAGGAGCATGGCTCGAAACGTTACCACGGCAAAGTTCTTGGGGATGGTCTCGTTTGCGCCTGCTTAGTAAAAAATGTCAACCAGATTGAACAAAAAATGAAAAAAAATAAAAATAAAAATTAAAAAAATAGTTCGGATTGCAAGTCCTGTGATGATACACTTACATCTGGGCTTGATAGGAGGGTAACCGGGAGTGTGTCTAAGTGATCTAAGCGGGCCAGCCGCGTCGGCAACCAAGGCGGTGGCTAGCACCCATTGTAGGAAGTAAGGAACGAATGTTTTAAACATGGTGACTTTGATTTTGGATTTGATTGTGCGATCTGCGGTCCAGCCTTTGCGCGCGTGTATTGTTACCTAGGTAGGTAGGTAGGTAGGGAGGAGGAGAGGGAGTTGTGGTTGTTGCTGTCTAAGACTGCAGACGGGAGTCTTTATCCAATTTATATTGCGAGTAGATTCATCAAGATGGCGGACTCACCGCATCCCTGCATTGGGCGAAGCGGCCTCCCTGGATGCATAGATACCTATCCCATACCTATCCCATGTCCATCCCATGCCCATCCCATACCCATCCCATACCCATCCCATACCTCTGCGCTGGTTGCACGTTGCGGTGCACATCGCGGTCCACAGCCGTTGTGGGTGATCTTCCACCTTACACAGATTCCAAATCACGTGACTCCCCTTGACCCAATCAAGTGGCCAAGCTGGCGACAAGATAAAACATGCTGTTCGGATGTTTGTTTCAACCGGCTCCATAGCACGTGACCACGCCCCAATCCAGCAGTGATAGCCCATGATAGCCCACGATCGACCGGCACGGTTGGAACGATTGGCTCCGGCGAGCAAACAAATGAGCAAGTTCCCCATGTACGCCCAGGTACGCCTTACCCTGTGAGCGGCTACGGAACCAGGCCTCCGCCTCCGCACATAGCATGTCTGGCCCTTTGCGCCAATCGATCGTTGCATGTACCTGTCCAGCCCAGCCAGCGTAGCTTTCCGTGAAACAGGGGCCGGACGGCCGGCGCGAATCCAACGTCGGCCAACATCATCACGGAAGCAGATACTCCCCCCAAGTGAGGGGGCCATAGGCCACCGACGGAAGAATGGTCAAACGGGCTATTTGAGATTACCTTCAATGCGCGCCACATTCATTTCAACCGCTCTTTTATTTTTATTTTTTATTTTAGTTATATTATTTTATTTTTGATCTTATTTTTTTATGAGCTAGGCGTCAGCCCCAAGTTACTATATACATCCTGTTGCAACTTCCCTTGGCAGCGGTATCGTGATGAGGGGATGTCTCGCTTGTCCTGGAAGCCAATACACTTCCAGCACGTCAGTATGTTGTCGGGGTCGTATTTGGCCTTGATTTTGACAAGTTTTTCGTAATTCTCCCGTCCGTAATACGACTCCTGCCAGCCCGTCATGAAGGGGTTGGCTTCGTTGAAGTGCGAACCGGCGTCGGGACCTGCAAGAGCCTCGAGCTGCACAGTAGAGTTAGTTAGATTTGTGACAAAGTTGACACGATCCTCATATGAGCTGTTCCACGCCATCGATCCAATCGTCTGCAAATGCCACAACGAGCGGTACCAAGCTGGCGTGAGCGAGGTACCAAAAGTTCTTGTCGCAAAGCTCTCCGGATCCTGTAACCGCTGGTACGTGAAAGGCGTCGTCACGGGGGTGTAGAAGTTGACGGGGTTGAACCCGATCTCGGCAATTGATCGAAAGTAAGACATTATCTTCTCTTTACCTTCCTCCGTTGCGAATAGGTTATCGGGCAGCAAACGACTAGACCCCATGCCCATGTTCCCACCCTGCATCGTATCAAGAGGCAACAAGAATGCGTTCCAGATGTACAGCCAGTTCGGGTACACGGCTACATTGCTTGTGCCTCCGTGAGACAGCGCGAAACCCGTCACTCGTTGGAACGACGCCCGGGCCTTAGTCCCGTTGTCCGAGATGTAGTCTGAGGTGGGATTGAAGTGCGTCACGTATGTGCCGGCAACGTGACCGCCCCAGCCTTGGCGGCCCCATTCCAGGGATTCGTCGACCAGAAGCTTAATCCATTCCAGCGCAGTCTCGGAAGAGATGTTGGAAGGTAGATGCACGTCCGCGAAAGCAATAGGCTCGCGAGGTATGACGCTGTGGGTGGCGCTGAGGATAACACCAAAGCTACTACCGCCCCCTCCTCGCAGAGCAAAAAACAGGTCAGGATTCTGACACGCATTAACAGTGCGCTCTTTCTCATCAGGCGTCACAATCTGAAATTCGACGACGCGATCGGCCCCCATTCCATACACAGGGCCGAGAACGCCGTGGCCGCCTCCTACCAACCACCCACCAGAAACCGCTACAGTCGGTGAGTACGGGCCCAAGATGACGCTGTCGTGCATGTCGGCGAATACGTGTGCATCGCCGCTGGGTGCGCCAGCGCCGACGATCATGACTCTGCCGACATCTTCCTTGCACCCTTGAGGAACAAATGACTCGCGATATTCCATGTCTTGCAAGTTATGAGTCCAAAGACTAAGCGTGCCCTTTCCTGAGTTGCGCGTCATGTAATCATGGCTATAAAAGCGTGAGCGACCGCGTTTTCCGAACAGATGAGTCAAAGCTGAAGCTTCAACGTCTGTGAAGTGTAAACTTACCCAGAATTCTTGACGGAAAGCTTTACATTGTGTGCTCGCGCGAACTTGAGGGCTGCCGTGACATCCGAGCCGTTGGTGATCTCAATGTAATATGATGGTACGCTTCCCTGATTACAGGTGGCGTTGCTCGCGGGGATGCCGGCTGGAGTAACGGTATTGTCGATGAGGCATTGATCCAAGGGGTCCGACAAGCACGTTTCACTTTGCAAATTCATGAAAGCGCCTGGGAAATTTGTTCGCAACTGCCCTGTCTTCCAATCGTCCCTGACAATGCTACATCTCGGCTCGTCGACTGAATTCGCTCTGCCACTGTAGGATGAGAAACACGGCAAGGCTATCGGCTTCGAAGCCCTCAATCGACCCTCAACGGTGGCATTCAAAATGTGCCATGGCTGCGAGATGCATGATGCGCCCACCCCGACGAGAAGGCCCGCGATAGAAACAAGAGACTTCATGGCGACGGCATAAACGAATCTCGTCCACCCATGGAGAAAGGGTTCTTTAGGAACCGAAAACACTAGGTCGCTTCACTTAATATCGCTGGATGTCATGCCCGAGCCGGAGGCTGGGATGGAAGCTCAAAATGCTGCTATCCTCATTCTCGGCCTTGCTTACGCATATCATGATGCGATGTCTTGATGCCCTAGGCCAGATTAAGAAAGTGCCATTACTAAACATGTGCATGCTTAGGGCGTTAGCGGCGAAAATTACGATACTATGTTCTGTAGATCGAGAAGCGGTAAAGGGTAACTGTTAACTGCCCATGGACTCTTTCATAACGGGAGTGTAGCCCTGTTAGAGAGGGCAGTTGGTACATGTAATTAAGACAATGAGCGCCAAGCTCACCATTTTAACTAAACGTTTGTTGGGCATTGGTTTGGTAGCCAACGTTCATAACACACAGTCTAAACTGATTTCAACAAGTTAATGTCGTATTTTCTCTTGACAGCCAGCCAATCGAATGGGGGTATGGTTTGATTGGCTATTGGCAAGACTGGGTTTGAGTTCTCAACTCCGCATTACACATAGTAATGTGAGGTGCTAATACATACCTGCTAATTCAAGCGTACTCATCTAAAATATATGACAATAATTAATGGGTGATATACTAGTAAGCGTAGACTCGATATTCACCTTATTGAGCCCCTAGATAAGTGCGATGCGGTAAGATACAAGGGCCTAGGTACGTAGGCAAGCGATAATATTGTTGATGAACCGCCAGATCTGGCTCGGGGTGTGTATAGTAGCTCATTTACTTAAATCACTAAAAGCGGCATATGTGAAGGATAATTGCAATTTTGTCTTTCCTGGGAGGATACTCTTTGCCTATCAATTCCGATAGGTACTAAACGCGGAAGACCATATGTATATGTTAAGCCCTTAATATACGGGGGCCCGTTGTCAGCTGTCAACGCCCTGTCAGCAATATAGCTCATCAGCCACATTCAAGCGCACACCAAGCCATGTGCTTAGCCACCCCCTTTTAGCCACTCGAGTACCTAGATGAAGATATCATGAACAAAAAGGACAATTATAGGCAGAATTCTGTATTCTCAATTAAAATAAGAAGTTCTACCTGGGTTTCAATATAAAGGTACTTCATGTAATGAAATTCGAAACACTTACAATATACTGGAAGAACGCCACCACAAGAGCACGGTGCTTGTGGGCATCTCTCTGGACTGATAGTTGGCTCGTTAGCATTGCATTGAAACCTAGTTGAATAGAGGCCTTCAATGTAATGGCATTAATATTTCCCGAGCAATAGGTCAGCTTCCATGTCCCACGTTGGATTGATTTCATCACTTCCTAGGGTGACCTTTTCGCATCACGTGATAATAGAGTATTCAGTCACTGAATGAGACGCGACTCTGAATGCTTGGGGTAACAATCTCATCGCGATGAGGGTCGCTTTGGTGATTCCGGGGAAGATTTAGCTGGAATTATCAGATTATGCTAACGCACTCTGCGTCTTTGAGCCGCGGGTTTGACTCACAGCGCGACTGTCGGCCACGTTATACCGCTTCTCAGATAGAGGCTACTCTCTGTTGATGCAAGGAGTTTAGTTAACAGATTTCCAACTTCCAGGCAACAGGTGCTCATTTACAGATCAAAGTAGATCCTCGACTTAAGAAATGCCGGATGCAGCTAATGAAAGGACCTTGTATGGTAGAATATTTCTATCGATGCTAGAAGGGCTGACTCTAGGCAATCATATCAATCATGTTTCTTATTCATTTTTCATGAAATTGCGCCTGATATACGTTCCCTGATAATTAACGAGTCTCCATCCGCGATATTGGGATTAACCATATCCCGAAGGAAAAACACCGATCCTTGATGCTTATACCTATCATGATCACATTACAGTGATCTGTACCAGCCCGAAAACGCTGTGGCTAGGAAAATGATAAACTCATTCCTAGAAAATGGTATCTTTAGCCGCATACCGCAAATATTGAAGCTAGATATCCCTGTATGCGGATCATCTATTACCGTTTAGGTGAAAACCTCATACATCAGCTTTGATGGCGAGTTGAAATTAGATCATAACCAGTATTGGAGAAGATCGTGGTACCTTCGCCGAGCAGCTTTCTCTTCTTTAATTTCAGATTTCTCTCAGTGAGACTAGTACCGTAGCCTATAAAACTGCAGGCATTTGAGTTTTGTGAACAATGCACATTGATGTACTTGTAAATCTGCTGTTACTGTCAGCTTGGTTTCCGTATCTGATACTTTGTTCCTACGCCTGTGAGCTACCCTCTGAATTATCATTGGCCAGATCTTACGTTACTGACTGGGGTATTGCACTCTTAAGATCCTCTCACTGCCTGTCTATCCAGACAGAATAACGCCGCTGGCGCTTCATGTACTTCAGTCTTTAGCACTTCCCCCTCGAATTACTGCGCTTTTCGCATTAATCTCCTCTGAATACGCTTATGCAGGACTCAACTATACGTGCATCAGACTCTACCATCTCTGTCACGCTATATTTACGCTCCTTCAATCCAAATACTAGAAGCGAAAAAAACCTACTGCCCTGTAGATAGCCCTCCGAAGTCTCTATATCTAGACGCACACACTAGCTATACCTCTAGTGTTTCCAGTGCTCTTACGGAATTTCTAACTGCGAGGGTGGATGAATCAATGGCCAGAATGATTGAAACCAGTTCGGTCACACTCTTTAGCACTCACAGCTCGCTTTTCCCAGTGGGCACGGCTGCCCCCTTATCCGCCGGCGGTATAACTCTCTTAGTCGATACAACTTCGGCTCCAGATACTCCGGCAAATGTCACATATGACCAGTCATATAGCACAGTAACTACACGCGAGGGCTTGTCTCTTCTTGCGTGTGTCCCAGATGCCGTTCTTATCTGGCTTATGATGTTCGTTGCGGCATTAATAGCCTCATTATGAAGTCTGGTCCATCTACAAGAAGGGATATAGATGCAGCTTAGATCTATAGGCTATAGGAAATAACCTAGGCAATTATTTAATACACACTACTCACAAGGGTTGAATTCCAGGCTATTCACAATATAATAATCCGCTAGATCTGCAAAGGCCTCTGGGCCGCTAGGTCTCCTTCTTGCCTTTAGTTCCTGACTTTGACTCTATATACAATCGGTACGGCATTTCCCAACCTCGGTGATCCGTAGTCTCACGCCACCGAAGTCTATATAATCTCAGTCTTCGCAATACAGGCGCCGGTAGCCGTAGGGATCTGCATGATCGATCGTACGAGAGTGCAACACTTGGTGAAAATGCGAAGGACTTAGTTGAAATTCTTGATAATATATCAGAAAAGGGATGATTGCAGGATGGAACTATAGACTACACTAAACATTCTATTCTTATATCAATTCCGATTATCATTTGAATCATCGTTTGACATTATCTGTGCTCTTCCTGACCTGACGTCATTAGCTTGCAGATTTCGAGCTTCCTTCGTCCTATACTGCTTTGGTCTTTGGGACGTGAGGTAGGGGTCACAGCTAAGGAATTTCTCGTGAGGCACGAATGATTCGCGAGATAAGCTTTTTTTTCTAGCCCAACTTCCAGCCTTGAAAGGTTTTAATCAGAATAACCACCTTATTACGAGGCTACAAGACACCTACAAGACTGTAACAAAGAAGACTCCTCCTGTATATAGCTTCAGCTTTGCCCGCAAGAAGGTTGGGGGGGCCTGTGCGCAACAATAGAAGCCATTAGCCAGTATACCGGGTCCTGACACACCTCTCCGCAATATGTTGGAATAGGTATTCCACCCTGCTTCGAAAAGAGCAAAACAGACGTGCGGCTTAGTGCTAGTGTTGGATTACGTGAGAGCTCGCACATTGAGGTCGATCTGAACGTGAAGATGTTTCCCGCCATGAAGTATCACGAGGGCTAGTTGAGCGAGCGCCTTGTATCCCGTGACCGTATTGATCGGCAGCGTAGCTACACGGGCAAACTACCCCATTGTCTACCGCTGTACACGTCACGTACTAATTGGCTACATTCAGTTCTCATGCTGACTTGCTATATTGGGGTCACCGTGCCCAGAATTCTGCTGTTCTCGACACATATTTCTTTCGACATCTCCGTTGCGATGTCATCCTAGACGGCCTTCGACACCATACAACCTTCTTGCCCATAATAATAGAGATGATGAGATATGCCACTTATTGAACCTGTAAATGCTCGTGGGACGTCGACGATATCCTCGCTACCCTCTTAACTATTGTTGTTAATAGATAATGCGTGATAATACAACTTAACCATGACCTGACTCATTCCATTGGTATGTAGGTACCTGTATACCTAGTCAATCGTAGATTAGATAGTATGGACGAACAGTAAGTATACCGTGTATGTTCATATACGTCTAGGTACTAGATGATGGGCTAATTATCACTCTCGTTGCAGGTAATACTGTGCAAGTGGGGAGAAGAGTAGCTCAACAACAGATATTTCTGTCCCCGGATTTCAATACATGCTGTACGATTCCTGGGTACACAAGCTACTACAATAGTGTATTGTATTTAGATATCAAGCAACGCGTCACTTAAGGGCTCCGAGATCAGTATCAGCATAGGCAAAATATATTCAGATAATACATAACGCATATATAGTAACCATTGACAGCATTGATATAGCCATCGTTACATGATACGTTATCTCAAGTATATCATCTCAATCTTCAGATCCATCCACTCCAACTTCCTATTACACTCCAATCTGTCAATAGCGTAGAGTAGATCTAGCTTAGATCCTTTCACGCCCAATACATGCATAACTCCAAATCCATGCGAAAACCATGACAAAGGAAAACTAGAATACATGAAACCTCCCATACATAAGAAAAGTACCGTTACAGTCCAAGTTGCAATAATTCTGACAATCTGTTCTTAGCAGTGGACTGCACAGCTCGACGACTCTCATAGACATTAGTGCATGCGTGAGAGACGTTACTGTCGATCATTCACGCTTAGGGTCCGAATAAAACTCGGTCCAAGTCATCGTTGCCTTGCTCGAACAAGACCGCGCTGAAATCAACATGATCGAAGTCGAAGAAAGCCAATGGGTCGTCCTCATTATTGTTGAGGCTATTGTCGACGAACTGACTAGGAAGGTCATGGTCAATCGGACCTGCGAGGAAATCAAGTCAGCAAACTATACCACTTGCGCAATGAAATTAGGAGGACTAACCTGCATCGGACACGTTGGAGTGGTTACCATTCGCGACCGAGGATGCCTCAGCGCCCTGGATGATGGGGCTAGAAGCGACCTCTGGATTAAACCAGTTGTTGAAAAGCTCAGCGCCGTCCTCATCAGATACCGCCGCAATAGCTGTGGAAACTTCGTCTTGCTGGACGACATCTGGCATATCGTTTCTTGACACGGGGCTTTGTACGAGTGGCTCTTCTCGGTCGACGTTGTTAATAGCAGGATTTGCTACTGCGAATTGTGGTGAAGGGATAATAATGAGCTGCTCTTCTCGGTCGGCGTTGTCAACAGCAGGACTTGCTACTGCGGATTGTGGTGAACGGATAGGAATGAGCTGTTCTTCTTGGTTGGCGTTGTTAACAGCAGGATTTGCTACTGCGGATTGTGGTGAACGGATAAGAATGAGCTGTTCTTCTCGGTCGGCGTTGTTAACAGCAGGATTTGCTACTGCGGATTGTGGTGAACGGATAGGAGTGAGCTGTTCTTCACCACGTCGGAGCCTGGCAGCCTGATCGATGTATGGCTGTTTTTCCGCATCACTCAGTTTCTTCCACCAGTCGCTAGCAACTCTCGCTATTTACGCACATTAGGTTAGTTTTCCTCACACAAAATCGTGGGTGAAGAAGCTGGGACACTTACAAATCTGCCCGTTTTCGATGCCAGGGTGCGTGTTTTTGATTTGTGCTACCATAGCTCTGCGATAGCACATGAAGCAGTTTGGCTTTCCCACCTTTTTAGGGTCCTTTTGCTTCTTAGCCCTCTTGCGGGGATTCTCAACCTCTGGGGAGTCAACCTCTCGGGAGAGTTTTCGCTTGTTGTTGGCTGCTCCGTGGTTCTGTGCAGGCACACTCTGTGAGTGAACGTCGGGATTCTAGCCCAGGGCGTTCTGTCCCACATACGCGCCATACAGAACCGGAAACTGTGCAGCAGGAGGTGGAGGAATTGCTCGGAAAGGAGGATACGGCTGTTTCCAAATCCTAAATTAGCACTCATACAGTATGGTGGTAACATGAAGAAACAACAGGGTTAATACTGAATATGCAAAGCCATTCGTGGCCTCAAAACAAGGCAAAGTTCGGTAGTAACAAACACATAATACTCACCTGCATTGTGTATCCTGTTTGAAAGTAATCCCCATGGGGGAAGGCCGGTTGCGGCATCATGCCCATCGGATCATGGGCCATTGGCGCCATAAATGTAGGCCGATGACCTTGGTATAGATCCTGACGATCCAGAGGCGCAAAGTCGTATGGGAGGGCATTTACGTTGAGAGGGTTCTGAACAGGCATGGCAGTGGAATTCATATCAGCAGGTACCCTGAAATTGTCGTATTCATAGCCGACAGGGACACTTGCAGCCGGCATGGGAGCCACACTACACGGTTATGATTAGTATGACCACAAAAGAGGACGAAAAGCAAAGAAGCGTGACGTCTAGAAGCAATTGAAGGAAACTGGTCTGGCGTCGAAATCGGAGCATTCAGGTGGATGGATGATCGTGATACATGTAGAGAAGTGATCTTGATGTGAAGGTTCTGGGTTACTCACTTAAATTGATATTCGGCGTTTAGATCCATTGGTACATGGGCTGTGAAGCTTGACGAAGAGCTTGCAAGCGTTGTAGAATCGCTTCTGGTTCAAGGGGTTGCGAATCAAGCGACAGATGATGTTAAATGTAAGTACAGCGTAGTTGAGGCAGTATCTCGTGCAAAGGTGTGCAAAGTTGTGTGCAAGTAAGAAGCTGAAGAAGAGAGAAAAGAGAAACTCAAGTTGGTTGAGGAGGGGGAAGGTTTTATACCTTTTGGGTTGAGGCGGTGGGAGGTGGTGGGATGCGCACCGCACCCCGGCAACAGTTACCCGGCCATAGAATGTAACCCTCAATTGAAACCTCAATGGGCTTTCTAAGTGTTGTAGGAAGGTGGGAGGTCGGGTATTGTCGACATTGTTACCTAGGTACCGCCCAGACCGTTGCCCAGCCACCAGAGCGATGCACACACAAATTCTCTCGGTGAAAACCTAGAATTATATTATGAACCATCAGCGGAGATTGGAAGATAAAAATTAGTAACTCTTTTCTCATCAATGGCGTCAGGTGATAGAGTGACATGCAAATTCCTGTTTATTCACAGTGGGCGCCCAGACCGCGTACCATGTGATCGGTGGCAAATTTGAGCAACAGGTCCTTTGGTATTAATGAATATTCACTGATCGAAATTGACCAGGCTCTATATTTCTCGAGGTAACCATCATGTCAGTACATGGCCATGGCTGGAAGCGCGGTGATAAACGTTCTGTCTTATCTTCACAACTAATGACAGAGTTATCGGCATCTTTACTGACTTGAAATCTTTAGTATGGATAGCTTTTAATTAATTCTTTGTGATAACTAAACAACTACTCTGTTTCGTATACTATTGATATGCTGATATACATTATCAGTGTAACTCTACACCTCCTACATGTGATATGTTATTTCACGATATTACTTGGATCTAGCACCTCTATTCTAAGTGAGGATTATTGCACTACTATCTCACATATTATCAACAATTTGAAATTCTCCTAAGCTTCGCACAGATGCTAATCACATGAGATAATGATAGCTAGGAACGCTCGCTTTGGTTGACGAAGATAATAGACTTTTAGTGTAGGTGCGATTAATATGTTGTGAAGAAAGAATTCGTATATGTCAGATGTTGAGTGTTAAAGTACATGAGATTTATCGGCTCTTTCATTCTCCTTTTCTGTTCTTATACACTACTTCCACCAAATTACGCTGATTTGCTAGGAAGGAAACGATCTTAGACCGCGATTAGGACACAACGGCTTTAAGTCTTGTATTCCACAAATCCAGGTAACTAGTTTGACATGCTTGAAACGCAGCTGTTGAATGAATGTGTTCAATTAGAGGCTCCAAGGTTCGAAGCCGGCGTGCCGCGGTATGGAACGGGGCTGGGTACTATAATGCTCACACCGAAAACGCACAGACCCAATATATGCCAACCAGTTATTCCGCAGATGACCAACCTTTTCAATAAAAAGAAGTGCACAGACCAATGGCCTACGCGATAAACAATAGAATCATTAACTCATAGAAAACAAAGCGGAAGAGGATTTCCATTACGCGCCTGCATGAAAGCGGAGACACCATTGGGCCTTTGAGAACCATAACAATGCCATTCAAGTTTCTTTCAACAACATTAATCATTACAGCTAAAAATTAGTTTATTATATACATGACAAGCCCTCGCCAGTCGTAGCTTTGGACATCATCTCTCATGCGTTCGCCGCCTGCCGTATATCGAGGTGGCCCAGGTACCGAGTCAGCATGGCGAGCTTGACACTTCACGCCAAAAGAGCGAAACCCAAGGTAGGATTGTGATTCATCTTGTTGATTGGAAAGCCAACCGCCGCTGCAGTGGTAAAAATATTGTTGCAATACACCTCTACCCTGGACTAACCCGACAGAAGAGGTCTGACAATCTTCATTGGTTTTGTGATCGATTACGCGGGAAAACTTGACAGAAGGTAATAGCGGATGTGTAAAATCATCAAGATTCTTGTTAGAGCAGGAGCTCGAATTGACGTTCTATGTATGTAACGGCTCACTATGATCCGGAGGGGAAACAAAATAAGCCTAAGTCTGAGATAATTCAGAATTTGTTAGAGTTAGGTGCTTCACCACTGGTTAACTCTAGGGGTACCACCAAAGGAACGACGCTTTACGATCTTTTTTGAATAACTTGAAATAGGGCTGGTGTGTTCGGAATGAGGATTGGGCTATCATGCGTTTGAGATGGGACGAAAGGATGTGACATGTGCTTGAATCAATTAAATTGCTTCTTGACTGTGGTTCCAATATCAAACCAGAAAATGTGCTTTCTAATGTCGTGTTTTTATGCCCTGAGCTACAGACTGACTCGAAGGAGCTCTGGTGTACTCTTATTGCAAGGTGCTTGGTACCCACCATCGCAATGAATTCGCTCAGGCTTTCTTAGCCTATGTTATTTCACGTCAATTTGGAGAACAATCGCTTCAAGTTCAGTGCTGTAATCCTAGTCTATCAAAGGAGCAGAGCTAAATGGGCAGTTAGCCGTTTGTTTCCTGCTGTCAGTCATCTGCAGCTATGTTACACTATAAATTATACCGCTAAAATTAGTATGGCACGCTATGTAGCACCTATGTTGTTCGATGATCCTGGCTTGTTTTTGGCCCCTTTTTCACGAAAGTTGAAGGCGCGTGGAGTGGTTGATGGCAGAAAAGGTGAAGGTGTTGAAGTTAGAAGTGTGTGTGGGGCTGGTGATAGCTTCAAGGGACAGGTGCTGAACTCGAATCTGTTCATGATAGCGGCTTGACGCCTTCTCGCTACACTATTCTATATGGCGACTTCGATTCTTTCCAACTTTCAATTGAACTTGGTGCCATCGCGGCTAACCACGGTTTTGGCAAAGCTTTTAATTGCAGCGGGACCGTTCTACCGCGTGTAATAAGCGCAATTCTCACCACCTGGCCGAGTACTTGGCACGATTTGATGAATGGAACTCCCAAATTCTATAATCTCCCGACTCAAATCTCATCTTAATCTATCTGCTCGAATCAATGCATATTAAGAGATGAGCACGGAGTCTTAGTCAAGATTGCTGAGGCCCGGATGTTCTCTGTTAAAGGTTCTAATTCTGTCACACGGCCAAGACTTCAGAACCGAAGATAACCGATACTACCCCTAGAGGAAAGTGAGGCTATAAGCGATTGGATAAAGATAATCTGTTAGCTACAAAAAGACCAACAGTTAAGGCATGAATGCCTAACAGACAGAAGGGAGTCATAAATTGTATAAGGCCTAAATAAGCATAAATAGCTAAAAAATCTCCCATTCCAGGATAGGAGAAAGAAAAAGAAAGATTAAAGCTTTAAAAACCCCCTAATAAATTATTAATAAATATAATTAAGTTTTAAACCCTTTATAAAAGCTTTTATTATAAATAATTTATTATCCCCTTTAAAATATTTTAATATAGTTTAAACCTTTATATAATAAATAAGCTTTAATATTTTTATATAATATTATTTTAAACCTAAATCTTTATAAATATAGGATTACTTTAATAATCCCTTTATTTTAAATAAAAAGGTATTATAAACTTTAAGTTTTATATTTAATAATTTAAATGCTATATAATATAACCCTAATACCTTTATTTAAAGAATTAAAAGTAATTATTAAATATAATAAAAACTTAAAGCTTTAAATCTTTAATAAATAATAAATATACCTTAGCTTTAAAACTTTAATTTTATTTCCTATTATTTTAATAATAATAATTTTCCTTTATTATATAATAATTATTTTAAAAATAAATAATAAATAAATTATTCCCCTTTATTTTAATATATTTTTAAATCCTATTAATTTTTTATTAAGGATATTTTATCCTTTAATAATTTATAAATGGAGTTAAAATAAGTTAAATCTTTATTTAACATTTTTATTAATTTTAAATAAAACTTAATCTTTATTTTTAAATAAGCTTTAATTTTATTATTACCTATTATATTTAAACTTATTTATTTTAGCTAAATTATATTTCCTTTTTTAAAAGGATTACCTTTTTTAAAAAACCTTTTTTAATTTATTAATTAATTAACCTTATAATAAATACCTTTTATTATAATACTTAAATTACTATTTAATATTATAAAAATTACTTTTTATAATTTAATTATTTATAATAATATTAAAAAAGTAAAAATAAAATATATAAATATAATAATTTAAAACCCTTTATAATAAATTATAAATATTTATAATTATATAAATAAAACCTTTTAAATTGCTTAATCCTTATAAAAATATAAATAAAGAATACCCTTTAAATAAAAAGAAATATTTTAAAATATATATATTACTATTTATAATATATATAATATTTTAATTAATTTATATTATAATAGGGTTAAGAATAAGGGTATAAACATTATAGAAGAAAGAGTATAACGGACGCTTCACTTTAATTTTTTTTATTGCTTTTATATATATAAAATATAGGTTGCCCTAACGTAAGCTAAATAAAGGAGACCTAATAGATAAACTATAATATACCTTAAAAAATATATATTACTTTACCTTTTATATTTATTAATTAAAGCTTTTTATATATTATTTTATAATTTTTAATAAAAGGGTATAGGTTTATTAATTTATTATTATTACTTATTAATTATCCCCTTAGCTCCCTTTATATTAATGTTTTCAATAAAGCAAATAAAATTAAAACGTTTAATATTCCTTAAAATACAACTTATAATTAAAAGATTAATATTTTAACTAATAAAGCTTATAAAGATAAAATATTAAACATTTGCTT